TCCAAGTCATCCAATTCAAAGAGTTTATTTGATCAACATGACATCTGCTTTAATCACTGAACTGTACCAAGTACCGCTGACACACTTGGGCAGGGTCATAGACTATGTATTCATTGTGTTCCAAGAATGATCTGGATTTGGCAGTTGGATTACTGATCAATGGTCCCAGTGGTAATGTAGCACCTGAAAGAAGATAAACACACACACACAACAATTAGACTCATTATAATTCCATTGAAAAAAAAAAAAAAAATGTCTTTAAATTTTATTCATTTGAAGTTTCATTAAATGTTAATTAAATATTAAATTCGGCCAAAACAAAACTATAAATAAAATACTTCAACCATGCAAAAAACAAGACAAAAAAAAAGAACCCCCACCAAAAAAAAAAAAATCCTAAAGAAATTATATGAAATACACTAGAAAATACCAAAGGTTTGAACTGAATTCAATGCCAGTAAGGAACTTTTCATCTAAGAATAGTTAATCTGTGGTTGCCCCAATATATACTGGGCTCAATACTAGAATAGGTTTGGTACTCAATGTCACACCAGAGAATCAAAAGACATGTGCATCAAAACCTTGACCTGCAAAGTATCCTCATAGCCATCAGGTGCAGAATTGGGCCTCAAAACATGTAAGCAGGAGGTCAACCCAGCTGATCTTAGGATATACACATGTGGGACAACTGGATGACAAGATGTTAAATAAGCACCCTATCTGAGATAAGAAACACCTGGGTATCTCACATCTTAGCAAGATAAACATTTAAAGAAAGTCCCCTAAGTCCCACACCCTCATGCCAACACTATCAGAAGTTCAGAATTGAACAAACAATAATTTTACATGTGAAAGACTTAGTCTCATATTCTTACAAGACATTACAATAATAATGTTATACAGTAATATAAATACAGGGTGCGATGGATAAAATGTCGTCTAAATGACACAAAAATGAACATTGACATCTCATTTTAACATATATTTACCAAAATTACATAAAAATATCTTGAGATAGTAAAGAATAAATTTATTCAATAAAATTGTCATTGGCTTTAACCAGGGCCTCCAGACGACTTCAGAATTTCCTGCAGCTCTTCTGGACAGTCTCGTTTAAGTTGGTGAATGTTGCCATAATCCTTGTCTTCAGTTCATCTTTGGTTTTACAAAGAGTTTTGTTGGTCTCTTGCTCAACTGCACCCCACATATAATAATCAAGGGGGGTTGCAGTGTGGGGAAGTTAGGTGGCCAGATGTAAGGGGTGATGTCAAAAAAGACACAGCATGGTGCAGAGTTCTGTTGCCAAACAAATGGTCTTCCAACAGCCACCCTCTTGACCGAGAAACAGCACTACCTCCTCAAGGCACTTAATGTAAGCTTCTGTGTTGAGTCTGAGGCCCTGTAGGAAGATGAATGGAGGCATAACATCACAATCACTAGTGATCATTCCAAACATCTTTGTAATCACCATTAGACTCATCCAACTCTTTCTGAATCCTCTGCACTGTCCTCAACACTGAAATGTTTGTACTGGAGCTTCCAGTGAAAATGTCAAGCAATACAGCATGCTGCTTCCAAATTTCTAACAGAGTGAATTGCGTCATAGCGCTCTTTTTCTCACAGATGGTGCCCAACTGACCCTACTATACTGTGCAGTTGACAAAATCAAAAAACAAACCATGTGTAAAATTCAAAAATATAAAATGGCAATAATTTACCCATCACACCCAGTACAATAATAAAGAATACACAAACAATTGTGGAAATATCAGAGATTTAAAGAAATATTTTAAAATTTAAGATAAAAATAATTTATTTTGATTTAACATTTTTTTTTTGGTAAAGGTCAAATAAAAAACATAATTTGTTAGAAATTTATTGGATTTAAATCATGAAGATTTACACCCACAAAAGAAACCTTTCTACGAGTTGTCTGAACAATTGAAGACAAATTTGTTTTTGGTGTCATTACAATGTTTTTGCTTATTGAAAAAACGGTTTCTTTAAATGTACATTAAAAAAAAAATGTAACATATAGTTTTGTTTATTTTTTGATAATGTAAAAGAACAATATTATTTAATATAGACAATAATAGTATAAAATCAATTTTATAGAGATCACAATCCATTCACAGCAACATGAAAGTGTCTTGTTATATGCACTGTTTTGTATGGTTTGAAAAAATCAACAAAAAAAAATTTTAATTAAATGCAGTTTTGAAGTTGCCCAGATTTTCTTTACTAACAGAAAAAAAGATTGTACAACAGAAGAATGGACTATATACAAACAACAAAAGCAATAAAACAATTAAGTTCAAGAGCCCAAGACATTCTTTTTTGTTTTGTGTCCCTTCAGGATGTAGGTGATCATGGCCAAAAAAAACATTTCATATTATGTAGGAATTTATAAGTTTTGTCTTTCCAATTTCTCTCAGATAAATTACTATACTATCTATTTACAAGCCCATCAAAAGAATTTTCAAATTTTTCCTCTGTCCCTCAATCTGCCCTGTGAGTAAAATCATTTAAAAAAGCTTAAGTTCCTTATTATATAACTTAAAAATTTTTTATAAATTTTTCTTGATGTATAAGTTTCATTTTTGAATAAAAATCAATTTTCTTCATCAGTGAGGAGATTCTTAGCATTATGAAATACATGAGGACAGATATCTCATAACGGTCCAGTACTATTTTGTTTGTTTCTAATGAAAGGATGCTAATTAGCAATATTTACTAGATAAAGAAATGGCTCAATACATTTTTTTTTGTTGTTTATTCACACACCCATGTTTAAATGTTTTATCCAACCAACTTTTGCTTTCTATAAGATACGATTTCTGCTCATCTTTTTGCAAAGACAATTTGGATATTTAAGTTGTAGAAATGTGCAAAAAATCCTCAAAGTAACTAAAGAATGCAAGATACTATTTTACATTATTTTACTATTTTTGGTTGGATCATGAGTCGAAGGTTTTTGAATATTTTATTATACTGTTACAATTTCTTAGTATTATTATTTTACATTACATTACATCTTTTATGTTATAAATCCCCAGCATTTGTTCAAATAAAAAAATAAATAAAAAGAATCTTTTTATTGGTTCCTCATTGTCTTACCAATAAATACAAGATTTTTGTTGCACATAAATAATATGACAATAATGTATTAACTGCCAATATTTGAAAAATAATCAAAAATTGAAGTTATAACTAATGCAAATTGTTTTAATTGTTTTATGGAATTTAACATAAAAAGCACTGTCAAGGAATTTATTCTTCTCCAACTCCCCAGAAACGCTGTTATATTCAACATTTGAATTTTTGAGTTTGAAAAATGACCTAAAGTGGTCTTCATCTTTCCAAGAAAATACAAAGCAGAGCAAAATTAGAGAAAAAATTTTTCAACAACTGTGGTAGCAATATTTTTTTCATTTTTTGAAATATCAAATTTAAAAATAAAAAAAAATTTTGGAAGAATAAGAAGAATATCGCTTTAGATTTATTAAATGCAACAAAAAAAATATTTAGAAATTGGGCAAAAAACAAAATTTAACATTTTAGGCCTGCAGTGAATTTTTTCTTTTAGATGGAATAAACTTTTATATTTTTCAGAGTTTCCTAAAGGTTTTGTAATAGCAATGTTGAAATTAACCATTTCCATAAACAAAAAAAAAAAAAAAAAATTTGTTGAACAAACAGCAATACTGTCAGGTGAAATTTATGAAATCATTTTCTTATAACAGTTTACTGTTGAAATAGCTAAAAGTTTTTTTCTATTCTAATTTTTTTTTCTCTCACAAATAAATGTTGGAATACCCTTCCATTTACTATCAAAAAAAGATAATTACAATCTTCAAAAATTTAAATGCAACATCAATCAACCATCTTCTGTCTTTTTCCTCAAGCCTGTTTATTTTAGTTAACTTTTTTCAAAATCTCTGTAACTCCCTGCATACTAGTGGCATCCAATTGTTTTTTAAAATAAATATAAAAAAACAATTGAAAGAAAAAAAAAAGAAAAAAGAAAAAAAAAAAAGAAAGAAAAATTCTAAAAAAAAAAAAAGAAAGAAGAAAGAAAGAAAGGATTGTGAAAGAAATCATTTAAACAAAAAAAAATAAAAAGAAAGAAAGAAGAAAGAAAAAAGAAAAAAAAGAAAAGAAAAAAGAAAAAAATTATGAAAAAAAAGAAAGAAAGAAATATTTTTTAAGAAAAAAAGAAGGAAAAAGAAAGAAGGAAGAAAGAAAAGAAGGAATTTTAAAGAAGGAAGAAAAAATGAAGAAAGAAAGAAAAAAAAAGAAAGAAAAAAAAAAAAAGATATTTAAAAAAAAAGGAAAAAGAAAGAAAAAAAAAAGAAAGAAAAGAAAGAAAGAAGGAAAAACAAAAGAATTTTTTTAAAAAAAAGAAGGAATTAAGAAAGAAGGAAAGAAAGAAAAAAAAAAGAATTAAAAAAAAGGAAGAAAGATGGAAGAGAAATACAGTGATTGAGATTTTAGCATTGATGGGATTTTCCTTCTTTAAATTTTGGATGGTTAACATTTGCAATTCAAAAACAGTTAATAATTTGAAAAAAAGACCTAAAAAGAGATTCAAGTAACAAGACTAAAAGAATAAACAGTAAACAAGGTAAAAAAGAAAAGTTTCAAAATACATTTGAATAATAAAACAATCCATTTATGCAGATGTAGGTTGGGGAAAAAAAAGAACAGAAAAAGAAAACACAAAAACAATACAAATTGATCTTCTTTTGTAAAATGTGTTGATGTGACAAAAAAAAAAAAAAATGAAAAATTTTCTTTAAGATGACAGAAAGAAAAATGGATTTTTTTTTGATGGCATATAAAAAATTTGCAGGTTATTTAAAGCCAAAACATATTTCCAATGGTAGGAGGTTGTTTACAGTACCTGGTAGTCCCAAACAGTCCCCCCCCACCATCTAACTACTGACCATGCCCGACATTGATTATCTTTGATGATATATTGAGAACCAGGGTTTTCAATGTTATTTGTCAATAAGCCAAAGAGAAAGTAAAGCGATAAAAAGGGAAGGTAAGGTTACCTCTCCAAACATGTGACCAGAAATTTGAGCTTCTGAGGGAGAAATGAGGAGACCCCGACTGAGAATGCTGATGAAGTTGGGGACGCGACTGCCATGCCAGAGTAACATACGGTTCTCGAGATTTAATTCTTGAACTCGTTCCTCTTCTCCTCCTCTTGAAAGACGATATATGGCATGCACTTTCACGTTATGGTCTGAAAAATTAACCAAAATCATAGCAAGATACAAAAGTGTGGAAAAAACATTTTGTCTTCCTCTTCAGAATTTAATGTAAAATAAAGAAACAGTCTTTAATGGAAAGATTTTGAAGAGAAAAAAAAAAATTAGTGAAAAAAATTTCGTTTCTTGAAAGAATTTCCATATAAAATAAGCTGAGAATTTTTCATGAAAGATATTTATATTTTATTCAAATTTTGTTACAAACTACCTCTATAACTATTTCCTGCAAGTACTTTCAGGTTTGTAATAATCATTATCTGCTTATTAAATTTTGGAAATTTTCATGAAAACTTCCCAATAAAAAATTTTAATTCTAAGAAAATGATCATTTACAATTGCAAAACTGATATTATATTGATTTTAAAATGACATTCAAATTAAATAAGACATGAAAATAATATTTCAGTCCTGTAATGTGCCATCTTTCCATGAAATTATTTTTGAAACGTTTAAAAAAAATAATTTAATTCTTTGTGAATAAGTCCTGAATGTTTGATTAAAATCCAACAATTATCTAATTTGTTGCAATTTGTGCAACTGAATTTCCTGTTGATGCAAGGAAAAAAAATTTTTAACCCAAATTTTAAAAGATTTAAAAATATAATTTAATAATCAGGAAATTGTTTGGTCTTTCCTATTAATAATAGGAAAGAGGTTGACAATAAAACTTTATTTTTATGAAGCTTTTGGTATTTTATTTTATGAAATTTTGGGAAATTCTTTTTTGTGACGCCTAATGTTTATATTAGTTTTAAGGACAAATCCTTGGAGAATATAAATCTCAAATAATTTTGACAACAGGACACACAATTACAGAAAATCTGCTTTATATTGTAAAATATAAAATGCAATAAAACTACATTATTTAATTAGAAAAGCTTTTAATGAATAACTAAGAAAATGTCTTTTGGTGAATAATGAATTGTTACAAGAATTGTTTTCATTTTTTTTAAAATTTAATTAGAACAATTCATGAAGTTTTAAATCTTTTGAAATTTTGTATTAATTTGTAGTAGTTATGTGATAGTGTTATTAAATAAAAACTACATTTATTAATCACAAATGGAAAATCTTGCAATTCAACAGCCTCAGTATTTTAATAATTTTGAATTTTTTTGTGTGCATAAATGTGTTGATTTTTTTTTTTGTAAATACAGACGTCCATACACATTATCAAACGATAAAAACACTATCGTAAATTTAAAATTCATTGGTAATTTTCTCAAAAAATGTCCTTGTAAGTAAGACTATAAAGTCAAAGTACCTAAAATTTAATAAAATAATAGAATATTTAAAATAGTTTGAATTTTTAAAATTACTGGTTCGTTAAAAAATTATAAAAAAAAGAAAAAGAAGGCATTTATGTTGTATTAGTTGTGTAATCTTGCTACAAGTATTTCCTCTTTACATAAGTCTCACAAACATCTGGTTATCAATAGGTGTGTCAACATCGCATAAAAACACCCACCTCCATGTTAAAAAATGCTTTTCTGCAATATTTTAAACTAAAAGTAATATTTTTTTAAAATTCAGATTAATTAATCTTCCTCAAATAATGTTTCTGAAAAATATCTTATTATTTTTTTAAATTTTAAAAATTTAAAATTGTTAAATTTGTCAATATGGCCAATTTTAGCAATTTCAAAAAAATAATTCCAATCAATTTAAATTCAATTTGAAATACAGCAAAGTATTTTGCTTATTGAAAATATTAGCTTGGAGGCACATATATATAAAATATTAAATTTATATGACCAACATTGCCTTTATGTTCCCACATTAAATTAATATCAAGCCATTTTCAATTTGAAACCTAAAGACTAAAATGAAAATGGCTTATCATCATAGCAGAGAAATAAAATGAAATACTTACCAGTACTGTAAATGTATTTCAATATATACTGAGTTTCAAATTCATTTTCACTCATTAACTTAATATGACAACCAATTGCTTTGTAAATATAGTCCAAGGGATTCATTTCTGAAAAGGAAAAATGAAAAGAAAAAAATTGTAGCTGTTCCAGGATTATGCAAGAAGAAAAAGGGAAACAAAAGAAAAGAAAGAAAGAAAAAACAGAACAGGTAGAATATGATTAATCTGTTTCATTGAAAACCTGTTTGTTTTTTCTTCTCCTTCTCTGCCAGACACATTAAAACACAAACAGTCTCTCTCTCTCTCTCTCTCTCTCTCACCCGTCTATCTTTCTGACTATCTCTGTTCTTATGCAGTTATCTCAAAGTCAGTCAAAAGTCCTGCCCACCAACAAATTCATAACCTTTATATATGTTTAGAATTTGCATGGCCATCTCTCATTAGTTATATCAGGCATGCCAGTCTGTATATGCACCTTTTACAAATTGCAAATGGCAGACTAAGCATGTGAAACATTGTGGCCATTTCCATTATGGTAGGTGCATTGAATATCGGTCACAGTGATTTAATCTCTTTAGAATTATTTACTGAGAGAGAAATATGAATAGTCAACGTTACAAGTACATTTCACCGAGATTGATGGATCTATAGCATCATGCAACAATATTTAATCATCACCATGCTGAAAGAACAGCAAAGAGCATGAACTTGAATTGTACAACTACCAAATTGACAACAGTGACTCTTTATGATGTATTAATCAAAAAGTTTGTTTTTGATTGCTACATTGTAAAGAACCATCATAAATAGGAATGTCAATGAATGTGAACAAGCAAGAAATTAAATTAACTCTTATATTTTTGCTGCAAACGAAACAAATAATACCAGACTTTGTTTCAGTTCTCAATTATCATTCAACATGTAAGTAAAATAGGATACTTGAAAAAATAATTTCAATCTTATTCAGTAAGCTATTAATAACTCTATTCAAAATCATACTTATAAAACCCAGGTTGGCTGGCTGCGTGTGTGTGTGTGTCTGTACGTTTATATATTGGATCGGATTTCCTACATTTTTCAACCGATTTCAACAAAACTTCAGAGGACTACGTAAAATTACCTTGTGGTGGTTCTGACAGTGCCAAAAATTGGTAAAACACAATTGTTTTTGCATAAAATCAATTTGAAAACACAATTAAGAGGCATCGCTGTCGAGAATGAAAGGGGGACAACTCATATCGAGTTATACTTATTATAAAACTCAGTTTGTGTGTGTGTGTGTTCGTTTATATATGGGATTGGATTTCCTACATTTTTCAACTGATTTCAACAAAACTTCACTTTTTTTTGGCAGGTAGTGTTTCTTATTGTCTTGCACACTTTTTTCTTTATTTTTACATTCAGAATGCTTTAAAAATTCCATTTACAAGACAATTGTTTATAATAAAATTCTATTCAATCTGTAGACTCATAACGATTGAAAACAATGTTTTTTGTTTGAGTTTGGGTTTGACCAAAAAAAAAAAAAAAAAAAAAAAACTAATTAAGACATGCGTGTCCGTCAACCTTAAACAATAATCTTTGTCAATTTTATTTTTCAGTCTTTATGATGGTCAATACTTGATCTATCTCTTACTGTTACATCCCCAGGCAATGCCGGGCTCTACTGCTAGTCATTACTACAAGAGAGGTTTTTGAATAAAATCTCTACTTAAAATGTTGCCTGAATTGCAAACACAAGTCACTTTAAGAGTGGTCCGCCAGTTCTACCTTGAATAAAAGAACTAAATATAAAGCTAAATATTCTATAATATTTTTCTTTTTCTTATCTTTAATGATGGTTGTAGTGAATATCTCTTTTCATCATTAACATTAAAGTGAATTCAAGTAAAAAGCTTTTTGAGGAAAGGCAAAAAGATATATTGAAGCAAAGAGAATTATCTTGATTCCTATTGGAATGAGATTCTATTTACAAACCTTTCAAACGGTATTGAGCCCCAAGGAGAATTCGGCTGGCCATTTCATAATCCAAAAGATTGGTTATTTTCCTCAAATGGTTCTTCAGGGAGCGCTTGTCATGGATTGGCCGGATTTTTTCATATTCATAGCCTGCTTGAGGTACCAAATGGAAATACTCATTGCTCATCTTGGCAATCTGAAATACAAAAATGTTCACGCTGATTTCATTGTGTCAGTGAATTTCTTTCTTATTTCTTAATAATGCAATCATTTTTCCTCATTCTAGAAATGAGGCTATAAAAAAAAAAGTTTTTAAAATTTTAAACTTACATTTTCACAAGTTGTTTGGTAATCTTGGACTTGGGCAGCAGAACCTTTTGTTTTATCCGCAATTTCAATCAAATCTCTGAGAGAAAAAGGTAACAAGAGAAAAACAGATGTGGTGAGAAACTTTCTTCGAGACATTGAGACATCTATTATTTGAAGGAGCAAGGAATATATCAGAATGAATAGAGTTGAAAAATTGCACTCACCGAAGCTGGTGTAAAATCTTCAAGGCATTTAATAAAGCCTCTTTTTTTATTTGTCCAAATGGAAGAATGTCTGTATCAATTCCACACATACTATAGGCAGTCGACAGCATCTTGACACTACTCTGAAAACAGAAAATATCAGGCAAATAGTGATGGAAAAGAATTTGTGTCATAAACATTTACAAAAGAGTCTTAGTTTCTTTTTCTTAATTAGGAAATAACAGTAAAAGGCTTTTTCAAACTTTAATTAAATTTATTGAGAATTGAATGAAAAATTGGAAAAAAAAAAAAAAAGACTCAGAATAAAAGAGAAATAAATATAATTTTTAAGAATCATAGAAGAGAGAAAAGATGACTTACAAGCTCTTTGATAAGTTCTTGCAAACGTGGAGGGAGCTTTGATGGTAGATCAGAATTGAGATCAAATTTTATTGGAGGTTGCTTTTTGCCTTTTAACCGATCTTCTGTGTGCACCAAGCGATACTTTTTCGGGTGATTCTTGAAACTGTAAAAAAAAACAAAAAAAAACAAATAAATTAAAATTAATAGAAAATCTTCAATGTAAATGCACTTATGTATAAGCAAAAAACAATTTTAACACCATCTGACTTGATGCCATCATCAATATAGGTACTCTTATGGAGTTACTTCCCTTTGAAGCTTCAAACACTTCCATCCTTTTGACAATTCAAATCCTAATTAGACAATTAGTGCTTTGTCGGGAACCAATTTCTACTAACTGCTTAAGCCCTAGTTTTATTTCCAACATTCTGTAGAAACAGCAAAAAGGCTTCACTACATTTTGAAACATAATCTTCCATTCAAGGTGAATCCATCAAGCTTACTTATATAACACCAGTTTTTTTCTCAGTTGAGAGAGCACTCTCAGCATGTGGACGTGTGAAAACCAGACAAGACGAATACATTAATGTTATAGACGTTTTAACTTGATCAAATTATCTTTTCACAAAGAGACAAGTTGATTTTATTCCCGAGATCCAATGTGGGTAAATAGTGGCTGCTGTTCAACAGACAACCAGAAAAGAAGTTCAATAATATGTGAATGCAAAATTAAGACTTTCTTTTATATTTATAGGTTCTAAGTTGGAAAGAAAGTTTGGTTTGGTTTATTTTATGGCATATCAACACCTCAGTAGGTTATTTAATGCCGACAAGATTTTTAGGATAGGTTTGTATGAACAGAGTATGTAGACCAGGTTTCATTGACATATTCTTTTAAAGAAGGTTTTTGTTGAGAGTCAAATATACTGTTGGTAATTTTTTTTTTGTTTTTAAATGTGTTGCTGGTAATATTTCATTTTCAAAAATGTATTGTTGGTATTTTTATATAAAAATCTATTTTTATACTTTCATGGTGTTGTGACCCCAGATTTTGGAGGGGGGGTAATTATTTGCCCATATAGCTAGGATCGTAACAAGTGCTAACATCCTGGGTCAGCATGAACCTGGAAACAATAGCATTTAAGCTGTGGTTCTACACTTCTTAAAACCTCCTGATCAAGAGGCTTTGCTGTTTAATGTAGCTCTCAGTTTGAATCTGAGCCTTTCAACTAAATCATAATTTTCTTATTAGCAAATTATTTTCTTTTACTAAAATGTTAGTTCTACCATGGCCCAATGTTTCTTTGTTTAATGGTTAATATCACATGGGCATCAAAAACAAATCCAAATAAGATAAAGGAAAACCTGTGGCCTTATTTGCTAGATTTGCTTTTTATTTGTCATGCCTGAATGGTTCACATCATCCAAATGGTATAAATTCTAGAGTAAAACAATGCAAATGGAATTAATAAACACAACTATTACGTTGAATCATAAGTAATTTCCATCATTGGGAACTAATTGTAATGGGGGAATGTATCATCCTAATGACTAATCATACATAGCAGTCAAAAATAAATTTGGTGTACACTAACATAACTGAGATTTTGCATGGCAGTGTACACAGTGGATTAAAGAATATTTTTTCAAAAATTAATAAGTAAATTAAAATTAAATAAAAAATACATAAATAAATAAAATAATAAATAATAATAACAATATAAATAATAAAAATAAATAAAACAATAAAATAAATAAAAATTAAAGAATACTTTTTTAAAAATTAAAAATAAATTTGTCATAATCTAACATAACTTAGGTTATGTATGGTTGTATACACAGTGGATTAAAGAATTTCTTAAGCCCACTAATAAATGGATTGAAAGAACACTTACAGCCCATAATGTTATGGGAGTTTAAGCAAGGAAATACTGCTATGGAGACATCTTGAAAAATATGAAGTATTTAAGGTCATGCTATTATAACTGATAGGCAAATGATAGATTTATTGAAGCAAAGAGAATTATCTTGACTCTTCTTGAAATGAGATTCTATTTACAAAGTTTAATTGTGGAGAAACATTATTGGAAGAGAATCCCAGATAGGGGGGTGTTTATTCCTCAGACTTTGATGAAGAAAGCTCTAAAGTCATCAGTAGAATGTAATCCATGGCAGAGTACTTAGGAATTAGTAAAGATGTTAAAACATGTCACAATCTACCATATGACAGGGAAAGTCAATAAGTTGGGTGTTTGTTTTGCTGACACTCATAATGAAAAGAACAAATCAAATTGTTGATAAACAAAAAGGACATTGATAAAGAAAAATGGAATTATTTGAGACAATCTAGTAATTCAAAACAAAAGGGCAGGATGTCTCTACTCTCTGACAATCATAATACTTCAACTTAAATAAAAATAATAAACACAGAAAATAAGATCATGTCCATTGACTAATAATTGCATTTAAGAGGAAGTAATTTATGTTCTAGTTATTAATAATGTATTTATATCTTTATTGAATAGCAATACTAGCAGAACTATTACTAACAGGAACAATGCTGAAATCTCTTACAAGTGGTGCTGAAAAGTTCTTGGTTTTGATTTGGTTTGTTTTATAGCCTATCAACCTCAATGGGTTATTCAATGCTGACAAGATTTTTATTGTTGGTAATATTTTTCCTCTCAAAAATGTATTGTGACAATATATTTTTTTCTTCCAAAATGTAATGGTGGTAATATTTATTTTCTTCCAAAATGTAAATGGTGGTAATATTTATTTTCTTCCAAAATGTAATGGCGGTAATAGCTTTTCCTCCAAAAATTCATTGCTAGTATTAAAACCTATTTTTACACTTTCACAGTGCTTTGACCCTAGTTTGGGGGTTAACTATTTGCCCATATTTGGGACCTTAACATTTATGAGATAAAATGCACGTGTCTCAAGTCATCTTGCTACAATGCCTGACACATGTTGGAATTCTTATATATTAATCCAATAACTTTCTTAAGACTACATAATGTAGTTGACTAGAAAGACACTATTTAACACATAGGCAAACAAATTCAGCCTAAGTAAAATAAAGCAATATTGCCAAAATGTCTTTAAAAATGACAAAAGTGTTCATGCAAATAGAAAATGAAGTTGATACTAAAACTCACAGTTTTATTTTGCTCCACTCATTGCCAGTTTTAGATTTAAATATTTTACAAAATTCCTTTGAAGCCTCCTCAATAGAGAAGAATGGTGTGTGCTGGAACTGGCCTCTGTCCCCAATTCGCCCCCAGCGGGTAAATAACACATATAGGTCTTTATTTTTCTCTCGGACAATCTGTATTAAAAAAAAAAAAAAATAAATAAATAAAAAAATTAAGATATGAAATTAAAAAAAAAAAAAAAAAAATTGATTATTGAAAATGGTAGAAAGACATAAGATATTGTAAAGGATATGAAATTCTTCTTGACTGATTACTTACCTGCATTTTATAAAAATTGTACATTCCCCAGACACCACAACAGACATCTACTTTGGTGAGGAGAACATCAAAGGGTAATGACTGACTGCTATCAAAAACCACTTCACTGTGAAAAGAAGAACATTTTTTTTTTTTTAAAAATAAATAACCTATTAGAAAATGTAATTAACATTCATTAATGATAAGTTGTTGTTGTTGTTTCCGTTATAATTAATGAAGCTCTAATGTATATATTTTTCTTATTGATAAAAGTGACAGCCAACCCATTTTAGAAGGTCAAAAAAAAAAAAAAAAAAAAAAAAAAATAAAAAATTTTTTTTTTCTTTTTTTTACACTATTGTTCAGACTGTTGTCCTCATCTTTGTTGTCATAGCCATGACGTTTTGGCTGTTGTATGCTACAGGTTTCTTCAGGTGATTGGAATTTCAAATTGAACCCTTTATTTCGTCCACAGGGGAGTAGATTATTCTAGTTATGCCATACTTCTTCTGGAGATCTCATTTTCAGTTTCAGTTATCTCCCTTCTGTAACGCAACTCTCTAAGTTTTTGTTCACCTCTGCTGTGGCCAGGTATTGAACTCACAAGTCTTTTGGGTTGAGTCACTGGATTACTTCCACCAACACTTTTATACACTGGGCCATGTGTCCTTGGGGATATGACAACAAAGATGAGGACAACAGTCTGAACAATGTAAATAGTTTAAATATTTACAATACCTCATCTCAGAAATATAGACAGATAAAGAAAATTTTCTATCCAAATAAATCTAAAATAACAAGAAACTGACTTGGGACTTGGGAATTTAGAAAATTGTTTAAAATATTTAACCCTTTGCCTGTCAAGGGCATTTTCGTGTCTACTATCCAAATGTTCATACTTGTTTTCAGATTTATATAACTATTGCAAGGCAACTCAACTTATTTGACAAATAGAATGTGATGATATACAGTGTTTCACATAATAAAAACCTGTGCATCACATGTGAATGTACAAATCATAAGTTATTTAGACTACATTATGTACATCACATATGATGCAAACTTTATAATCATTTCAATAAAGTGGAAGAATAAATGTCTTTGAGACTTTACATTATCAGTCAAGCATCCTGTGGTCATATATGACGCAAAAAATATTAAATTAGGCCTCTCCTCAGGTGTTCTGCTCAATAGTAGACTTTTTACTTAATTTTACCACTCTTTTAAAATCATGGTTTGTGTGCACCACATATTATGCCCGGATGTGGAATTTATTTATTTAAAAACATTTATAACATATTTATGTTATAAATTTTTTTAAATAAATAATTATATCTGCTCTACTTTGTATTGAGCACTCTTTTAAGAATAGTATTTGTTGGTTATTGGAATTCATTCCGTATATACCAATCATATACTTGGGTGTATATATATATATATATATATATATAATGTGCAGGACAGGCAAAGGGTTTTAAGTAGAGCTGTTGTTGTCATTTAAAAGAATAAAAAAAAAAAACTTCAAAAGAAAATCTGTGCCAAATTCTATACGAGAAACTAATTTTTTTCCTTTAATAAAGCTTGAAAAAAGTCATCACTTTTATAATCTTAGTATGACTAAAACTATTAAAACAATATTTTAATGACAAATGATTTTCACTGCAAAACATGAAAAAATAAATCACAAAACCAATGACCTGCATCCAATTAAATAAGGTGAAATGACAACTCACCAAGAAGCACGAATGTTGCAGTTTTCATCTGGTTGAGGTACAAATTCTTTTTCATCACCTGAGTCACTTACATTGGGAACTAAGACAGACTCTATGGCTTTGCTGTCACTTTCAAAATCAACATTTGGCAGAGTATTAGAGATTCCATCAGGTTCTCCTAAACAATTAAATGTGGGTTTCTCCTGTTGCAAAAAGAAGAAATTCAGAAACACGATCAGTGAATTATCAAGCAGACAGTAAAAGGTAACCAAGCTGAAGAGTATGGAAGGGGTCAGATGCATTAAATTGATTCAATAGTTTTTCTTTTACAGCTTATCAACCCTTTGCAGGTTATTTAAAGCCAGAAAATATTTTTAGTTTGTAAGAATTTTTTTTCTGAAAAATGATTTACTGATACAAGTCCTACTAATTAACCCATAGCTTGGGGGGGGAGAAGAGGTGGATTCATACCTTTCCCCAAGGATATTTGCACATAAGTGAATACAATGAACCCAATTGGAATTGGAACTTGGCTCACTGATTAGCAATTCAGAGCCATTGTCCATTACACCAACTACACATCCAAGTTTAAAGCACTGGGCATTCCTACCAGATGCATTAAAGGACTTAACATTTTGCATTCATTTACAGAAAAACAAAGATGTTTTTTGAGAAATATCATTGCAAGGAAGAAGTATCTTAATTTCTAATAATAAAACAAAAAAGGTCTGGTGTTATATGACTAAAATTGGAATAATCTTAAAGATTTCATGAAAATCGCTCAACTTACCCACTTGTCCCGCTCAACACCGGTGAGTTTCTGTAGCATGCGAGCTAATCGTGGAGCTCCATTGATTAGGGCATGTTTCAGGGGGGATAACCCAGCTGTGTCCTCAAATTCTAGAGGAGCTCCAGCTTTGAAGAGAACATAGAGAATTTCATCATTATCGTAGGTGCCATATTCAAGAGGACACACCAGATGATGCAGAACAGTGCGACCATCATTGTCAATACAGTTGATATTCACAATGCTCGTCTTTTCAACTGTTGGGATATTGTCTGCAAGACAAAACAAAGCGATAAAAATAAAAAGCCACTGTAAATAAGTAAATAAGCAATATGGTAAATTTTAAAAAAAATCCAGCTTTATAATTCTTGAAATTGGGATCCGTTTCTTACGTAAGAATTCATTAACCCTTAAATGGCTGGCATCATCAATGGATGATTTAAACTTTTTACAACGATGCAGGTAATAATCATTCATGCTTTGACTCTTTCACAACTCTAGGAATCATTAGGTTACTATTTATTATATTTCATATGGTTATGTCATTTTGTGGGGTATATGCCTATAAATAAATCTGGAAGAAAAAAATAAAAGATGGTGCTATAAAAGAGATGAAAATCAGTGCATAAAACCTATTGGGCATGGATTGCTTTAAAAAGTATCACAATGTTAAAAAAACATTAAATTAAGAACCTGCCATTTGTTTTATTTCCCTTTTTTTTAATCTAAGAGTTTAAAAAAAATCATATTTATAGTTTTTGTATCTAATTAAATCTATGTTTAAAGCAGAAATAAACCTAAAAACTATTCTTTAAAAAATTAATTTTGTTTTTTTCACTAGTTTGGCATGCACATTAATGCAAACTTTCACCAACCTTAAAGGGTTAAAAACCATTATTATTAATACACAGTTTGACATAAAAAAAACAAAACTGGTTGACATTTGGCCACTTTTAAGCAGATTTTTTATTATTTTTGCATTTCGTAGTAAAATAAGAGGACTAAAGATTATATGTGTTTGTAAGCTGTATAATACAGTGTGCCAGAAATACCTCCCATATAATGGTAACACATTAGTGGCAGTGGTGTCTTCATCTAGTTAATGTCTTACAATTATGTGGGAGGTATTTCTGCCACACCCTGTTGTATCTGAAACAAAAATGAGGACAATGTAACAAATGAGTTTCGTCAAGAACAACTGCTGCTTTCAGCTTCTTCAGGTTAGGACATTCTAAAACATAGCCATCAGGATAATGCAATAGACTTTACTGTCCATAATGCACCACTGACCAGCATATATAGTCAAGCCAAACACACATGGCCTAAAGATTTATAGGTACCTCCACTAACTTGGTAAAAATTTTTGATACCTATGGTATAGAATGAATTTTAAAAAAATGGAAGTGCATCCTTGAAGATTTCTTTTTAGCTTTAATTGAAAGCTAAAGGATTAAATTTACTATTACGAGGAAGCAAAATACTCTGGTGTATTTCAAATAGAAACTATATTGATTGGAATGTCAATTATTTGCTTACTTTCACAAAATTGATTACAGGCAGCCATTTTCTCACATCTTAACACATTTGTAAATAAAATTTAAGTATTGGTTTTAAAAATCTTCCAAAATATATATTTGAGACAAGTTATTTGAGGAAAATTAGCAAATTTAAAGTTAAATTAATCTGATTTGAAATAAATATTATTTATTTATAGCATAAAAACGTAGTATACAAGGATTTCTTAACCACAGGTCCTGTTTTTCTGAGGTGTTGATTGATGTTATTAACAGGCTAGGGGGTTGACAGCTAAGTATGAATGACCAGAATTGATATAAATCTACAAAATCTAAGTGAACGCATTCTTTTTGGCTACCTAGTAATCTTTACATATTAAAATATTTTCAGCAATTATCTAATATTTTATTGACTTTTAGTTACTATAGCCATACATTTGAAGATGCTTTATGGAAAAATAACATTTTCTTAAATTAATTTTAAAATTTAATAACTGAAGTATTAACCATAATAGTAACTCAATAATTTATGAAATGTTATGTTATTTTATTTATTATTAATTTATTTTTTTAATATCTTTTTTTTAATTTTAAAGTTTTAAAATTTTGAAGGGATGATATGCAAAGTCTGTTGAGATGCAAACAAGCAATGAATTGCAGACAAGAAAATTTCTCTGTAAAGAGAGTACAACTCTTACAACATGTGACCTTTTAATAATAATAATGTCATTTATAGACTACCATACATTCAAAAATGGGGATGTTTAAACTAAAAAAATAAAAATTATTTAAAAAATCTTTGTGCAAAACAACTTATATTAAGCTTTTCAATTTTTGATTGGTAAATAAAGTTATAATTACAGTATGATGTAAAAAAAAGGAAGTAATGCAGAATATTAAATGATTTTTAAATTTTTATAATTAAAATTTTAAAAAATGAAAAAAATTATTGAAAAAATTCATTATTCATCGAAATTTTTTTTTAAGACAGTAGTGTCCTTAATATATCTTATTTATAAAAGCAATTAAAAGCTTTTCTAATTAAATAATGTCATAGTTCTATTACATTTTTTAGTTTACCATTTAAAGCAGATTTTCGGAAAAACAGCAGTATTTTGAAAAAATATTGGATTATTTAAATACTCGAAGGAGTCCTACTTTTAACTAATAAAAACTTTGGGAAAGAAAATTTAATTTCTCAAAATTTCATGTAATTAAATAAGTTGGGGTGGGGGTGTTTCAACATATGTTAAAAAAAAAAAAAAAAAAAATTAGCAAGATTTTCTAAAACAAAAATTTCCCAAAATAATTTTATTCATTCGTGAATAAGCCCTGAAAATTTCATTAAAATCAGACAATTATTTGATTTTTGTAAGAATTTCCAAATCAATGTGTTTTTCACTGGAAAAAACAAGTGCAAAATTGCTGATGTTAAAAAAAAAAAAGATTTTGAAACAGAATGAATTAAAAAATTGTAAAAAATAATTAAAAAATACTTTGGTTTTCCTCTTAATAATAAACATTTTGTCAATAAAGCTTTGGTTTAATTAGGTTTGGCACCTTTTTCATTATGCTATACTGTTTTTTCAGCAAGCAAGTGGAGGTACCTAATATATATATATGCTAACAATTTACATTGGCAATTTGTTAGCCAAGTATTTTAAGCAAAAAGAAATTGATTGGCATATGCAATATTCAAGAGCAGTAGTGAATGCATCTGATAAATGCTTAAACTTTCAAGTGCATTGTGAGGTTCTTATTGAAGAACATTTACAAACAGTTTTAAGATTTTAATTCTTACAAAAACAAAAAATCAGGACTGGTAAACCTTTTGACACATGAAAATGAAAAAGGGTAAACATTAAGAGAGTGACATACTCACCAAATCTGAAACTGAAACTTGATTGGTTGCCTTGTTTGAGCATAAAAGAGGCTTTCGAGTTCAGTCTTGGAAAAATTGGTGGTTTTTGTTGTAAATCAGTCTCTTCACTGTCAACTTCATCTGTGTCATTTCCGTCATCATTGTCATTGTAGTCGTTGCCCTCATTATCATCGTACTCCTCGTCATCATTGTCACCATCCTTTTCGTCATTGCTCTCGTCGCTGCTTCCAACACTGTCTTCATTATCAACGTCATTCACTTCTGCATCACTCATGTCACTGGCCCCATTCTCAATGTCGTCGACTTTGTCTGTCGCATCTGTACCTTCTTCAGCCATCACAGACACTACCTCTGGCAAATCATCAACAGCTGATCCATTGCCATTTGCCTGTGCAGCAGCAGGGGTTTTGTTCTCTGCACTAATCATCTTTAGTGTAAACAGCTGCTGAGAGGGCATCTTGGGTAGCTCTGCCTTGGTCACTTCATGGGTCTGTTCAGGGTGGTAGTCATAGTTCAGCAGTAATTTCACTATGTTGATATCATTCTGTTAAAACAATAAAATCAGTCAAAGTCAACATAACAAAATCCATAACTAATTAATCAAAACTTTTATATTTGATAAAGAGATGCTGAAATTTCATAGAGAAAACAGAATTTTAAGTGACAAAGAAAGATTTACCTTTTTAACTGCATGCATAATTGGAGTAAGACCTTTTTCATCGGCAAAATTGGGAGAAGCTCCATTTTTCAGAAGAAACCTGACCAGGTTTGTGTTGTAAGAACATATGGCAAAAATGAGAGGAGTGATGAGTGGGCCATCACATCGTGTGAAGTAGTTCATTCGCTGAAAGGTTACTTGTTCCCCAAACAGGAGTGGGTGTGGTGGAGGCAAATCAAACAAGATATCAAGAGAAGCATCAAGACTTATCAGCATCTTCAGCCAATCTCTGAAAGAAAGTGATCACAAAAGGACAAGTGATTACGACAGTAGACATCACAATTTACAGAGCATAAAAGAAACATTCCCAAAATGGCTGATACTTTACATGATGTGATGCCTGTTTGGGAACAATATCAAAGAGACAAAATGGACATAGCAAATACATTGCAACTTCATATTAAACAAAAAAAGACAAGTACATCAGAATTTCAAAGGTTCTCAAAGAATGCCGATAAATAATAGGTCAGGAATTTCTGAAGACTTACTTTGCTTCTGTATCAATATCTGATACTTTGTCATAGTGCCAGAAAAAGGCTGCCATCACATCACGTCCATGTCTGTCTTTATGCTTGATGTCAAGCCTGGGGTTTCTGCCTAAAAAACAAAAAAAAATAAAATAAAAAATAATAATAATAAGCATCATTAGTTTTCCCATATCACATCTGTTTCGTCATTTTCTATTTCCCATTATCAACTTTATGTTGCATACAATTTCATTTAAATCTTGAAAACTTTCTGAAAATTAATTTTGCAATGAGAATGTCAGAAAGCATCAAAGCAATGAGAAGCCACTGCCAACTCTAAGCTATATTCTATTTTAGAAGAAAACATTGCATACCCAAAAACAACATGGGAAGAGAGGTCTAGATCATTATTTTCTGATAAATACAATGTTGGTTGATTTCGTTTAGCGGCATATCAACCTCTGTGTTATCTAATGTTGAAATCTAAATATTTTGAACACAATTTTATGGCTCCAACTAAATATATTTTGAAAGCAACTTTGCCTTCAACTACAGATAAAATGTATTTTTGGTCATTTTACTATAAATATGTATTGGTCATTGTTATATAAAGATGTATTGCTGGTATTTTTATCATAATAATGTATTTTTATACTTCCGTAGTGTTTTGTTTCCGTTTGGGAGTTTTGGAAATAGCTGGGACCCTAACAGGTGCTACACCACCGTAGGTCAGGGTAAATCTGGGACAACAGCAATTAAAAGGTAGTTTCACACACCTCAAAACCTCTAATCTCCCAATCAGAGGCCTTGCTGCTGGATGTAGTTTATCATCATACCCAGGATGTAATAGATGTATCAAATATGTTTTTATGGAGTCAAACATAATCACTGTTCTTTTTCTTCATTCTACATTTCAGTTTTCTTATAATATGAAACTGGGTGAAACGATCTTCAGAGTTGGGGTTAGGCTTAACCTTGTTTTTACTGATGCTCATTAATGTTTGTGCCAGGTACTTCAACGTGATGTAATGGTTAGCAAGTTTGTTTTGCTAGCTAGGATGTAGTTTATAGTCATACCCAAGACTAATAAATACGAGGAGAATTGTCGAAAATTGATATTCAGTGCCAAAAGCAGGTAATGATCAATTTAACGTATGAATTGAACTGAGTACATTTTAAATATCTTGCTGAGAATAATTGTCTTATATTTGGCAGATTTAAATTGTTTTAATATTTGGGAACTTACACTAAAAACAAGTAGAAAATTGTCTCATGTATTTCCAGTTCAGATATGGAACTGTATTAATAGTTTTAGTTAAGAGGAAGATTAAAACAACGCTTTCATATTTCTCATTTAAAAAAATAAGGGCTTAGGTCAAGGAACTCTAGTCTGCAGTAAAGTCAAAATTCCTGAAAACCCATTTCGGCTTATGAAGCAAAAAATTCCTGAAAAGAGCTTAAATTTGGCATTTAACTTATTCAGACTACTTTTTTTTCAGGAGGAATTTTCAGTGCCAAAAATGGATTCAACATCCTCCGCCAAAAAAACAAAAAACAAAACAAGAACAACATAATAAAAGGTCTAGATCAGGATTTTCTTATTAATAGAAGGGTAGTTATATTGTAAACTGATATTTTGTTGCCCAGCATATGGTGCCAAAATTAGGTAAAACCCAATTTAACATCTGAAAGAAACAGAGTACATTTTAAATATCTTCCCAAGTAGCATTATCTTACATTTCGCAGACTTAAATTGTTTTAATATTTAGGAACTTATACTAAAAAAGAGAGAGAAAAAAAAATTGTTTTGGGCATTTTTTTGTTAGTGTTATTAAAATGGAGATGTGTAATAGAAACAATAAAAAAAAAAAAGAAAAGAAAAAAGAAATGGCAAAATAATGTGACTAAATTTTGTGTTTTAAGGCCCCAAAATGTACTTGACATGGGTCATTTTAAGAAAAAAAATATTAAGTTAAACCTGACATTCATTTCAATGAGATTGCAATGACTTTCCTAGAAAAATGAGATGGAAAAAGCAACTATCCAGAACTGATCAGATGATTAACCTTTAACATGCTGGAGGTGATTTTGTTTGCAGGGCAAAAATTTTATCCTGCCACTGCAAGTGATTCAGATGATTAACATGTTTGAATTTTGCAGTTTTGCTGTCATATCCTTCTATGGCAACAGAAAATGACCATGACTGAAATTAAGTAATGCAGTATAGGAGCCTTGAAAAATGATGCAGTGAAAAGAAAAATAGTGAATAATTCAGTGTGTTAACACATTAAGCACATCAAAGTTTTGATTAACTAGAAAACCATCATAACTTGACAAATACTTGAAGTTAGGACAAATTTTAACCCGTTCTGAAATCCAGAGACTACTTTCAGACTAGCAAATATCACTTGGGAAATATTCCAAAAATGCTAAATGGTCCACTTGAAAGCCTGCATTTAAAAGTGAAACATGCAAACAAAGAGTTGTAAATAACTCTCACAATCAATTCTTCTCTAAGAAATCAGAGTAAAAATCAATAAGAGTTGATTCTTAACTACATGCATGCCATCAAAAAGCACTTGACAGTAGTAACTAATGAGAGCAAAATTAACAAATCTTATATTTAGTTCAATCCCATTTTATTTTCAAGATTGTCAGAGGCTAGAATTCATTTTAGTTATTCTATGTTAATAAAAACATGGGCAAATAGAGAATTTTTAATTAAATAGAATTCTGCACTCAACATAAACATTTTGTAAAAGTATTGTCTGCTCTCTCGTGAATTTTTATCAAATTTTTAATGACTAAACAATTGTTGTTTAAATTCTTGTTTTGTAACAGATTACATGCGGAATGCTAAAAAATGTTCTATTTCTGCATTGCTGATAATACAATGCAAAAGTAAATAGAAAAATGTTGATTTGAGAAAGATTTCCTATTTTAGTTCTTGACCAAGAATTAAAAAGACAAATTCAAATTTTACACTTACTGGACATCAGTTGGCCCAATCGGTATGGCTGATGCATTAAAGCAGCATACATAAGAGGGGTGCAGCCGTACATATCTGTCTGGTTTAAGGACACGCCCTTCTCAAGTAAAATGCGAGCAATCTACAGCAAAAAGTCAGAAAAAAAAAAAACAAAAAAAAACATTATTCATTAATGGCCACAAATTCAAAAAGGGAAAAAAAAAAGTTCTCTCAGAACAGGAGAGATAATGGCTGCCATGAAATGGTAGAAAGTAATCAGAGAAAGAATAAGGAGAGGAGTGAACCCCACCCCATTCACATTTAACCATGATGTGACAACTTTGGTAAGGGGGTCCATAATAATAACAACAACATAGCTTAGTCTGGTTACTTCTCTGCCAGAAGAAGGGATACTCCTGCTTTTTATTCAAACATACAATATGGCCAATGTGGTTCTTCCATGTCTGAACAATGGCTGAAACGGTGCTTCAGTCCCCTTAGTTCCCAGTTATAACAGATAGTATGAAAGTAAAATACTGAAAAATGTCTATTGAATAATTCTCAGCAAATATACCCCTTATTTTTCAATCTTAAGAATTCAGCAGAATGCCATGTGACAAAGATATAGACAAATTTTTTTTGTCTTTTCTTTAAAATCCCATTTGTGTCTAACAATGTCAATACAACAGAAAAGAAAACTCACAAGTTTATATTCCTAACACACCTTGTGCATATATCTTATAAAATTCTGTGACTTCCATTAGTCTGTCTGTCCATCACACCCTTTAAAATATCCAGATTGATCAAAAACAAATTTTGGTGTGAAGTGCAAACAGGTAAGGCAGTACAAAGTACAGTTGGTTTTATTCGGGTGCAAAGCTTATTACAACAAATTTTCATTCATTTTTGGGGGAAATATTAAAAGTTTTATTATTTAACATACAAAATACTCCCACTAATTTAATGATTAAAATGACAAATACTTATTTAATATGCAATATTGTTTTTCACATATCTTCTCTAAGTTTTTATATATATATACACATATACATATATATATATATATAAGTACCCAATTTTCAGATCACCATGCATTTGCGAGAACTATAAACAAATCATGAGGCCAAATGCTTCAAAAAGTTGGAATTTGGCTCCAGAAAGAAATATTTATGCATGGCCAGTTGTATGCTGCATGCTCAAGAGTAAGAAATCTGAAGAATTTATTCTTTGCTGCTAAAAAGAAAAAAAAATTTTTTTAAATATTGTTAACATGAAGTCCTATAAAATTAAAGAATTTATTAAAACATGAAATAGGGCTTTTCTCAAAGTGCTTTTCCAAACAAATCAGTTTCATCGAAGGGTATGTGAAATTGAATGAAACGTAGAGTTTGTAAATCTTGACAAAAAATGTTAGAGATAACTTCAACAATACTAAATAATGTACGAATTTTAACATGCATGAGCGTGTTGCAAATAAATTCTAGTTTCAGATAAAGCAGAAAAACTAGGTTGTCTATGTTAATCCTATTTAGAATTGACAAAGCATAAGTTGTAGAAACTTAATTCCAACATGTGTGAAAAAGCAGCCAATCTTGAGCTAAGTTATAATAATTTTATTCCTGCAATAGCAAAACATTTAAAATTGAAAAAGACATAAAGGCAAATGAAGAAGCAGAAAGCAATACCTTCAGCTGAGCTTCTGTATCCACTCCTGGTTTTGTGCAGAGAGCAAGCATGTGAAGGAGATTGCGACTATCCTGGTTGGTAGACTGTAGTCTACTGATATCGTGCACTTTCTTTATCAGACGAAGAGCAACATTATATTTGCTCACACACAAAGCAGACTGAAACAAAAGTATTTCAAGAGAATAATGGAAGAGTAAATCAAAAAAAAATAAAAAATAAAAAATAACCACCCAAGATTTGCAAATTAAGATTAAATAAATATACCTTAATTCATTAATGCCTGCCATCTTATTTTTGGGGAGGTGGTCAGCAATGGATAATAGTTAGAAGCCTATAATAAATACTGGATTTATTTTATAAACTTATAATTACTGCCTGAATTTCTTGAATGAGGAGTTATTTTCATTCAGACTAATGTCCTCATTATCACATTTCGGCCGTTATGCCCCCTGGTCTTCTTCAGATGTCAATTGATCCAGGTAGCATAGTAATTGTGTGTTCAACCACTGAGCTGGATAGTACAGACACAGTGGAAATGACTGAACAGTACTAAAACAAGAACAAGATGAGATATCCCTTGACATGGACAGTGAAACAAGAACAATTTACTCCTGTTGATTAAATTAAAGGTTCAGTCTAAAATTCCCTGAAGGTTATTCAAAGCAAAAGACACCTGAAGAAGGCTGGAGAACACAACAGTTACAATGTGATAACATCAACAAAGACATCTGTCTATATTTCTGAGGTGAAGTATTGTAATTATTTACATTGTTCGGACTGTTGACCTCATCTTTATTGTCATATTCACAATGTTGTACACTCCGATCTTCTTCAGTTGATTGGAATTTTGAATCAAACCCTTTATTTTGTAGATTGTTCTAGTTCCACATGCTATGTCTCTTCCAGATGCTGCAGTTATCTCCCTTTGACTCAACTCTCCAAGTTTTTGTTCACCACTGCAGTAGCCAGATATTGAACTTACAACTCTTTGGGTTAGGTCACTGGATCCAACCAACACTTTTAACCACTGGGCCATGTGTCCTTGAAGATATCCGGAAGAAGCATAGCATATGGGACTAGAACAATCTGCCCCAGTGGATGAAATAATGGATTCAATTCAAAATTTCAATCACCTGAAGAAGGCCGGAGCATACAATGGCCGAAACGTTATGAATATGATAATAAAGATGAAGACAACATTCTAAACAATGTAAATAATCAACAAAGACGAGGACATTAGTCTGAATGAAAATAATGTAAACGACCTATAATTAATATCAAAATTTCTAAGAGACCTAGAATGAAGACTGGATTTTTATGTACATAGTTAAATTCTCAAGTTAAATTTTTCATTGAGAGAACAAAAAACATTTATTATTTAAAGATTAAACCTATGTTTAATCATGAAGTTTTAGTCATTTGTTCTATTGAAAGGAAACTGCTTATTGCATTTGCTTTGGGACAAAGTTTTCTTTTAAATAGCAGTAACTAAGATATAGACAAAAAGAAGGAACAAGTTTATTGTTATAAAGAAATTTACATTATGAAAATTAATATGAAATCTATTGATTTGACATTATTTGAACTTATGTACCATTTGTAATGATTGATTATTGATAACCATAAGAGTTTAATAAAAAATATTAATGATAATAAAAATATAGCTTTCTGGGTATTAATAAATTACATGTCACAGAATTTTTAGTCAATTGCAAAGAAATTGAATAATAAAATGTCAAATCTTATTGAATAATCATTACTTTAAATTACAGATCTTTAAAACAACATTTTGTATAGAAACTCACCTCAATGCCACTTCTAAGATCCATTCCATTAGAATCCAGCATGACATATGCAACATTCTGAAGTTCTGAGGCAATTGCTTCCTAAAAAACAAAAAATGCGCACAGAAGGAAAGGTTAATACTAAAATTTCTATAAACCTGATTTATGTACATTTTTTTTTAATACACCAAAATCTTTGACAGAAAATTTAATTCTCTTAAAAAGTTTCATCTTGTTTCCTGCACAAGCTAAAGTAGATAAATATTCAAACAGGCATGGCTTACAAAGCTGATTTGGAAAAAAAAAATATTTCTATAATGTGACACTATTTAGCTATGGTAATTGGCTAATTAATTAACCATATAAATTAAAAACAGGAAAGACTTAAGGCGAGAAAGAGCTATATCAAAAGATACTGATCTCAACATAAAAAGAAAAAAAAAGAAGGATTTTGTAAACAAAATTCCGAATAATAATTTCAGGAGGGCCAGTCTAACCACACCCACACTGCTGAGAGATCATTGGTCAAGTGGTAGAATGGGCGGAGCTGAATGTATGAGAAAGACGGAGAAATTGTTAACATCCACTGAGGGGATTGGTATGAGATACCAATGTGAGAGAGGAAGAGTCTAGGAGGATAACTCTCCTCCGACCTTCCTTCATGGATGAGGGAGAAACCCCCGAAATGGAAAGTGATTAATCTTCTAAAAATGGGAAGTAATTAATTTTCCTGACCTAGGAACAAAGAGAATTCTTGCTGGGAATCGAGAATTATCGGGAACCCAAGCCACGTCAGGCCCCACACACCAGGTTTTGGTCAGTATCCATATAAACGAACGTCTAAAGGCAGCTAATCATTTTGGAGTTAGTTGGTTCCAGGAGTTCCAGCAGTTGATTTGCAGTTGCAGTCAAGCCGTTGCCTCGCAGAAGCTGACCGAGAAATTCTACGTCCTTCTGACTTAGCCTTCCTACTAAAAGCAAGTTATATTGATGAATGATTTAAGATACCAAAACTCGCTTAAGAAACGCAAAAGTGTCACAAATCCATAGAAATGGGCTGGGAGAGAAACACACTCCTGTATTAAACAGATGGATAAAGATAATTCATTATTTCTCAACATATTTGAACCTCTTAAGTTTTGTTTTATTGTTTCTTTTACTTACACTTGTGCGATATCACCTTTACCCTGGATTCAGCTTGCACTACGGCCTGATGCCTGATTGATTTCATCTACCTAAGATCAAAGTCACAACGTGGGTAGGTTAGACTTGAGATCAAAGTAGTTACTTTGGTAACCAGACGTTGGAAGTGAGCTGGGAACGACAAAGCTGGTATCAAACCAGGAACGACCAGATTGACTGGGACACAGGCTGGTGACAGCGACAAAGAGTCAACCCCAAAACGCTGATGGAAGAAACCTTACAGCTTTGTGCCGCAACTGGGAGTTGACCAGTGCAGTGTCACATATTGGCGTCGCGACTAGGAGATGTCACACATTGGCGCTGTAACCGCGACCACCAGTGGGTGTCACAATAATATAAAGGAATTTTGTGAAATACACCCATTTGATGATTTGGCACACATTATCAGTGATATTTTTAGCCAAGGATCATTAGAGGCTTTGGGTCTTTCAACATCACAGCCCCTCTCCACAATGACCCAGCTGATAATGATCAGATATCAACTTACACACCATCTGTCAGCTACAACTCTCCTCATTTTTAATCACATACTGCAACTCCTCTTGGCAATTTATAGTCCAATCATGGATCACTTCTAGCTCACCAGCCATCTACGCTCTTCTATAAAAAAGGAAGCAAATGCAGTAATAGTTTCGCTCTGGTAAGGAATATGGCGATGTGTTCTGCTTGAAGTGGTAAGTAATGTTATTTGAAATTAAATTAAGTAAAAGAAACTAATGATTAAGATTTGGGGAAAAAATATATAATTCCATGCATGCCAGTAATATATATTTTACAAAAAATATATTGTGGGCAATTTGTTTTTCAAAAATGTATTACCGGTAATTTTTTTTCACTATGAAAATGTATTGCTGGTATTTTTATTATAAAAATGTATTTTTATACTTTCATAGTGTTTTGATTTCAGTTTTTTGGGGTGTGGAGGGGGTAACTATTTGCCCATAGCTGGGACCCTAACAGGTGCTACCATCCTGGGTCAGGATGGACCTGGGAATAACAGCAATTAAGAGGTGGTTCCATGCTCCTCAAAACCTCCTGATCAGAGGCCTTGCTGCCGGATGTAGTTTATCATCATACCCAGGATAACAACCTAAAGTGATTTGAAAATCTCTTCGCATACTGACCTGAAAGATTGGGTGAACTTTCTTTTCGGGTCTATTTGCAATGTTTCTGATAGGCTGCCATTTCCAAATAGGCTTTAGTTTCCTGTCAGCATTTTGAGCGTCTTTACTCAAATTACTGGCTGCAGGAGGAATTATCACATTTTCTTTCACATTAGCACCTTGTTGCAGTAGCATAATAGCACAACTGAAAGAAAGCAATTCAAAAAATTGAAACAAGAAAAACCTTTAACTGAAAATCATTACAAGGGCCAGTCAAAAAAATAATGCCTGTTCTTTAATTGCAGTAGATTTAATAAGAGGAGGACACAAAGTATATAAAAATGAACAGAAAATTTTCAGTAATGTAAATATTGCCCTCAACATAAGTTTCTTCCTTCCTTTCCCAAATATGATGTTCCACCTCTGAATGAAAATAGAAGCTTTTTGGTTGCTTTGTTAGCTATGTAAAAGTTGCCTATTTCAGGTTATCATCATTGTTAAAAACTGCTCCCGTCCAAGTGCTCTTTTTCTGGACTCAAATACATGAAGGTCTCAGGATGAGAGGTCAGGACAGCAAGGTAGGTAAGGTAAAATTGTCTAACCATGCACAGTGATGGCTTGTCCAGTCTTTAAGCTGTTATGAAGCCTTCTATTGTCATTATTTACATTATTTGGACTATTGTCCTCATCTTTGTCGCCATATTTATCAACAAAATTTTGCTTGTTTTCTAGCCTTCTTCAGGTGGTTGGAATTTGAACTGATCCCTTTATTTAATTCATGGGATTAGACTGTTCTAGTTCCATGTTTGATGGATGTCAGTTATCAGTTGGTCTGCTATTTTGAAAGTTCTCCACTGTCCAGTGACAGGACCCAAAGAGTGTGAGTTCAATACCCGGTTAAGGCAGTGGAGAACTTTCAGAGAGAAATTAGCAGGAGATAACTTGATAACTGACATCCATCAAACATGGAACTAGAAACAGTCTACACCAGTGAGCGAAATAAAGGGTTCAGTTCGAAATTCCAACCACCTGAAGAAGGCCGGAGCGTACAACAGCCAAAACATTGTGATAAATATGGCGACAAAGATGAGGACAATAGCAAATAATGTACATAATACCTCATCTCAGAAATATAGACAGATTCTATTGTCATGTTACAAAAATACAGCACTCTTCTTCAAATGTGGCTGTTTTGATATTTGACAATGTGCTCTAATAGGATCCAGAATTGATCGTTGTGCATCTCCATAAGCTCTTCTTGGGCAGCAACTATTTTCTGCTCCTTCAGAGAATCTGTCAGTGTCTTGAGAACCAACTTTGCAGACCTTTGAGTAGCCAAGAGACTAAAACAAACATGAAGATTTTCACAGAGATTTGTGGTCAACATTCCTTTGACAACTGAAATCAAAATACCAACCTGTTTAGCTTTATCTTCATTCACAGCAGCAGCTGACCTGCCACTGAAGGGCCTGTCACTAAGTTTTGTTTCTCTTTTCTCTCTAGGACTGGCATTAACTATACAGACATCTCCTTACTATCCTTACTTTATGTATCCTATATATATAAACATTCACTAATCTACAGCATTTTTTCTTTTCAGAAACAGAAAATCTATAAAAGCTCTACGTTTTCTATATATCTCTAGAGGAGCAGATATTTTGAAAGAGTAGGAAATGAAAAGCTAAAAATCTTTTACTCTGAATATGAACACTTCATGAGCCCTTCAGTGGCAGGTCAGCTGCTGATGTGAATGAGGATCAATCTAAACAGGTTGTTGTAATGGAATGTCTCAATCTCCCTACCCCCTATTGTGGACTGACTATATCAGTAGATATATATAGTGTACACAGGATATACCTGGCAGACTTGCTTCAGGAATTACCAACTTGCTAAGCAATTCCCTGTCTTTCAGTATTTTATTCTCTTTTACAATAAACCTCTCTTTCTTTCATCTATGTCCGTGTTGTTGTTCCTTTCACTTGAGTACCACCTTTGTCTGTTTGTAACCTTCTTTAAGGATACAACAGTAGTTAAAAAAAAAACAAATCTGAATACTTTTGAAATTAGAACTGGCATCACTTTTTTAAGCAAGTCTCATAATTTTATGGTTTACAAGTTGTAACAATGAATGCAAATGAGATAGACTGCTTGACCAAGCAACACTTTCATATCAGTCCCAGTTGATTATCAGGGCAAACACACAATCAGAAACAAAACAGACAAGTCATTGAGAATTATCTGAAAAGTGTCCACATCAGCAATTATGATACTCTGCATGACTTGCAACAATGCAGAAAATATTGCATAGGTAGAAAGTGTTAGCTAACATACATGAAAATATTCCAAATACTTGCCTACCTGTCATGCTTGTATCGTACTGCATATGCAAGAGGTGTATTTCCATAGCAATCTTTACGATTTGTATCAGCATTCATCTAAAGAAGAGCAGAAAAGGCAAATATTTTATTTTCAGCAAGATGTTGTCACGAATCAAATTAGATAAAATAATTTTTTTTTTTTTTTTTGGGGGAGTATTTTAGTGAAATCTGGTATATATGCAGAAGGAGTAAGAAATAAAAAGACTGAAATGTTTTGCACTTGCAAGGATACCTGGTGTTGCTCAGAAGATCTCTGAATAATAGTTTATTAATGACAATTTATTGATATTTTTCAGCCATCTTATAGAAAATATTTTTTTACTCAAACTTTAAAAAATAAACTTCATTTTTTTTTTTGTTACAAAATAACTAAATTTAGGAAGATACTACACTACCAATACCACGTGGTGATCTTAGGGGGCTGAGACATTTTATTTTTTGATTTAAATACTAACATAAATCCTCTGTTAATGTTGTTTTGAAACAAATTAAATTTAGATAAAAGTTCATTAACCTTTTTTCAAATTATCATTAATAAAAAATGTAAAACTTAAAGATATATTAATTTAATCATTTTTCAAGCAAAAACTATAGCAAGCCTTACTTCTTTCTTTATTTTGGAGGGGAATTTAGATTGTTTTTAAGTAAACAAAGTCTTACTTTTAAACATTACATTAAAGAAGCAAACATTTCTCTGTAAATGAATTTAATTACTATTTTGAAAGACAGTAGAAGCAAGCAAGATACATTGAGAATTTAGTTTTGAAAAGTGATTATGTTTAAATTTAAAGTTATATTTATATTTCAAAAGAAAAGCTTTAGTTAAATAAAAATTAGCAGAGACAGACATAGTTACGGTCAACATTAGTCATGTTGAATATTTGTTTTACAAATTTAACTATATTTAAATTAATTTGGGAAAAAATAAGACTCGCTATAGTTTTTTGCTTTAATAAAATTATTTACTTTTTATGTTAGTTATAAACAAAAAAAATAGTGAAGTTTATTTTTTAAAGATTGAATAAAAAAATTATTTATTTGTAAGATGGCTGAAAAATATTAATAAGTCAATAATGCAGACACATATACAACAGCTGCTCTTTAGGGTGATACTGAGTCTGTATATACAGACAAACTCATCAATGGACTAACGGGATGGGGGGTTGTAAGAGGAGTGGTCCATTAAAGCCGAATGTCTCTAGATGGGGAGGGATTATTTTAAAGTAATAAAATGATTATAGTAACTACCAGTAGTTATGATCATAATGTAAATACTATAAACATGCATATATGGCATAAATAAATATATACTTAATATAGACATATTAATCAAAATAACAAAAAGAATAGATTTCTCAGTTACTTTCTCATGCATGTGTTAATGTATTGTACTTTCCGTCTTTGTTTACAATTAAAAGGCCCATCACTGTCACCAAGCGGTCACTTTGAGAACTAATATGACTCATTCTGCTAAGTCCGCAAATTTTGAAATACATTGCTGACGATTTGATTCCAGCAGATTTTTTTTTATTCTGCCTGTTGCACCCAAAGTCTGTTGATTTAAAAACGAGAGGTTTGTCTGCATATTTCTTTTGTAGCTGGACACACACACTTGAATATTTGAATAAATAAATATTAAACTTTTTGTCAAATAATTATATTTAACTTTGTTTTAATATTTGTTTCTTAAAGTTATGCTTGTATTTACTATAGATGTGAAAATAAATTCAAGTTTAAATATATCTTAAGTTTATTTACTTTTTTATTAATAATAATCCCCTCAAAAATAAATAGCAAATAATTATTTTTCGAAGAATTAGAGCTTGCTTATAGTTTTTGCTTGAAAAAATTATTAAATGTTTAAATACATATCTTAATTTAAGTTTATTTACTTTATTTAGATGTTTTAGCCAGACACACACACTCGAATATTTGAATAAATATTAAACATTTTATCAAATAATTGTATTTAATTTCTTCTTCTAAATTTACTTTTTTGTTTTAATATTCACTTTTTTAAAGTTACACTTTTATTTACTATAGATGTGAAAATAAATTCAAGAAAATAGAAATTTTAAAAATGCATAAATGTATAGCGTTTCAAAAGTATCATCAGAATTAAAAAGTAAAAACAAATGGTAATCCTAATCAAGAATAAGTATTATTACCATTCGTTTTTACGTTTTAATTCTGGCAATTTTGAATGCAATCTAATGCATTTTAATTTTAAAATATCTTCATATATACAAATCATATGATGATTTTTTTTTTTTTTTTTTTACAGAAAGATGGCTTGGTTATAATGAGTCTGTATATATATTTACTTTGTTATTAATTACTGTAGTTTTTTAGTTTTAGCCAGACACACACATAACTGCCCTTTATATATGTACCAATACAGAAAAAAAAAAAAACTTCATTCTAAGGAAAGTCTTTATGTCTGTATTTGATACACTTTCTCATAATTTCACACAGATTTAGTGCTTACAAGAATAGAAAAATAAAAAAGGTGTATATACCCTCATAAGATGTCTACAACAAATAGTGGAGCCTCTACAAGCAGCTCTATGTAAAGGTGTCAGTCCAGTGCTGTCAGGTTCATCAATCAGTCTATGCTGCATTGCACTGGTCAGGGTTTGAATCAACTCAATAGGATCTGCAGTGCTGTAACTTGGGCTGGAAATAACAAAGAAGAAAAATGATCAAGAAAAGAAATTTCACAGCAGCTTCATTAATAATTTTTTAGATGAAATGATTCCAGTTACCTGTCCATGTCTCCAAATGCGTAGTGTAAAGGCAAACACTTCCTCTTGTCTTTAACAAAGACGTCAGCACCAATCTTAATGAGTAACTCTTCCATGTCAGTGCTGGAATCTAATTCTCCTGTGTTGTGCTTAACAGCACAATGGAGAGGTGTCAAGCCTTTAGAGTCCAAAGCATTAACATTAGCACCAGCTTCAGTTAATATCTGAACTCTTTTCAATGCATCGGCATCTCGTACTGCAAAAGATTTAAATTGAATAAAAAAGAAAGTGATTTAAAAATTTTAAAACTTTTTTGTTTCAACTTGGATAGCAATGATTTTTGTAGCAATTTCAAAAATCTTGTAAAACTAGAATGCATTTTGCTTTTGTAAAACCAATTTAATCTATAAAACAATGATTTCATCTTTAACAAAATTAAATATTTTAATTTAACAATAATAACAGAGATATGCAAAAATAACTGTAAGATTTTGAATAGCATTGCTGGAAAAATGGTTGGTTCCTTGTACTACTCCAGAAAGTCTTTGACACCTGCTCTGCACTAAGAGTAAAATCAGACCAAAAGTAGAGCATTGATGGCATATCTGGGTGGGAGTTGCCCAATCCTCATTTTCTAGCCTTGTCAGTTATGTGCCATACGTGATACATGTTTAGGCAATCATGTATCTTTCAATACATGAATGATGAAGCAGATTTTTTTTTTGCAGTAGGTTGCCATTTCTTTCTGTGGTAGACCAGTTACCATCCAAGGCTACAGAACCCAGTCTTTCCAGCTACTTACTCACAGCTTTGGGAGAAGAGGATTCATACCCTTTCCCAAAGGTATTAGCATGTAAGTGAATGTAATGGATTCGAGTGGAATTCAAACTCGGCTCTCCGATTCCTCAATCCAAGCCACCATCCAGCCTTGACAGAGTTAAAAAGCATTATGTGGCCTTGTGGATGATGATTTCCACCCTACAACCCTTTTCTCACAAATGATACATTGCTAGCCTCTTGTTACTCTATTGATAATTTCATGGTAGATGTTCAGGCAGGCTACATTCCTTGGTTCCACTAGTATGGACCCTTTACAACTAGGACTTGCCATGTTGTACATAGAGTACACAGTGTCAGATCATCTGGATGCAATCCACATTCTTCTAGTAAGGAGGAAGTGTCACTCAAACAGCTTTACCAGAAGTTAGATTGAGAAAGACTCTTGAAAGGATGCTTCACCAATCACTACAATCTTAACCTCTTTAAGTCTATAGTCAACCATTATCTATAATACATATCCTCATAATATGCACCTGTTACTCTCTCCTTGTAGGACCTTATGACATCCTCATTTAGTAATCCTCTACATTGAGTGGCTGATGGGCCTTCTATTGCATGAACAATAGTTTAAAATAAATGACTTGAAAAATGTGTGACACTATTTAGCTATGGTAATGGGCTAACTAATTAACCATAGAAATTAAAAAAGAAAATAGACATTCTCAAAGTGGAAAAAGAGCTATAACGAAAGATAGACTGATCGATGTTAAAAGAAGGATTTTAATTGTTTACAAAAAAAAAAAAAACCCTGTAGAGAGAGCCATGTGTGAGGTCCTGTCGAGTTAATTTATGTATTGCCGAGGGAGATAGAAAGAAAGGCAAATATAGAATTATTGGCCAAAACACATGCTGATACAGGCAGTGAGAATCAATGCTAATTATCTTTCCAAGATATCCCCAGAAAATAGTGGAGAATTGAGATTTGACGAGATAAAAGGAATTTAATTTCTTAACAAGTCAAGGATTCCATGATAAAGCTAACTTGGCGTAGAGAACGAGATGGCAAACTTTGATGGTGATTAATGAGATGGTAAGAGTGCTGGATAAGTGACTTTTGGGTGGCCCAGGAAAAAGAGAACATGTGATAAAAATTTAATTGTCAAGGAGAATTTTGTAAACAAAAATTCTAGATTATAATTTTAAGGAGGCCAGCTTAGCCACACCCGCACTGCCGAGAGATCATTGGTCATATGGTAGCATGGTGATAGGCAGAGGTGAATGGAGGAGAAAGGTGGAGAAGATATTAATGCCCACTGAAGGGATTGGTATGAGATATCAATGTGAGAGAGAAAGAGTCTAGGAGGATAGCTCTCCACCGACCTACCCTCACAAGCGACGGAGACCCCCCCAAAATGGGAAGTGGTTAATTTTCCAAAAATGGGAAATAATAAATTTTCCTGTCCTGACAACAAAGAGATTTCTTGTTAGGAATAGAAATTACCGAAAACCCCAGACCATGTCGGGCCCACACACCGGATTTGGGTTGGTACCCATATAAACAACCATCAATGGGTCGTTCAATAGTTGAGCTGAGTTTAGTCCAGTTGGAGACACAGTTGAGTTGGTTTTGAACCAGGGTGTTGCCTCACAGAAGCTGACCGAGAGATTCCATGACCTCCGACTTTGCCGATACTACCAACAGCAACTTAGATTGATGAACGAAGTTAAGCCAGCACTTAAAAACTAAATTAGTTGACTTACGATACCAACTTGCTTGAAGCATAGAAGAGTCACATTTTGTAGGAAACGGGCTGGGAGAAAAACATGCTCTTGTATATAACAGAAGGATAAAGTTGAATTGTTATTTTCTAATATACTTGAACCTCTTGGGTTTTTCTTTTATTTATTTTTTTCTTTGCACCTGTGCAGTGCCACCTTCAATCTGGACTGAGCTTGCTCTACAGCCCGATACCCGATTGATCTCGTTTACCTAAGATCAAAGTCACAACGTGGGTAGGTTAGATGAGATCGAAGCAGTTACTCCAGTAACCAGACATTGCAAGTGAGCTGGGAACGATGGAGTTGCCATTGAACCGGTACAACTGGTGAAGCCGCTAACATCGACGACCAGAACACGACCCTGGTGCCACATATTAGTTCCATAACCACTGGATTTGACACTGGACGGCTGAGTGTCACATATTGGTATCCTGACCAGGGGACTTCACCGAGTAGCGACGACCACTGAACGACCGGGACACAGGCTGGTGGCAGCAACAAAGAGTCAACCCCAAAACACCGGTAGAAGAAACCTTACAGCTTTGTGCTGCGACTGGGAGTTGACCACAGGCCGACGGCTTGGTGTCACAAATGAATAACTTTAAATGATTACATATTTTTCAGCCAATTAACAAAAGTTTTTTTCACATCAAAATCTTTGATGTGAAAAAGATAAAAAATAAATAAGCTACTTGCTGCTTTAATTCTTTTAGACAAAAGGGTTAAAGCAGTACACCCTGCACCATAAATATTGGCTCTCAATTTACAACCTGCCATAATCCACCTCATGTATACTCTGTCATAATATACAGGGGGCTTGCAAAAGTAGGTATGCCGTAATGAAAGACAAACAGTGCACACAAAATATATTGTATTGATTATATAAACATTTTCCTCAAACATTCAAACTGTTTGCCTCCTCGTTATTCACACAATCCTCTTTACCTGCAAAACATTTATTATTATTAATTAAATAATAAAAATTATAATCAATGTATTATAATAAAAATTATGAAAATAAAAATATTAGAAATGAATCTTAGAACTACTATTACAATATTGATACAATACTTACTGCATACCAACTTTTGTAGACGCCTGTATGATGACATTGCAAATAATACAATTTATTTTCTATAAATACTTTCATGGTAATTGTTCGAATGAGCTCTTCATTATGGTACCTAGAGTTTTTGAATTTAAGTGCAGCACTAGACTGGCATCAAGATCTCATCAATTTACAGTTGAGCTGGCTACATGTAGCTGTAAATTCTATGTTGTTTCTCTTGTATTTCTCACTTGTGAAACTCCCTTCCAGCCAACTTTAATCTTCAAAAATTTAAATGCAATGTCAATGGCTATCTACTGTCCACCTGATTACTCTCTTCTTTCTGCTCATCATTAATATTTCTTTTTCTAGTTCTTTCACACCCTGTAACCCTTGTGTTTTAGTGGCTTTACTGCCTGGCTTGGGGTGATTCTGATTTAAAAAAAAGAAGGTAAGTCACATAAAGAGTGAGACTTTGACCACAAACAGCAAGCTGATATTTAAAGAGCTGATTTGAGTGTGTTGGATGCTAAAGAGTTAAAATGCTTTTGATAAATAACCAATTTTATGAAATTAGAAGAAATGACAATAGAATAAAATGCTACACTTTTTACAGATTGGAAAATCAGTAAAACATAGTTTTAGCAGAAACAAAAAAAATATTAGAGTTTAAATCTTAGGACTTAACATTCCAAAAGATTTTACAAGCAGTTATCTAATAGTCCCACTAACTGGGTGGGCATTTGAAGACTAAAGGGGAAAAAAAAACAAAAAAAAAAAAAACAAAAAAAAACGGAATAAATGCAAACAAAAAGGTAAAAGTGAAAACTGCTACTCTAGTTCTTCATTTAAAAAATCTCATACAACCTGACCCATTTATGACTGTAGAAAATGAAAGGAGTTAAATAATTAAAACAAATAGTTGCAACATGTCAGACGCCTCGGCCCACATTAGCTTAACTTCAAGCAATGTCGTTGGCTAAGTCTGTTCCTTTTGGGTTCTTCTTAATGCTGCAATAAACTTTGATGCAACTGGAAATGAAGAACCCGTTATGAAGAAAGCCGTAAAGATTCGAAATTGAAGGCCAACTACTCAAATTGAATTTGAAAACTCACCTTTATTTTCACAAGCTAAATGCAATGGAGTTTGTTGGGTCGATGCATTAGTCACATCAAGGTTGGCATGGGCATCAACAAGCATTTTGATTAATTCTGGTTTACCATTTCTGGAAAGCAACAATAGCAAATTACCTTCATTTAGGTTTACAACATAACAAGAGAGCTTTCAAATTAGAAACTGTGGAATTGCTAAATTGTACACAATATAATATTAAAACTATTATTATTTCTCAAGTCATTATATATATATATATATATATATATATATATATATATATTTCTGAGATGAAGTATTGTAACTGTTTACATTCTTTCAACTGTTGTCCTCATCTTATTGCCATATTCACAACATTTTAGTCATTGTACTACTTCAGGTGATAGTTGGAATTTTGAACCAAACCCATTACTTAGTCCATGAGAGTAAATTGTTCTAATTCCATGTTCCACGCCTTTGGATATCTCAGTTTCAGTTAATTTCCCTTGGTAATTCAAGTCTCCAACTTTTTGTACCTGAAAGCAACATATCCAAGGACATGAACAATCTACCCCTGTGGACTAAACAACGGGTTCAGTTCAAACTTCCAACTAATATCACCTGAAGAAACCTGGATTGTACAACAGCCAAATGTTGAGAATATAGCAAGAAAGGTGAAGACAACAATCTGAACAATGTAATGTGTGTATGTGTGTGTGTGTGTATATATACACACATACACACAACTAAAATAATGAGTTATTGGTAAAGCATAAAAAAACAACCCTACCAATACTAAGCCTGCCAAAGGAACAAACATGAAAAACAAAAAGAAAATAACCCAAGTAAAAAAGATAAGAGAAAAAAAAAAAAGAAGACAGACCCCTACCTACCGAAAAACCTAAAGTGCACAATACCTCTAGAAATTAAACCAAGATGGAGCCATAACACTAACAAATACCAAACAGGACTCAAGGACTTTGATCCAAATTGTAACTAAGTTTGAGAGATTTGGTTATATATTTATATATATTATATATATATATATATATATATATATATATATATTACTATAAATGTTATATATAGTGATTACACATGTTTCAGTAGGCATCTTATCCTTTTTGATAAACAAAAAACAGTAAAATCAATGTCTACTGTCCTAGAAATCAAAAGTCGCACTAAAAAAACAAAAACAAAAAAAAACTATCTCCCAATAGGAATGAAACATGAATCCTCTTCTCATTTTGGGAAACCACTTTCAAATCATGTCTGCTTGACCATTAAGCCATAGGAAGCCATCACAGTAAAGCAAGGCTCCATTACACTAAGAAATGCACACTGAGACTTTTTGACGTCTATATCTGCTAATTTTATTTTCATTCTCAAGGCAATTAATGTGGATATATGTATTTGAGTAGACATCACTGTGTTTTGTTTGTTTTTTACAATGAAACTCAATGCCTTCCGGCATCTTACTGAAGAAAAAAGTTATCACTAAGAGAAATGATAAATCCCTTAAAATCTCTTTAGTCCAAGTAACATGCAAACAACTTGGATTTTGAACGGTAAAAAGAAACAATGTAAGATAAATAAATTTCCATGATAAAATTGAAGACTACTTACTGAGCAACCAGAAGTAACGGGGTCACTTGTTTTGCTGACCAAGAACAATTTGGATTGGCACCAGCCAGAAGCTAAAAGAAAAATTAAGCACTGCATCAGATTTTGTAAACAGTTTTGGGCAGAGGAAAAGTTAAAAAAAAAAAAAAAAAAAAATCACACTTACAAGCAGTTTGACAGCATAGGGCCTGTTTAAGTTGATAGCTTGAATCAATGGCACACAACCTTTGATATCTTGATGGTCAAGTTTGGGTTTTTTGGTCAAAAGAAGCTTCAGGCCTGGACAATAGGTAACTATTCCATCCGTAGTAACACTATTCTCATGCACAGCAGAAACCATGAAATGAACAGTACTCCATTTGCCTGGCAACAAAGGACAAGAATAACATTTCAATCAGGACAAGCACATCTTTGCATAATTAATTGCAAGACCATAAAAGTATTTCAGAGACACTCACCTTCTGGGACATATTGCTCTTCCTCTGACTGGGGTTGTGAAGATGCATCTTTAAAATATTTCTTCTGCACTGTAGCATTCACATCAGACCCAGCCTCATCAATAAGCATCAAAATAAAACTACGGGCATTGGCACGAGCCTTGTCAAGATCAGCTTCATTTTTCTGGCGGTAGGACTTCATCTATAAATCAAAAAGTAGCAAAATTGACAATAAAAATGAGCTGAGCTTTTTGCAAACATTTGTTTATCAAATGTATCAGTTAAATAAGAACACTATAAAAAGTCTAATCATACTCATGATCACTGGATAAATTCAACAGGGTTATTTTTCTATCCAACACATCTCTCTCCACATTTGTGAGTGATATAAGGCATCAACATTTGTTAATCCTTCACATAAGCAGCGTAAAATACTCTGTCATTTTATATTGAATGAAATGAGAGAAAGATTTTTTTTCATCGTAAATATCACCATGGCCAATGCCAGCCTGGCCATTGGGCATTCTGAGGTATCGAGCAGGGTTTGGGAAAGTGTTTCTTAGTTGAGGTGTCAGATCAGCGAGCAGAGTCTCTGAAAGGCAATTGTGTAGTATATTCAGTTTGGGAGCTGGGCTGCTTATTGAGAGAGTCAACCACAAAATATACTTTCATGATGTTGTTATTCATCAGCATTTTGCGGATTCAATATTACAAGAACAATCCCAAACTTTCAGTATTTATTTGCTGAATAGTTCATCATTACCTGTTGTAATGATGTTTAATTGTAATAAACATATATACCTTTGTCATATTAATTTTATGCTGTTCAGGGAATAGCGGGTTATTTTACACTGCTTATGTGACAGATTACTGATTCTCAAAGTCAAATAAAGCAAGTCTGCGCTATCTACTAACTCCTCCAATGAGGATGTTTTTAATGATGTCGCTGGAGTACACCAAAAAGCATTCAGCAAAATGCTCACTTGAAATTCAAAGGAAGATATAGTCATGAAATTAATGGAAAGAGTAAAAATAAGAGAAGAAAATGGAAAAATTATCTAGTTCACAAATGCTGACATTAAGAATAATTTGTTAATGCTTCACATAATCGGCATAAAATACTGTCATTTTATATCGAATGAAACAGATGAGAGAACATTTTTTCATTGTAAATATCATCATAGCCAATGCCAGTCTGGTCATTAGGTACTTTGAGGGTTTTGGAAAAGGTTTCTTTGTTGAGATGCCGGATCAGTGAGTAGAGACTCTGAAAGGTGATTGTGCAGTATATTTAAGCCTGGGAGCCATAATGTTTCAGATGGCTAGGCTGCTTATGCTGGAATTGAGATATGCTCTCATCAGTATTTTGTGGTTCCTGATGATGACACAATTCGTACTCAAAATGTGAAAAATCTTTAGATGCGCATCAAGTGTAAACTACTGAGGCATTGTTCATGTTGCATCAGTGGTACAATAACAATCCCGTGTTGTAAGTATTTATTTGCTGCATAGTCCACCATTACTCATTGTAATAATGTTTAATTGTAATAAATGTATATACTTTGATCTTATTGATTTTACACTGTTCAGGGAATAGAAGTTTATTTTACGCCGCTTAAGTGAAGGATTACCCAAAATATGCCTCAAGCTAAATAAATGAAGCTATAATATTAAAATGTCTAGAGAAACTTTTAATTGTAAAGCCTCTGGAAACCTTCCTAAAAAGAGTTCCAAATTTTGTTCAAACAAATGAACACTTGTATTTCAGCCAATCTACTCTACAGCTTTCTTCATGTACATGAATTCATAAAGAAAAAAAAAAAAAAACACTTTGGATATGGATTTTCAGGTTGTGAATAGGAAATAGATGAAGCTATGAAAAATTCATCTAAAACCCAGTTGTGATGCACATGCTGACAAAGAGAAGACATGTGGATGTTTGTCTCTTACTCAATGAATGAAAACGCATTTGAAGATAGAGATGTGTAAGCAGCCACTTTTTTATAATCATTTCAAGCAAGGTAATAAAGCCACTAAGATGAAAGTGGTTACTGAGTGTAAAAGAATAAGAAAAAAAGAAAACATTATTCAGGAGTGCTAACAATAAAAAAAACAGGAATTAAGAAGAAAGAAGATAACGATTAACATTGCATTTAAATTTTTGAAAATCAATTTTGAATGGAAAGCAAAAAGGCAGAAGAGAGATTCAAAAAGCAAGAAATGCAAGAAAAGAAACTGTTAGTATAGATCTTATGGCTACATCTAGACGTTTGAACTGTAAAAGGATGAGACTTTGCTGCCAATCTAGTACTGCACTTAAATTCATAGTCTAAGCAGCAAAGAAGAAAGCTCGTCAAAACAATTACCATCAAAATATTTATAGAAAAGGTACAAGGAAGCTACTTTATGGTTGTGGGAAAGTGACTTAATCAGAGATGTCAGGCCAAGACCAATAACATTGCAGTTTCTTCTTTGTATTTTATTAAGAATTTCTAAATCCATAGCAGAAGCACCAGCCCAGATGTGACAGAAATATTCAATGAAATGATGAATGATAGACTTATAAATGCTTAAGACAGATCGTCTAGCATGATACAGTGAACCAAGCCTTCCTAATAGCAGCAAACCTAGAAATTGAGACAGTATAATCTTTCTACATCATGTCAGCAGAAAACGTTAGCTTGATAAGTTAAATGACCTTTCTAAACATGTTTTCTGGGTGGGAACGTACTTAAAATTAGATTTCTAGTGTGCGTTAGTTGTGGATGAATACAGGGTGATGCTGGATGTTGTCTGATGCATCAAAAAAGAAATGGTGGAGAATGAACTCCAGGAAGCAATATTAACTGAAGCAGAAATTCTGAATTTACCATCTATTCGACACTAGGTTGTTTGAAGTTATCAGAATAAACAGAAATGATATCAGTAAATTATTTTTTCTGTGTAATTTGACCAAGCCTATCATGCTTTGTGTAGAGTAATTGGCTATGGTTAAATGAAATTAACAGAAATGCACAATAAACAATTGACAACGTTTCCAATAAACAATAAAAAAAGAATGGTGCAAAAATAATACTAAGCAAATAATATATGCAAGACAAAAGTAGGCAAAGCAACAGTAATGAGGCAAAAAAGTTCACAAATTAAGTATGGTGTTAACACACAAAAGGGATACAGTAAGTAATTGCAGCATTTTGAATTCAAGATAAGAAAGAACAGAAATATAGCAGATGAGATCAAGAAGTGGCCTATCTTATTGGCTAGGAAGAAATCCCAGCATGTATTTGTATGAGTTATCTATAAATCTGAAGAGAGGGATGTCTTTGCAGTCATTCCAACTAAATAGGAACCAACACTTTGCTTTGTATGTCATTAATTTAAATAAATTATTGTTGTGTTTGGTAATTGTCACTCTTTTATTATCTTATTACTTCAAATTGATTCATTTGACATGCTTGCATATAAATTGGAATGGTTTAAATAATATTTTGTAGATTCTAGCATGAGCAAAATACTTATATTTTATATCGTAGATATTGTGATATTCCCTATAAATGTACAACCTATATTTAATTGGCATTTGAAGATGCCAGGACCATAATAATTATAATTTTATTGAGTTATATCTGTTGGAATACAGTGTAAAATACTAAATTTTAAATTGTAATAGATGGAAATAGAGTCTGTCTATATTTCTGAGATGAGGTATTATGTACATTATTTACATTATTCGGACTATTGTCCTCATGAGGACACATGGCACAGTGGATAAAGGCGTTGGTTAGATCCAGTGACAGGACCCAAAGAGCGAAATAAAGGGTTCGATTCGACATTCCAATCACCTGAAGAAGGTCGGAGCGTACAACGGCCGAAATGTTGTGATAGATATGGCGAAAAAGATGGAAATAGGTTGTAATTGAACATAAAAATAAGAACAACTAAATGAGCTTTGAGGAATTAGCACAAAAAAAAGAAAGGAAAAGAAAAAAAAAAAGAAGAAAATTCTCACCTGTAAATTTTTGTATTTTTGGCATGCTCGCAGAAGAGGAGTAAAACCTTCATTATCAACCATTTTAGCTAATTGTTTTAAGACGTCTTTATCTGGTGGTGGAGAAACGCCATCAATTTCCATGGTGGTTTCGTCTAACATCCTTTTGTTCTTTAAGAGGAAAAAAAAAAGATCAGTTTGGCTTAAATTACAATTTGAAAAACACTTTCATTCTATTATTTATATAAACTATAACCAATATTTTTAAGCATATTTAAATCTTTAGCATTCAACCTACCCAGACCCACCCCATAATATTGACTCTCAATGTTCAATCTACCCTATGTTTACTCTACCATAATATATAACGGAATCATTTCAGCTCAAGAAGTCACTCAAACAGTGAGATTTTGAGAGCCAATATTTATAGGGCCAGTTTGAGCATGCTGAATGCTCAAGGGTGAAAGGATTTTACAAGCAACAAACCGCAAACAATACTCTACCTAATGTATAATTTCCAAAAGCCAAAGATTGTTTACCTGTTCAATAACATCTCGCAGTATTGAAGACATGTCACCCTTGATGCAGAGTTCGGCCATCATATGTAAAATGTTTTTATTATTCTTGTTCTTATCCAATGAAACACTGCCTTTTTTTTGCAACAGGGCTTTCACTAGCAGCACATTGTTCTAAAAAGAGAAAGCATCAAAATGATTTATGAAAATAAATGAAAATGTGGGCAAAATAAAACTAAAAATACTCAATGCAAGAAATCTTAAGTTTTGTAATCTCTGAAACTAATTATACAAGGTTATTTAATTTATTCCAAAAACATTTCCATAACAATAAAGAGAAGAAGCAACAAAAAAAAAATTAAGGTAATAATGTAAACAAAAAACAAACCCAAAATACAAAACAAAAAAAATGAAAGAACTAAGCACCTATTTATTCCTGATTTTTTATTTAGTATGGAGGGGGTTACAAAGAATGAAAGTGAAAGAAGACTGAAAATAGGGAGGATTGAGGAAAGGACAAATGATGAATGAAGTCCAAGAAGACAGAACATGGTGACTGACCAAGTTTACTTAGAGACTGTTACTTGCTATAATGGTATTCTAGAATTAAAATGTAAAAAACAAAAACATACGTTTTCTATTATTATAGTGCATAGAATGCAGAGTCAGAACATTTTTTTTTTTTTTTATCATTTCACCAAACAAGGCAATAATGCCACTGGAATGTATGGAGTTGCAGGGAGTGAAAGTCAGTGAGAAGAAAGGACAATAAAAGAACAGGATTGAGGAAGATGGCAATAATGCCACTAAGACGCAAAGTGTTAATGGGAGAGAAAGAGAATGAGAAGACTTTAGAAGGGAGGATTGAGGAAAGGGCAATAAAGGAACAGGGTTCAAGAAAATGGAAAATGGCTACTGACATTGCATTTAAATTTTTGAAGATTGTAGTAATCAGGGAAGCAAGTAAGAGGAAGGGAGTTCCACAGGTGGGAAGTGCCAGAAAAGAAAATGTTAGAATAGAAGTAGTGATTGCATTTAGGTATTTCAACAGTAAAAGGGTTGGATCTAGATGTCAATCTAGTAGCATGCTTAAATTAATGTAGTCAGGCCACCAGGGAAAAAAGCAGTTGCCATGAAAATATTTTTTTTTTTTTTAGAAAAGACAGAGAAAATCCATGCCACATCAGTGAGAAAGCAACTGAATTTGAGATAGAGAAAAAAAGCTTTTGATTTGGGGGGGGGGGAAGAATTTTGATATGAAAGTTGCTACAAAGGTTTTATAATCCAATGTTTACAAGAAAAAGTTAACAGGAAAAATTTACTTGCAGACATGTCAAACACTTACTATGAATGGAATTAATACTTGGAGAAACTAACCTTTTCAATAGCAAGCATCAAAGGAGTGATGCCATCATTGGCACGAGCAGTTGGGTCACACCCATTGTCAATGAGAAAGTTGGCCACATCAACACTCACTTTCATTGTCTCAGCATCAGGAAGCTCATTCTGTGGAATTACACAAAGTTTATATATAAAATATGCAGAATATAACAATAACTGAATGTGCTATTTATTGGTTAACAAAAAAACTTATTTGATTAAGTAAAAACAAAAGACAATTATTTTTTTTTATTAATCTAACAAAATATTTACTGGTTTGTTTTGCTATTTTTCAGGCAAATTTATAATTCTATCTTCCTGGGAATGCTTTTTATCATTTTTAGCAAAGAACTACTCTTGGGATCTATTTTCAATCTTTCAATAAATTGAAATTTTTTCATAAAGAAAATTTTGTAAAGACCAAAAAAGTCATCTAAAAAGGTGAGGTTACCTGGTAAACATGACATAAATGAAAACTCCCCAGCCATATTGTACCAATCTTTGCCTGGTCATCAAAGAAACATGTAGTTAGGACTATCATTAACAACCTAATGAGATATGCCTTTTCTTTTTAATAATTCCAAATGATTCTCTTTGATTACTGTCTTTAGATGGTCTAATTGAGAGCAGTACATGTTCAAAATCAATTATTTGCTTTTCTGGAAGGAGCTCATAGTAGAGATCTCCCTTTACAGTTCTTACCATATATAAACCATCACCTTCTTTGAAAGAAGATTGGCCTTTAGTGCTTCATAGTATGTTATTATTTGCTCCATAATTATTACATTGTTTATAAAATACCCACATTTAATCAATTTTCTTAAAGAAAGTCATCATTTTACCCCCCCCCCCCAAAAAAAAATCTGGGTCAGTAGCACTTCACCCCCACTTGATTTATTTGGAAGCTACACATCAATGCAACTAACATAACCAAACTGGAGCAAATAATTTCCTAGGTTATATTTGGATATTTTTAATAAATTGGCTATCTCCTTCATCAGGTATTTTTTGATAATTTTCAAATATCTTGATTTGATTGCTATCAACTCTACCAGTTTATTGAACACAAAACTTTGCAAACCACTTTTAATATGTTTAATCATCCACAGTAAATTTTCAATAAACTGCACAGATCTACTTTTTGCACTTGAGCTATATTTTTACCTTTCTTAAAACAAAAACATATGCTGAGAATGTTACTTATTTTGTTCCATTTTACAATATTTTTTAAAATCCACTGCTATGACAGCTCTCACAATATAATCAAAAGCAACTGCTTTTAAAGAACTTAGTTAAAAATTAATAATCCCCTTGCCATCTACTGAAATAAACCAAACACCCTTTTTTCAGTTATCCAATATTAAAATCAAGATTATATAGAAATTATATTATCTATGTAAGTTTATTGTTGTAGCATACCTACAGACAATAATGGGTCTGTTCCCATTCACATAAATACAGTAGTAAATACTGTATGTTAGCCTGCAGTTGGAGATTAATCATGGAATTCACTTGACTCACTTCTAGCAGTTGACTTCTTCTACGCGCAGCTGGTAGATCTTATATGTGTTGTTCTTGTCCTAAGTATTATCGTTCATTACCAATCTTTGTTTGATTTTTCTATTCTGTATCCTTCCCTAGGTGACAACAGTTATATTTGACGCAACAAAGTTTTAAAAAATTTGTCTGCAAATTAGAAAATTCCTGCACAAAAAAAAAAAAGCCACTTACTGAATCCAATTTTGAATGCATGTTTCTAGCCAAGTGATGAAGCTAGAAAAGAAAAAAAGAAAATAATTATTTTTTCATTCAGTTAAAACATTTAACAAGAGAGAAAAAAATTTATTGAGTCACTAAACAAGTTTAACAATGTTGCAATCTCTAAATACAGAAATAGCACTGACATAAAACTTAATACAATACATAACTGAAAGACTTTCAATTTTATCTAATGATAATTTTTTTAGCACAATTGGTAAAATGTCTGAAATTAAACAGCAATTTTAGCCTTACTTACTGGATTATAGCCTTCAAGATCAGCTAAAGAACAATCAGCTTTCTTGTTCAACAAATAATTCAGTTGGTCCATCAGTTCGGGTACAAGTTTGCTGGAAGCAGCAATACTAACCAACGTACGACCTGAAATATAGGGGAGGGAAAAAAATCTGATGTAGTAAACCAAGTTTACTTAGAGCCAGCTACTTACTATAATGATATTCTAAAATTAAAATGTTAAAAAAAAAAACCAAAAATCAAAAAACCAAAAAAACATACATTTTCTATAAATATAGTACATAGAATGTAGAATCAGAAATTTTTTTTTTTTTTAATCATTTCACCAAGTGAGGCGATAATGCTACTAGATCATACAAAGGGTTACAGGGAATGAAAGAGAATGAGAACATTTTAGTGGGGAGGATTGAGGAAAAGACAATAAAGGAACAGGGTTCAAGAAGGTGGTTACTGATGTTGCATTTAAATTTTTGAAGATTGTAGTTATCAGGGAAGCAAATGCAAGAAGTGGCAGTTTCATCTTGCTAGTTCAAAGTTAAAATGGTGAGACCCAGCTGCTAATCTAATAGACATCAAGGAAAAAGTTCATCAGAAGAGTAGCCAAAAAATATTTGTAGAAAAGACAGAGGGAAGCCACATGACATTGGTGAGAAAAGTGACTGAAGTCGAAATGCCTGGTTGGGAGTGATTATGTTACAGACCCTTTTATGAATTTTGTCAAGAAGAGATATACAGCAAGAGCAACAGAGAAGATATGGCAGCAATATTCAATGCACCAATGAATGGTGGGTTTATAAATGTGCAAGATAGATTCTGACATGAGACAGCAAACCAACTTTCATTGCAGTAGATGTATCAATTGATTTGATATAGTCACTCCACTTCATGTCAGTGGAAAACATGAGAAAAAGGTGTAGAGCGTTGCTCTTCTGGAGTTTAGCATAAAAGGTTCTCTGTGGTGATTTATTATCATTTCATTATGTTTTTCTAATCAATATTCCCCTTTGTTGGCTTTCAGTTTGGAACATTGTATACTTTGGGCAAAAAGTTTAACACAACATAAATTGGATCAAATAGGTGACTTATTCCTAACGAGCATCCATCCAAAATAATATCAGGTTTTATAAATAGGAAGACAGAGAGGATATCAACTTTAAAGCAACAGAACGCCGACCTTGCATCACAGGTATCCAAATCGGCTTTCAGTTTCCCCCATAACTTTTAGCGCCAGAATCTATTTTACACATTTATAAGTCTACCATTCATCCTTGCATTGAATATCGCTGTCACATCTGGACTGGTGCTTCTACTGTGTATTTAGAGATTCTTAATAAAATACAAAGAAGAATCTGCAATGTTATTGGTCCTGACCTGGCATCTCAACTTCAGTCACTTTCCCACTACCATAAAGTAGCTTTCTTGTACCTTTTCTATAAATATTTTGATGGTAATTGTTTGGTTCTTAGACTATGAATTTAAGTGAAGTACTAGATTGGCAGCAAAGTCTCATCCTTTTACAGTTCAAATGTCTAGTAAATATGATCAAAAACCATGAACAATATCCTTTGTAGTTGCAGAATAGAACATAAGTGAGAAACCAAGTGAACCGTAAAAACTAAATTCTAAGATCAGAACAACCAAAATCTTAGGCATGGCTGAACACATATATGGAAAGAAACAGGATTACATTGAGATAAAGTCAAGATAAAAAAAGAAGATAAAGAACATTGCTTGTATAAGCCTAAGAAAAAATTATGCACCCAAGAGAAGAAAAAGCATCAGGAAAATTGGAAGGATAAAACAAGGAAAAGACCATTAACACCAATATCACATTAAACTATCAAAGTTTAACAAATTTACACAAGGATTTTCCACCTACTTGATTTCATCATTTTTCATATTTCATATCTTGGGGTGTTGAATTTAAAATGTTAATATGAACAAACCAAGTGAAATGTCAAGAATTTGACTGAGAGAATAAAATGCTAGCATACTCTGTTGTGGCAGTAGTAGTAATAGTAGTAGATAAAAAATCAGTCATCCATGGAAGAATTCTATTTAAATGACAGATTATCTAAACTAATATCTTTATCCTTATTTTTTTTTTTAATTGTATTACAGCCAATGTAGATTTTTAGCCTTCAGGTGTGTAGCTCATCTAGCTGTTTTTTTTTAATTTTATTTTACAGATGTTTAAAAATCTGGACATGAAGATTCTTGCAGACAAAAGCAATCTGAACCAAATTCCAAGGATATACACTGAATTGAACAATGAATATGTTAGTTCTCACAGTACCTATAGAAAATACTGTCATTTTTCAGTTACCAAAACCTATTCAAGAATAAGTTTCAAGTAACAAATAGTATCACTAAAGAATAAGAAATTGGGTCCATAATTTATGTGGATAATTGTATAGACTAAGCCATTGTGGATACCTTTGTGGATCAAAGAAAGGAATGGAAAAAAAAAAGGTCTGTGTATAAAATATGGAATCAACCCTGTTTAGACACAATCCTTTGAAGTTTGGCATCATAATAGGTTGATGCAATCTGTAGTATTGCTCCACGCTCTCAAAAAACAGAGTGAGATCACGTCTTTTCATACAGATTGTACACTTAAAGAAGACCATAAATGAATTGTGTGTTGGTTCCAATCTCTGTAGGGATAGCTGCCATCCCCTCCCTAATCTTATAGGCATAACCTACAGATGCATGATGGGATTTCTTCTTAACCAATAAAAATAGACCACTTCTCAAACTCATCCACTATATATTTGTTCTTTCTTGTCTTGAAGTCAGAACACTACAATCAATTGACTTTATCCCTTTTGTGTTTGAACACCATTCTTACTGTGTAAACTTTTTGCCTGATTTTGTCTTGCATATATATTGTTTGCTTAGTATTATTTTACCATTCTTTTCTTCCTTTTCTTATTGTTTAGTAGAACCTTTATCACTTCTGTCTGTTGAAACATTTTACCAATTACATTTAACTATGGCCAATGAGTCTGCAATATGAAATGCTGCAGTAACAAAAAGAATAGAATTAATAGTTTAAAAGAGTTTTGTGATTGTTAGAAATTGAGCAGTAATTTCCTACATAGATAAAAGAAAAACACAAATTTACTGCAAGAAAAAAATTGATAATTATTTACTAGACAGATTTTAGAAGTATACTGTATTATATATGTACTATCATTGTCATTTGCTTTCCAGGGTATTAATAACAACTGAATATATTAAAACCATTATTTTGTTTATCTAATCAACTTATGTGTTTCAACATTTATGAGGATATCCTATCTCTCTACTATTCTCCAAGAATTATAATAAATTTTCTTTGTATTACTTAAATGTTATTTTTACCAGATGTCCATATTTGAGTAGACACTTCATTTATTTTAAACAGCATATATTTTATCTAATGGCCTGCATATTCAAGAAAATTTAATAAAGAAAACTTTGTAACCAAGCAGTAAAAATGCTGGATCAGAAAGTGGTTCCTTTTGCAAAGGGAGACACAGGTTCAAATCTTGTTAGAGGCTACATTCTCTTTAAGTTTACTTGATCATATAGACCTGTAGATGAAATAAATACTGTTTAAAATAAACATAGCATCTACTCAAATATGGGAATCTACTAAAAATAATGTTTCCAGTAATAAAAATATGTCAGATTAAAAAAAAAAAAAAAAAAAAAAATAAAATAAAATCCATTAATTACTTAGAAACTTCTTTGTTTATGTTTCAGATATGAAACTGAACAGATATGTGTTTTGGGAAAATCTGAATGAATTGGTGTGCTTCAAAGACAAAATAGAACGTTGCTTTATTGTGACACTTTTCATAGTCAAGCAGTAAAAGAATGTCAGATCAGATGGTGGTCCCTTTTGCAAAGGGAGACAGATTCAAATCCTGCCGAAGGGCACATTTTCTTTATTAAATTTTCTCAAATACACAGGCTGATAGATGAAATAAATACTGTTTAAAATAAACAGAGGATCTACTAAAATATTGATATCCACTAAAAAGTTTGAAGTAATAAAAATATGTTGGATTAAAAACTAAAATCTATTAATTCTTTAGAAATTGTTTTGTTTATGTAAACCAGCAGACTAAATAAATATTGTATGAAATAGGGTGTCTACTTGAATATGGGTAGCCACTAAAAATAACATTTGAAGTAATAAAAAAAAATAAAATCTATTAATTCTTTAGAAATTAACCTCCTTGTAATAATTTAGCAAATGGGCGCTAAAGCTATGGCACTAGTGGTGAGAGAAAAATAAGAGAAAGATGTTTACCCTTATCATCCTTAAAGTTAATGTCTACTCCCGGCTGATTCAGCAATAGATCCACTAAACCAAAATGGCCTTTCAGAAAAGCAATACAAACTGGAGTCATCTGCAAAAAGAAAACACAAAATTAGAAACCCTTAAAAATATCTAGCTCCTATTGATTTCATTCTAATGTTGTCAATTCGACAATCCAAGAAAACGTTTTGATGGTGACAGTAAATTATAGGCAATCTTGGACATTCATACCTTAAAAGAGTGTCAAAAGGACGGCTTTTCCCTTGATGGTGCTATTATTTTAACTACCTTCACTCCTTGGCAAAGTTTGTTTTAAAAAGTGATGATTAGAATTGTAATAAAACCTAAACATACGATGAAAATGAATTTATACATTGTATTTTTTCTTGAAAGTTGACAACAAAAATAATAAACACTACTTATTAGATTGTTTACTGGAATGGCTGGGAAAATGTTGGCTAATTACCAACTGATTCAAACTTTATAAAATGATAAATAGTAAAGATTTCCTTATAGTTGGTTCACATAATTTAATAATTTAGTAAATGTTTACAAAATCATACTTATTATAAAACCCAGGTTGTGTGTGGGTGTGTGTGTCTGTTCGTTTATATATGGGATCGGATTTCCTACATTTTTCAAGCGATTTCAACAAAACTTCACTTTTTTGGGGGGCAGGTAGGGTTTCTTATTGTCTTGCACACTTTTTTCTTTATTTTTACATTCAGAATGCTTTAAAAATTCCATTTACATGACAAATGTTTATAATAAAATTCTATTCAATTGGTAGTCTCATAACGATTGAAAACAATGTTTTTGTTTGAGTTTGACCAATTTGTAAAAAAAAAAAAAAAAAAAAAAAATTAAGACATGCGTATCCGTCAACCTTAAACAATAATCTTTGTCAATTTTATTTTTCAGTCTTTATGATGGTTGATACTTGATCTATCTCTTACTGTTACATCCCTGGGCAACACCGGGCTCTACTGCTAGTTATGAATAAAAGTTGTTTTCATATAAATATTTCTTTACAAATTGGTAAATGATAAATATTGCATTGCATTTAGTGTTAATACAGTTGCATTAGTTTTTAGAATGTGGGAAATAAACAATCTAATAAGTAAATAGGCTTTAATATTTTTGTTGTAAATTATCAAGAACAAAAAAAAATAAAAAAAAATGTATAAATTCATTTTCATCATGTTTAGGTTTTATTACAATTCTAATCATCACTTTTTAAAAGAATAAAAATTGCCAAGGAGTGAAGGTAATTAAAATAATAGCTGTGTCAAAGGGAAAACTATCCTTCTGACATTTCATTTTTTGCCAAATGGTGATAAGTCTTAGTTGTTTTACATGGAGAAAAGCCCATCACTGAAATCCAAGTTACAGGATTTCATTTTGAGTGAAAGACGTAGCAATACTAATTGCAATAATCATCAGCTTGAAAACAGTCTTTGCAAATGTCAAATATAAACATTCAATCAACTGAAGATATACAAATGTTTTCCTGGCTCTTTATTCCATTCTGAATTACATGACTTAATTAACATGCCAGATGCATACAAACAATATATCTTAATTTTTACATATTACAAATAATGGTGTAAAAAAAAAAAAAAAAAAAAAAAAAAAAAAAAAAAAAAAAAAAAAAAAAAAAAAAAAAAAAAAAAAAAAAAAAAAACAAGCCAAATATTATTGTATTTTTGTTTCTAGCTTTGCTACTTTTATAGTTGTTTCAATAATCTATATATAATATTCTATGACTTCTGTTTCTCTGTCACACCTCTTGAAAATGGCCAAACAAAACCAAATTTTGGGGAGAAGTGTATAGTGCAACCCTCCTATTTTTTTTTTACATAAAAACAGATAATAAAAAAATAGCACTATACTTGAGTATATATGGTAATTGCCAAGTTAAATGTGATTTTGTGATAAAGTTATTACAACAGAAATAGAAAACAGGAGAAACAGGTGATTTACAGGTACAAATGCAGGAGTGGCTTTAAATCTTCACTTAAATAAAGGAATGAAGTTAGCATTTTGAAATCAATTTACCTTCCAATCATTGGCAAGGTTAGGGTTAGCACCACCATTGGCAACAAGGAGTTTCAAACAAAAGAACCATCCATAGGCAGCTGCATAGTGAACTACAGAGTTGCCTGAAGAATCAGTGTGATTGGGATCAGCTCCCAAAGACAAAAAGTACGACACAAGATGGGTGTTACCATTCATGGCAGCATGAGTCAATGCAGTGCGTTTCATTTTATCTGTTGGTGGAAAAAAGGAAAAAAAAGGAAAAATAATATTCAGATTAATCTTAAATTACAAAATTTAGGCATAAAATAAATTCTTTACACAATCTCAACCTTCATTTACAAGGTAACCAAAATGTCCTTGCTGAAATTTTTGATTTATTAGGAAAAAAAAAAAAAAAAAAGTATACAATAAATGTTACTTTGATATAACATACTGTTACATCAAAGTAATCCTCATCAGCAACCAGAAACTTTTGCCAACATACCTCCAGCTGTGAAATGCGTTGGCGGTAAAAATCAGGTGTCTTGGATACAAAGAAGTCTGTAAGTGCCTATCACAAGTCAGCCTCACCTGTGAAGAATTTCCCATGAAGGTGGTAATCCAGGTAATAGAAGAGGTAGTAATCTGTTGGAGCAAGGTCTAGAGAGTAAGGTGGATGGCACAGTATCTCCTAGCCAAGTTGCTATATGGTATCCCTGGCCAACCACACTACATGAAATCTGGTATTGTCATAGAGGAACAGTACACCCTTGTGATTAATGAATGCTGGCTCCTTTTGTTTCAGTACCTGCTGCATATGTTCTAACCACTGTGAGTACAGGTCTGCAGTGATGGTTTGTCCTGTAGGTAGCAGATCATAGTGCACCACTTGTTGACTAGTCCACCAGATATCTTGCATGGGTGTAGAGATGGTCTTGTCTCATGGTGACAACCAAATGTCTGACATGCTTGCAAGCATCAATACAGGACCCATTTTTCTCACTGGTGAACACTCAATCAAATATGGATACACTGCAGTGTTGAGAAACAGGCTTGTTTGTTGCCTTCTTTACTGTGTAAAGTATGCACTTGCTCAACTTGTACACCTTCTTATGCAGTACAGGTGAAGTCTGACTGTTTCATCAGTAACCTGGGAGCATATGGCAAACTCCCCACAGGTTTGTCTGTTGTCCTCTTCTATGGCCACATCCAGGGCCACATTATTTAGAACCTGTGGCCAGCCACTGTGGCATTCATGACAAAGGGACAGATCTCCTGGCCTGAACTTCTGAAGCCAATGCCTGTTGAGGTGTTTACTCACAGTATTTCCCCTAAAGGCTTGATGTAATTGTTGACTTGATATGACTGCAGTCAATCCCACCATAACCCTTTGAGCCCTGACCACCACTTTATAAGTGGTAGAGAAAAATGACTTAATGCCCAGCCACCAGTTAAACATTGGGTGATTTGCTATTGGTCGTCTTATTTTGAAGAGCTAATCGGAAAAGCTGTAATATTCTGATGTCATCAAATGATATACCAACATATCCATGCTTTTTCATTGTGTTTTGTGCATGTGTTTTGGATAAAAAAAAAGATTGTTTTTACCATGAAGCGTGCAGAGTCTCAACCTGGACCGTCAGGGAAGCAATCAGGGACAAAACACGAGAAAAGAACCCTACACATTGCAGTAAGTTACTGATATGCTTGATGATTTATCGGAACTAGAGTATGACAGTGATTACTCTGATAGTGAAGTGGAATACGAATTGGATGATTTTGCTACAGATAGTGAAAATGGAACTGAGCGTACAGAATCAGTTGATCAAAGGAGGCGTGTCCTCACAGACTCCGGTGATGTTAGAGAAAATGTAAGAGAAGATTGAGATGGTTGGAATAAGTGATATGAGACAAATGACATCAAGTTTGATGATTCCGAATGCGGAGCAAAGAACATTCCAGAAAGTATCAACGAAAGCTCTTGCACAATTGATTAAGTCATCTTATTTCTGGATGATGAGTTCTGGCAAAACTTTGTAAACAAAACAAACAAGTGCACAGATCAGATCAAGGAAGCAAAGCCTGACTAATACTACTACTACAGCAAGATATTCAAAGATAATCTGACTGAAGCAGAAGCAAAGGCTTTCCTTGGGTTGAGATTGCAAATGGAAACAACAGTTATCAAGCCTCAATTCAGGGAGTACTTGGAATCGAGTGGACAGGACCTTCTGTCAGAAACGCCGGGTTTTCGAAAAGTAATGTCAAGAGATGGATTTCTTTCCATTTGGTCTTTTGTACAAGTTATAGATGAAATTGATGCTACAACTGACAAAGCAGATGCCATCTACAAGGTTAGATCAATGCTAAATTCACTGTTGAAAAAATTTTGACACCATTACATGCCCAGATCATACCACAGTTTGAATGAAGGAATAATTCCGCCCAAGAACAGACTTGCCACCAAACAATACATCAAAAGAGAAGCCATCCAAATTTGGTATGAAGTCATACATTCTCTGTGAAGGAGAAACTGGATACATAGTGGGAGCAGAGATGTACACCGTCAAAACAAAAATTGAGGGAATTGGAGTGATTGGAAACATTGTGTATCACCTACTGACATCAGCCGATGCCCAGGGAAAGTATCACATCCTTGTAATGGACAGATACAACAATAGTGTGAATTTTTTGTTCCCAATGCAGAATACTCTTGCCATGGGAACAGCCATAATCAACAGAAAGAAATACCCACAAAGCCTGAAAATTTAGAAAATGAAAAATTGTGGTGACGGTGACTTTCAATACAAGGCTGGCTTTGTGGTAATGGTGTGAAATAACAGAAAGCCTATTAATTTCATGTCAACATGTCACAACCCCTGAAAAACTGGAAATGCTGAGTGTAGAAACAAAGATGTCACAATGATCCAGATCAAAATGCCTTAGCTGGTCACTGACTACACCCACTACATGGGAGGTGTGGAGACTGACAAAAATGACCAGATCACATCTGTCATCACTGCTGGCCAAAACGTCTCTTTGTCAAGTTTGTCATGTGGGCCATCTACAAAGGATATGTGTTGCTCCTGGGAACTTTCCCCCAGAAAGCCAAGTCCCTTAGCTTCAGAAAGTTCCTAGATCAATACTGTGTGGATCTGGCAGGTGCAGTTCAGCCAGTTTCAGTGCATAGGCAGTCAACCAATGCTGATGCTCTAGAACGCCTACAAAATGTCAGCCTCCACCTCCCAGAGATACCAGAAGATGCCTCCACTAACAACCTCTGTACTGTGTGCACTTATAAATACAATAAATTCAAGCAGAAAAAACCAACTGTGGCCTACAAAAACTATCCTGTTGAGGCTGTGAAGTCTTCAGTAATTGCACAACATCCCAGCACTTCTTGTGCATCAAGAAAGGCAGCACTTGCTGGGTAGACTGGCATACAAAGAAAGAATTCTGGCAATAAAGTCAATATATGCAATCATACTCCCTCTGTGCTAAATATAATGCTTATATTTTTTGTAACTATTTTCATATCTACCATGAAACATTACATGGCAATTATTTGCGAATTTTGACTCCGGAGCTCAGGCAGAAGGATTAAAATTGTTCAGAAACGCAGAGTTCAAAGTGTTAAAGTCATAAAGAAGACAATCCCTAGATAAGCTGCTTTGACACTGCCATGTTTACTCATTGCTGCTTGAGCTATGACTGATGTGTGTGCACAACACACATACATTGATCAAGAGCAATGCCTCCCCAACTTTCCTAGCACGTGATACACTCATTGGTGTGTCAATTATCACTTCTTCTCACACAACATAAAAAACGGCAAAGACTTCTTTGGTTACTTTATAATTTTAAGAAAGAAAAAAAAATTTAGATTACATGGTTGAATTTAATTGTGTTTTCACATTTTAATTTAAAAACAAAAATATTAAAGAACTTTCTATGGCCAAAGGAGATATAAATTCTGAACAGAAGGAAACGAAAATGTTTCAAAGTTTTGCAATAATGTGGAATTTTAAATGGTATTAATTTCAAAAGTACAAAAAATGTTTACATGAATTATTTTGAAAGAATTTTCTTCGAATGATATCAAATTAAAGAATTTATCTGTATGTTTAAGGGACTTTCCACAAACCTGTTTGTTCAATAAATGCCTTCTGGCCAACCAAAAGGCGAGCAATTTCCAAATGTCCCTTGCAGGCAGCAATCATAAGAGGAGTCATTTTGTCCTTGGAAGCTGTCAGTGGTTTGTTAACATCAACTTGATGCTTCAGTAACACTTTTACAACGTCCTGAAATAAAGAGAAAACAATATAAAAAAAGATCACCGGCATCCAATAATAGTGAGGCATGCATGCATATATAGGAATCTGCATTTAATTTAGTATTCCTCCCATGAGACCCAGTAGTTTAAAATAATAATAGTTTGTGCCAGATGAGTTGGTAAAACCACAAAACTTTAAGTTGAACATTATATATATATATATATATATATATATATATATATATATATATATATATATAGAGAGAGAGAGAGAGAGAGAGAGACTGTTTCACTATATCACAGCTCATCAGTGTGGCTAGACATCTGATTGCTTCAAGCCAGGATTGAAACTTGACCAATTTGGCATCAGTCAGAGACTCTACCCCTAAGCTATTGGCACATGTTAGAAAAAGGGAACCTTTTAACGTACTATATACATGATGTATATAAATGCTAAACCAGCAGCCAGAGTGCTCAATTCTGAATATGCTGGACAGTTGTGTGACAACAACAGCTAATAGTGATATCTACCTCCTACCACGCATACTAGTGTTTATAAAAAAAATAGTAAATTATGAGGGATCTCTCCACAGCTTCCTGTCGTTTGCAGCTCTAAGCAACATTTATACTCTTACCATCCCTTCCTGTTCTGCCATCCATTTATATAAACCTATTTAGTAGATTATTCACCATTCTCTTGTGACAGTCTTGCCTTCAATATGTCCTGGTAGTGTTTTCATTCAAGCAACATCCAATCCCCAGTGAAGTTCACTTTTGCTATGGCTATCAACAGGTATCACAATATTTTTTCAGTAGTAGCTACTTTTTCATATTTGGTGTATTTTCTGATAAGAATTATATAAACATATTTTTACAATGTTGGTATATTACAAGTTATTTTCCACAGGAAATGTCGCTCCATTCATTCAATTTGTAATTCAGTAAAGTCATTTTTACCCAAATCCACATAGAGAAACATTAAGAGAAAGAAAAAAAAGCAAAGAAAAAGGGATTTGGGATTTTGACAAAAAGCTAAAGCATGCTTAGATGTACTAAGATAAAAACCAGTTTCTAAGAGCATAAATGTTGAATTGAATTGTCTGAAGAAATTAGGTGCAATTTGACATTCTTTTCGTCCTGAACCAATTCAGAAGTGAATTTGAAAAAAAGCAACGTTATTTTTGTGAGGAGGTTTCTCCACTAGATTAAATATAATATTACTAAACTACTTCTATCCAATTACCAAAAGAGATGTTTGCAAAATAAAATGGTGATGATCTCTTATTAAAGATTAACCTTTCAAATATCTTGCTTCAAATAACATTAGAGGAACACTATATACTCATGCAAGCAATAAATACATATCAAGGTTTAGATCAATAAAAAAAAAGATTATCTTATATCCTTAAGTGTGTTATTTTTCAACAAATTATGAATACAATGCTAGTAGATTTTTAATTTACTATCACCTACTAAGATGACATTGTAATTAAAAATGTTAACGAGACACACACATCTATTCAAATGTGTAAGTTTGGAAAAAATAAGTCAAATAATAAACAATAATAGAAATCAGCTGGATTCTGAAAAAAAATAAAAACAATACTAAAAATGCCACAATTATTGCATAGTTTGTATGTATGAATTATTGCTGCAATCAGTATATGCCATGAGGTATATTGAGTAATTTTAAAAAAATTGAGCAGCTGTAGGCCCCAAATCCTTTCAGCATATTGAAAAATACTGACTTAAAAATTATGTCTAACTCATATCAATCCTAAACTGGAAATAATTGTTATCAACATCTTGAAATATGATAGAGGTTAAGTAACCTTTATCCCAAATTCCAAAATCTGAAAATTTTTCAGGTGCTGACATGACTTGCCACAGATGGAAAATTTCAGAAAGCCCAGCTACATAGCCTATATTGGCACCAGTTTTTAGTTAGTTATTGTCACAGTAACACCTTCATTCATGGATTAATTACCAGGTGTTTTGTATTCAGTTAAGATATTATTCAAAATGTCAAAAAGCCCTGCATTTATATATTTTTGTAAGTAGTGATCAAGTTTTTTGTACACATACATAATCTCAATTTCACCACTTAAAAATCCATGTGAGCATTAAATGTCTAGCAGTCTAATGTACACAAAATTTATTAAATATTATATAAAACTACTTTTAGAGTATATGTTATATAAAACTACCTTTAGGGTAAATGTATAAGCTGTGTTATGAAATGTCAAGGAATATCATGTTGATGCTTGGATTCCATTCCTAAGCTGGCCCATTTTATAGATGCTATATTCAAATTAAATAGCCTGTATTCCAAAATCTGAAAAAATCTGAAAACTGATCCCAAGAATTTCAGGTAAAGGATTCTTAACTTATATTAGCAAAACAATATTGCTTCAGTTTAACTATGGCTCTGAAAGGAATTATGCATGTGTTAAGTATACAAATTTTAGATATGAAAATGGAAAAATGGCTTAGCAATTATTTTTGTTACTCAAAATATTTCACCTAATGCTGCATGGAGGATTTATATTCCAAACTGGATATAAGCATTTACTGGTTATATTCAATTAACCAAAAATAAAAAAAAAATAAAAAAATTCTATTTACACTACAGTGACAATCTTATTTGGACATAATTTTAATTTAACTTGAGTCTCAAATGAACTATGCCAATATTTTGTCTTAATTTCTCAACAAACAGAAACGAAAGAAATTTCAAAAATTAGAAATTAAAAATATGAGTATTAATGATTGCATTTTGTAGTTGTGAACATGTGATTTAAATTTCAAAGCGCTGTGTACCGCTGTTAAGTATGAGTATTGGGAAAATAAAGAAAGAAGCTAATTTGAAACACCATGCAATCAACAATTTGAATAAAACATTAATATCTTGTTAAAGGTATTCTGGTCTTTGTCATTATTTCAAGACTGAGAATCTATCAACTTTTTGTGTCTGTCTCAGGCTTCTGACATTTCAACCCTGAGTTTGGAACTTCTTCAGATCCTCTAAACACAACATGAGTAAATGAGTCTCCTGTCCAGGATATTACCAAACCAGAGACTATAACACACGCTGGTCTGTCATCTATAGTATTAGATTTGGTATCAAGATCAAGGATCCAGATCCTGTGGTTATTATTGATCATCCCAGCTGTAATGTTACATTTGGTTGGTATAATCAGGATCATCCCAGCAGGCATAGTGTTACAATTCAGCATGAATGCTAGAACTTGGTTTCCAAACAGAATGTTGCTCAAACTATCACAGAACTTCCCTTGACTTGTTTTTCAGCAGTGCATCCTTTTGCCATTGCTTCCTCAGGATAATAATGCACATGTCTACTGTCATCCAGCTTCTTCAGGACAAAGTGAGATTCATTGAACTAGGCAATCTTCCATTTAGGAATTGTCCATATTTTTCATGCTTGCATTCCAATGAATATACTTTTGCCAATGGTCATTAGTTAGCATAGGAATTTTCACTGGCCAACAGATGCAACAAATACACTGCTTCCTCCACTTCGATAAAAGCTATCTTCTATTTGTGCCATAGTAACCATTCTGTGAATTGCAAGTAATATGAGATTTGCTATGTCAGCCATTGATAACGGTAATATTAAAACTAAATCAGCATTGTGAATGTGTATGCCACTAACACAAGTCTTAGTATTAAATGAATACAACACATTTGGAAAAGAGCCAAAACTACATAATTTGGTTACAAGAAACTGACTCAATAAAAATATAACAACTGACAATTAAATAAAAGAAATCAAAGTACAGGTATAATAAAGTTAAATGCCTCAAAATTAAGACACCAGAACAACTGACGCCCTTTTGCCCACCCCTCTACACAGAGACAGACACCTTCTAGAATTAGATTCAGCTTAATGCTATGTGTAATATAATAAAGAGATGGCATCTGTTGAAACCAATGAACAAAAACAGGATTTGTTTGACTGCAAACTGTTTTACAGGAGTGGGTACAGAAAAATGGGGCACTACCCAAGGTGGCCACTACTGTAGATTTTTCCCAGGCAACAGTAGTAAGGGTAAACCAAGAATATGGGAATTCCAAATTGGACATCAATGACACATGAAAACTGCAGGTGCCTACAACAGGTAATGCAAGAACAGGATTGACAAGGATGGTAAACATCTAATGAAAAGAAACATTGCATCAATCCCAATTTAATTATTATTGATACTGCTCAATCTATCAGTCAAATAGTATCCACTACACATCACCTGGGCCAAAGAACATCATCACTGGACTGTGGTAGACTGGTAGTGTTTCATGGTCAAATGATTCCCATTTCTGGCTATTTAAGACTAATTTCATATGTAGAGGAGACGACATGAGGCTATAGATCTAGTTTGTTAGCAGAATATTGCATAAGCTAGATGTGGTTCTGTTAAAGTTCATAAGAAACACTGCCATAATTGGAGTTTGTATTGATAAGCATGATATACAGAGATTTAATTACAGACCAAACATCCTGGTGCCATTGCTTCCTCAGGATAATAATGCACATGTCTACTGTCACCCAGCTTCTTCAGGACAAAGTGAGATTCACTGAACTAGACAATCTTCTACATTTTTCATGCTTGCATCCCAATGAATATGCTTTGTCAATGGATATTAGTTAGCATGGATATTTTCACTGGCCTACAGAAGCCTCATATGCAACAAATACTGTGTATTGTAATATACTGCTTCCTCCACTCTGGCTTTTATTAACTGAACACACAATAAGTAGATTTTAGAAATAGTAGCAGAGAATTTAGTATTTTCATAACACCTGTTATAACAAATTATAATGCACCCTTACCACCCATCATGCATAGGTGATATGAAATTTTTCCAGGAACACTCAATAGGCTTTGAAGTACTCCACTCTGTGCTTACCAGATTTAAACCCCCTTTGAACATGCATTTCCTGCAGCCACTCACAGCAAAAAAGAACAATTACAGACAGACTTTGATATGTAACAACTCTAGCGTCTCATAGACTTCATACTATATTTCATTGCCACCATTATTCAGGTAAAGCAAGGTAGATGTCTAATCTTTTAGTATTACAATTTTGTTGGAAATAACTATTGTTGATCACATACCAGTGATATCAGCTCAACTATAGATGACAAGGATTTACCAAATGTCAAGGGAAAATCAACAACCTTTTAATGATACACAAATAAGAGCAAAAGAATCTCAGAGTTTCCAACACTGAAAACTTGGACTTTTTTATCAATGCAAATATTAGTTTGTAAGATAGGGGTTACTATAAAAAAGAAAAGTTTTTTCTAATGTCATTGCAAAGCAAACAAAATTGGTCAAAAACTATTCTGATCAAACAAAATCATCTTTTTTTAAAATAATAAAAAAAATTTACCGTATGTCCATTTGTTATGGCCAGATGTAGTGGACAAGATCCAAATCGGTTTGATCGGTTGATTCCTGCAGGACCATATTTAGCAGCGAAAACATCAGATTCAGTGCCAACTGAAAAAAAAAAAAAGAAAAAAAAGTTGGTTATACTAGAAAAAAATGCTGAATTCCAAAACAGGATTTTTCATAACACAAAATCAATAAAAAGCTTCTAAGAAAAGAATTAAAAAAAATACTTTTTTAGTTTATTGGGATTTATTTCAAACATTGAGAATGGAACATGTAGAACAATAAAATACAGTTAAGATTTGTCAATGTTCATACAAATTATTGCTTCCTTCCAGAAAGCATTGTTCATTAGAAATACCTCCTACATATTGGTAGGACTTTATCTAGATGTTATTTTTTTTTGTTTAGCAGCATATCAACGTCTATGGGTTATTTTATGCGGAAAACTAAATATTTTGTACGCAATTTTATTTTTGGAAGATAATAATGGTTTTTAGTGAGACAAGTTTTACCAATTAACCCATAGCTGGAGGAGGAAGAAGAGGTGGATTCATATCTTTCCCAATGGTATTTGCATGTAAGTGAATATAAAGAATTTAACTGGAATTGGAACTTGGCTTTCTGGTTAGCAATTCCGAGCCATCATCCGTTACATCACCCGCCCATCCAAAATTACAGAATGTGGTATTCCAAAGCAGTCAGCCATCTAAGTACTGACCAGGCTTGACATTGCTTAACTTTGGTGATCATACAAGAACTGATGTTTCAATATGATGTGGCCATAAGTCACTTTAGATGGATAGATAAAGACACCACTGCCACAAATGTCTTACTATTATGTAGAAAGTATTTCTGCTGTACTCTCTACAAACATTCAGTATTAAGGAATCTTACTTATTATAAAACGCAGATTGTGTGTGTGTGTATCTGTACGTTTATATATTGGATTGGATTTCCTACATTTTTCAACTGATTTCAACAAAACTTCACAGGACTGCGTAAAATTACCTTGCGGTGGTTCTGACAGCACCAAAAATTGGAAAAAACAATTGTTTTTGCACGAAATCAATTTGAAAACACAATTGTCGCCAGAATGAAAGGGGGACAACTCATATCGAGTTATACTTATTATAAAACCCAGGTTGTGTGTGTGTGTATGTTCGTTTATATGTGGGATCGGATTTCCTACATTTTTCAACCGATTTCAACAAAACTTCATTTTTTTTTTTTTTAGCAGGTAGTGTTTCTTATTGTCTTGCACACTTTTTTCTTTATTTTTACATTCAGAATGCTCTAAAAATTCCATTTACAAGACAATTGTTTACAATAAAATTCTATTCAATCGATAGACTCATAACAATTGAAAATAATGTTTTTGTTTGAGTTTGACAAATTCATAAAAAAAAAAAAAAACTAATTAAGACATGCGTGTCCGTCAACCTTAAACAATAATCTTTGTCAATTTTATTTTTCAGTCTTTATGATGGTTGATACTTGATCTATCTCTTACTGTTACATCCCAGGGCAACGCCGGGCTCTACTGCTAGTTTACAATAAATTGACTGTTAGAAATCAAACACAGAATTAATACGTTTCTGAAATAGTAACAGAGAATTTTATATTCTCAAAACTGTTATAAGAACAATTATAAATATCCAATTTATTAAGAAAAGTCATTTATGAAACAAAATACTGTAATTTGAAAATCAGACATGTCTATCATTGCTAAGATTCTTCCATTTTAAGTGAGCATTTAAAAATCTATAAAAGGATGTCTTCCTATGAGTAAGATTTTTTTACATTAAGGTTGAAAAATACATTGATCTTCTTCATATTCATCATTTTTTCAGAATATGACAAAGATTAAACATGAAAAGAAGTCATCAAAGCTGATTAGAAAACTCTACAAAAATATAAAAAGAAGTAACAAGTACTCTATGTACTCATGTTATCATGCAACAATTGAAGATCTAATTTGACTATAGTAAATTGATATATAGTTTGGTCAATGGTGTAGCCAGGGCTGGCTGTACATTTGCTAATTTTATATATCGTGTATGATGCGACTCCCTTAAAATTAGGTCTTCAAAAGTTGCATGATACACAAGTATAAATGATAAAGTAAATTGATAAAATTACTTACGATTTTTTGCCCGTTTGAGCAAGATATCAACATTTTGAGGTCGACCAGCTTGAGCAGCAAAATGAAGAGCACTCATTCCTGAGCTGTCCTCATCTGATGGGTTTGCAAATCTAAAAAGAAAAAAAAACAAAAAGTAATTTCACATACAAACAGAACAGAGTCGAAAGAAATTAATAGATTCTACAACATAATAAAGGCAATGCAGAATACAACAAATATAATTTCCTTGAGCAAATAATATCCTATAAACCACAATTTGCTGACTATCATAAAAACTTTCCCAGAATTAGTTCTTGAAGGGGAAAGTTAATAGAAAGCTTGCAAATAAAAAAATTATAACAAATTACTGTTAATGCTATTCACTGAGAAAACCTAAAACTGGAGTTTATTAGCATTGTTTATTTCAGTCTGGATACATTAACAAGAAACTTATCCAAAAAATGCTGATTCGCTTCAACTTATTGAATCAAAATTACTGTTTATACACATGTCATGCGTGATCTTGCATATCACACGACCCCCCCACATCCCCCAAAATGATTCTATCATGTATATCATGCAAGTTCCATTTTTGAAAGACCAAATTACAATAGACTAACCTCTTTTCCTCTATCTCTTTATCTCATCTTCTAGTTAAATAAGTTAAAAATGATTTTATCATGTATCTCGTGTATCATACGAGTTCCATTTTTGAAAGACCAAATTACAATAGACTAACTTCTTTTCCTCTATCTCTTTATCCCATCTTCTAGTTAAATAAGTTAAATAAGTAAAAAGAGAATGAACAAATTAATAGACTAACTTCTTTTCCTCTATCTCTTTATCCCATCTTCTATTAAATAAGCAAAAAGAGAATGATTAAAATGCTAATGCTATACTCACTGTGTAAATGCATACAGCCATAAACAATCAAACAACCAACATCTAAATATCATATGAACATAAACAATGGAAAAAATGTTTATTCCCTATATTTTTATTTTATAATACAATACTAATATGTGAATATTACATGCATTATTATTGGATACAGTTAAGTAAAACATCAGTTTTATCAAAACCATGTTTATTTTAAATACAGCTGTACTTTTTGACTACAGTAAATGGATACAGTGAAACCCGGATATAAGAGAGATTTTCTCTGGTCCCAAATTAGAGCCATACTTACCTAAACAAAATAGACCAAACCCGGATATAAGAGACTTCTTCTCCGGTCCCGACAACTCTCTTATATCCGGGTTACACTGTATATAGTTTGGTCAACAGTGTAGCCAGGGCCAGCAGTACATAGGCTAATTTTATATCTCGCGTATGATTCGACTCCCCCCCACCTTATTAAAATTAGCTTCAAAATTAGGTCTTCAAAAATCACAATGATATGTGAAAGTTTTTTCTCCCATTAAATAATACTTCAAAAGATTTACAAAGAATAATACCAGCAGAAAAAAGCCTCAACATTTAAGCTTTTTGAACTTTTTCCTATCAGATTAAATCAAACAACAGTGTAACTTATGGATTACTTTTTCTATATATTTTGCTCACTAAAATGAATCAAAGAAGATTAGAGGAATGTTTAACAAGTCCAAACTTAATGTTTACAAAAATCATTTATGAAATGTATTTTAATCACCATAAACTGACAGCATTGTAAGCAAAGGAGAAAAGATAGTGAAGAATGTTTTGAAAGAATTTTGTTGAAGCTTTAAAATGAAAATGGTTTAGAGACATAAAATCCTACCATTATTTACTTTTTTAAAAAAATCATTTCACACTAAACAAAGTAATAAAGCCACTAAGATGCAAAGGGTTACCAAGTGTGAGTGAATATGAGAATATTATTAAGGAGAGAAAATAATAAAAGAACATAAATTAAGAAGACAGAAGATAATGACTGACATTGCATTTAAATTTTTTAAGATTAAAATGGAGTGGGAAGCAAGAGGGTTCCACAAGTGAGAAGTGTGAGAGAAGAAACTGTTAGCATAGAATTTACTATTATATGTAGATATTTCAACTGAAAAAGCTGAGACCTTGATGCCAATCTATTACGGCACTTAAATTCACAGTTTAGGTAGCATAGAGGAAAGTTCATCAGAACAATTAATATGAAAATATTTATAGAAATAGCACAAGGAAGCTACTTTGCAACAGTGGGAAAGTAACTGAAGCCAAAATGCCAGGTCAGGATCAATAACATTGCAAATTCTTTTTTTGTATTTTATCTCTAAATACCTAGCAGAAGCACCAGCACAGTGACAGTAATAAAATGCAAGGATGAATGGTAGACTTATAAATTTCCAAGTGAAGCTTTGGAAAATACGGCAATGTTGATTGATAATCAGACAATGCTTTTTTAAGGATCAAAAGGACTGAAGCTGCATTGACAATTTAGAACACAAGTGCTCTAACCACATGAAAAAAAAATAGTATATAGGGGAGCCAAAAATATTACTTAATGGACCATACCTATTTTAATTTGGGGCTATTATCATAATCCACCTGATCATCACATAATATAGTGTTAATTTCATTCAACACTAATATTGGTATCTTTACATACTGTTTATTAACAAGTATATGGTTAGCACAAATAAAGGGAATTCTGGCTTAGTCTGTTCTGTTCCCTTTTGCACTAATGCCATTGGGAAAGGTATGAATCCATCTATTTGCCTTCCAGTTAGGTGTTAAATTATAGAGTAGACTGGTCTCTCTAGCCTTGAATAGCAGCCAGTCAATAAACCACATTAGCCTCACAAGGATTCTATTAAATAAATCAGTAATAATTAAACATTTTTTAAAAATTTCATGAATAAAGTGTGTGTTATGTGTAAAGTAGGTATACACTAAGTATTATAGCATTATTCTAATGGTAGCTCTTGGATTCATTTAATACTAGAATTCATTTAATTCATCAAAGTCATTTTTAATATTTTTATTTTCACAATTATTATTATAATATATTTATTATAATTATTTTTGAATAAATAATAATAATGATAAATGTTTACCAGGTAAAGAGGGTGTGTGAATGATGGAGGCAAACAGTTTGGACATTTGAGGAACTGATATGTTTATTATTGATATCTTATTAATATGTTTGCCTAATCAATGTGTTTTGTGCGCACGTTTTGTTTTTCATTTCTATATACTTGCATCATCCTATATAAAATATGTAAGAAGAATAAAGAATAAGAAATAAAACCAAAGCTACTTGAGTTTAAAGAGATTCATTTTTATTTATGTGGAAATGAATGTCATATAAATAAATATTAGGTTATGTTACTAATGTACATTCATGTTTCAAAGATTTTTGTTTGCTGAAATAAAAATGTTTTGTGTTTAATTTGTAATATTTATAAAATAAAGTTAATACATTTACAATTTAAATAATACAATTGCTACTCATACTCAGCAATATAAATTATGAGTCAGGAGGGAGACATGTACAGAAAATGGTCTGGAACCACTGATTTAGATATGTGGAAAGATTTACTTTTCTAGCAGATATTCAAGAGGTGCTGAAGAAACACAAGCTGCCGCATAGTGGATTGGTCTTCGTTGCCATTTGTCAACAATATTGATGTCAGGTTCAACACCTACAAGTGTTTGCAGATATTTGATATTTGGGTTGATTGCCGCACAATGCAGTGGAGTGATCTGGAGTAAAGAACAAGTAATATTTCAAATTAGACTTGCACATTTCAACAGAATACACATTAAAACAGACAAGCAACTTATTCACACTTGGTTAGAATATTAAAAGCATTGAAACCAAATAGAAAGTATTAACAAAAGTGGAATGCAATAATAGATTATGCTTGATAATAGAAAAAAAATATGTTAGAAATTAAGAATTTTTATAAAATGAAAGGAAGGATAACAGAGAAATTCATAAAAATGTTTCTGTAACATACTATTTATTTTGAAATTATAGATTTACTTTATATTATCCTTATCCCATAATAGTTTTGTTTTTAAAAAATCATTTCACCCCAAGCAAGAGGTCCACTGGGGGAGTGCTTATGTCACAGTTAAATGAGTTCTCTCATTTGCCAATCCTTCCCCCATGCCACAGAACCAGATACTATATCTGCCAGACATCTATCATCATGATGTCCCAAGACCCCAGTGTTGATGAGGCTTGAGGTCACAAACACAAGCCCTCTTCAGGACTGGATTTGAGCATTTTCTCATCTAACATTAAAGATCTCCTGGCAGAGATGTGTTTCCAACACAGATGTGACATCCTATATTGTCAAGAGAAAAACAACAGCCCTACCCACATTTGCCCACAAATTCCTGGCATGACCTTTACTGCTGAGAGACATCATGACTCGTACGAGAAGTTCAATCTTTATCCATAATGGTCTATCAGCCAATAGCTCATCCATGACAGACACAAATAACATAGAAGTCCTCTCCATCAACATCATGTAAATATCAGCGAGCTCTATCTATGAAAAATCAATGACAATATTCGATATTCGCCTGTTGTAACCAATGGCTGCGTCAAAACGCAGTCATAGGTGATTTCAACAACTACAACATCACCTGAGATTAGACCAAAACTAATGAAGATGGCAATCTCCTAGAGAACTGGGCTGAATACAAATCAACTGTAACTCATTCAAGATGCAAAGCTACTTCTATATTTCAACAGCTCAAGGTGGAGAAGGGGGATACAACTCTGACTTGATCTTTGATTCAACCACCATTGCAAATCAATATGAGAAGTTTGTGCTAGACGCAATCTCTCATACCTAACATGAACCTATTGGTCTTGAGATGAATGCTGTCATCTCACCTCAGAATACTCCTTTTTTAGGCGACTGAAGAAGGCCAACTGGAAGAGCTTTGCAGATAACCTGGACTCATCCATTACTAACCTACTCGTTACCCTCAACAACTACAAGGCTTCTGCAGACTTGATCAAGGCTTCATCAAAGAAGAATATTCCCCAACAATGTCAGTAAAGGCACCCATTTTTAACATATATTTTAAAGAAAAATTAAATATTTTAGAATACTTTTTCATTTAATTCCAAAACAAGACAATGTTATCTACATCTTAAATAACACCAAGTAACATTACTGCATATGTAAATATTTTCAAAATCAATCTGTGACCAGCATGTATACATTATTAGAGATTATTAGAGATACCCTGATGAACAGCAGGTAGAAGAAATGGCAGGAGCTGACTGAAAGTATAGACAGGACACATAGCAGCAGAAAAACCTGCAAGACTATATGAATATTGGGAAATGACTACACAAAGCCCCAGCCAAAATCTCAAGTTACAACCAACCAGGTTGCCCACCAGCTGCTACTCAACAGATGAAGCAACCTAGATCACCATACTCAGAGACCAAATTTGCCCAAGGTACCAGATGTATCCAGCCAAGAACCCTTTGGTTGCATAAGGCCCTTCATAAGAAATGAATTGGATGCAGCAATCAAAGCCATGAAAAACAAGGCTGCAGGCCTTGATGACATCCTTTTTGAGCAGATTAAGCACCTGGGTCCTGCTGTTCTCACACGGTTCCTTGAGATGCTCGATAAAAGCATGAGCTCCAACAAGATCCCAACGATATGAAGGAAAGCTAAGTAATAGCACTACTGGAGCTCAGTAAAGATCCTGCCAGCCCCAAGAGATATAGTCCAATCTCCCTTCTCTGCTACAACTACAAGTTCTTGAAACACCTTATCTTAAATCATGTGACTCTGTTCATAGATGCTAAGCATATACCAGAACAAGCAGGCTTCAAACCTGGAAAGTTTTGCACTAGTCAACTCCTGAACCTAGAACAATTCATTGAAGATGGGTTTGAGAAGGGTGAGATGACAGGTGCTGTATTTGTTGAACTCTCTGCAGTATATGACACTGTCAATGTTGGGATTCTCACAGAGAAGCTGTTTTGGGATGACTGGGGACTTGAAGCTCACTCTTCTCATCATGAACATGTCAAACAGATGATTCTTTGTGGACCCCAGTGGGAAACACAGCCAATGATGAACAGAAAAGAATCATTTCTCCCAAGGTAATGTACTTGCTCCGCTCTTCAATATCTACAGCCCATCCACCCAAATACTAAAAGCTTCCTTTATGCAGATGATCTCTACATTGCTTCCCAGAAGCAATCTTTCAAGGAAGTTGAGGCTTCACTTACCAGTGCTTTATGCAGCCTTATCCCATACTATGCAGTCAACCACCTTTGAGCCAACCCTGACAGGACCCAAATCAGTGCCTTCCATCTACGGAACTAAGAAGCTAACCACCAACTCAAGATCAATGTATGGAAAACGGTTAGAGTACACTTCTAAGCCTGTGTCCCCTGGGGGTCACTCTGGACTTGTCCTTTACATAGAAGGACTATATTACAAAGACTAAAACCATGGTTGGATAAAGAAAGAACATCCTAAAGTAGCTGACTAACACCAAATGGAGTGCCCATGCTGGTACAATCCACTTGGCAACCCTAAACCTTTGTTACTTCACAGCAAAATAGGCCCTGCCAGAATGGAGATCATCACATGCAAAGAAACTTCACTGTTTTAAACGCCTCTTGCAGGTCAATCACAGGGTGTCTCAAGCCAACCAAAGTAGATGACCTTTATTTACTTAGTGGCAACATCCCCCACCAACTACATTAGAAGGACAGTCCACTCCCAAAAGTTGAAGTAGGAAACTAACCCTCATCATCCACTCCATGAATGAGAACCAACCATCTTCAAACAACTGTTAGTTTCTGTAGAGCCAACCTTCAGAAATGGGGGCATACCACTGATGATGACTCCAACTGCCAATGCGGACAATAACAAACTATGGAGCATCTTCTAGTTTTCCTCAATCTCGAAGATTCATGCACACATAACGAATTTGAAAATTTAACACTACAAGCAGGGCTCTGTGAGCAAAACTGGATGGGTGTAGTGTAACAACTCAATAGGAAGAGAGAGTGAGACCCCCAAGCAAAGTGATAATTCCACTAAGTTGCAAAGGGTTAATGGGAGTGAAAGTGAATAAGACTTTAGAATGAACCTGAAATCTAAATCTAATCCTAAACAGGAAAAAAAGTGATAGGAGTAGATGGATTTGCCTACCATCTGGTTCACTCCTCCCAGGCCTTTTGAACAGGAGTAGAGATGTATGCCTGGGTTCATTATAAAGTCTACTCTATACACCTAATGTCTTCTGCCTGAACTCTGAAACTGTATTCACTAATTAAATCTTGACCTATTCAAATTTATGGTTAGCTGTTAGCATTTCTGCATAATCCCCAAGAACTTCACTTCTTGGCCTTTCTTACATTAAAATACATCTCCACACAGTAACCCTCTACATAGCTCTTGGGCCTTATATTGGATAAACATTAGCAAAAAAAAAAAAAAAAAAAAAAAAAAAAAAAAGAATACTCCTGTTCAGGAAAGGGGTGTGAATTGCGCAATATATATCTACTCCTATTGAGAGAAAAAAAAAAAAAAAGTAAGAGAATAAAGTGTAAAAATTACAAAGCTTGGATGGAGACATTAGAATTGACAAGTTAATAAGCTAAGAGCAGGTACGATTCCAATAAAAGTGCAGGTATTCAGATAGGGGTAACGAATTATGTAACCGCCATTCCTCGTTACATTTACTTATAAATTTTATAGACTGCTTTAAGCAATACATAAGAATACAGTTAAATACATTCTAATAACAGAAAATGTGTATTACTGATTACATAAACAAAATAAGCTGTTTATAAACTGGGTTATAGGTAAGCTATTTGCCCAAACAAATTATCAAAACTGATATAAAATGCTTCAACTCACTTTAGAATAAAAGGGTTTCTTTCTGACAGATGCAGGTAAAATGTTAGCCCTTAAGTCTTCCTTTTCAAAAAGCAGCACCTAAAATAAACAAGTAATCAAACAGATTAAGAGTAAAAGATTTTCAAAGAAGCAAAAAGAAAGAAAAAGAAACATTAACAAGTAATTCAATTTCATAACATAAGGGATTGTTACTGAACGAGGTAAGGAAATTGAACAACTGGGAGTAAGGGATTGTTAATGAACGAGGTAAGGAAATTGAACAACTGGGAGTAAGGGATTGTTAATGAACGAGGTAAGGAAATTGAACAACTGGGAGTAAGGGATTGTTAATGAACGAGGTAAGGAAATTGAACAACTGGGAGTAAGGGATTGTTAATGAACGAGGTAAGGAAATTGAACAACTGGGAGTAAGGGATTGTTAATGAACGAGGTAAGGAAATTGAACAACTGGGAGTAAGGGATTGTTAATGAACGAGGTAAGGAAATCAATAGAATTCAAAAACATGGTCCAGGGGATTGTTTTCAGTGCTGTGGAGCCGGAACACAAAACCTTTGACTCCAACTCCATTTTTAGCACCTGACTCCAACTCCTCTTTATGTAATTAAGTGATTATGGCCTACAAATCTCATAAAGCCTAAGTATACGCTCCTATCTTGAGTAGGCCTATATCATTATAACTGGTTTATATGTAAGAATAGAGATAGTTTGGCTTTTATAGCATACTTAGTTGTTCTTCAATATTTTCTAATAGAATTAGAGACTAAATCTGTGAAAAGATATCAAAGAAATAACAATAAAAGTGCTATAATGTAAAACTTTTTACATCTTTGCAAATAAGAAATAAGTACAGAACAAAAATAAAACTACTTCATAAGTTGAAATATATTCTTTTACACAAAATAAAAATAAAAATTCTATAAAGATATATATATTTTTTTTTTTTTTTTACACAATTTTTCAAATACAAAATAACTACAAAAAAATAAAATGACTTTAAAAAAGAAGTTGAGATGGATTTCTTTAACAGAAATAGTAAATATACAGTAGAAGTATTAACAATAAAAATCCTATAATGGAAGACTTTTTACATAAAGTGTAAATTCAACTGGTATAGTTGTACTGACTCCGACTCCATTGAGCCATTAATTGCTTCTGACTCCACAGCCCTAATTGTTACTGAACGAGGTAAGGAAATCAACAAAATTCAAACTTGGACTAAGGGACTGTTAATAACACTGTAAGGAAATCAACAGAATTAAAACAACTGGAAGTAAGGTAATGTTACTGAGGACTGAGAGGAAATCAACAGAATTGAAACAACTGGGACTAAGTGACTGTAAAGAAATCAACAGAATTGAAACAAATGCAATCAAGGGATTGTCACTATGTGAGGGAATTAACAGAGTTCAAACAACTGGGTGTAAGGAATTACTGATGAACAATGTAAGGAAATCAATAAAATTCAAAGAACAGGGAGTTATTGAATGCTTTAAAGGAAATCTCCAAAATTTCCAACAACTGGGAGCAACAGTGAAGTTTATTAGACATACCTCTTTGTGGAGATAGTTATAACCATGTCCACCAGCTTTTTCTGCTTCTTCTATCAACTTGCCAGCCAATTTACGATGACCCTTGACAATTGCTTGGTGAATGTTTTGATACACGCTAACAAGCTGAAAGATAATAGCACCAGTGTAGAATGATAAACTGCTGGAAATGTCAATTATAATTAATAAAAGGTTAAAATGGTACCAAGGATAGAAAAACCAAAGAGAAAATTAAATCCCTCAAACAGTTGTACAAAGTGTCAATTCTATTCAGTCTTCATATTCAAATATCAAAACATTTCATTATGACAAATTCAACAAAAGTTATTAAATCTATAAAAAAAAAAATCTGAATCTTTGTCCATCATGTTGTCTGCATGCAATTTTGCATGTGCATGTACTATTTAATATACAAATAATCACACATTTAACTAAGTTTGAAGTAAGACATTTCAATAACATTCTCCTCCCCCTCAGCTTAGACAACCCCTACCCGATGCTGAGCAATAAAATCTAAAAAGGAAAAAAAAAAAAAAAAAATTTTTTTAATTTGACTTTAATAGAAGTAATTTAGTAGCTACAATTATTCTTTAAATTTTTTTTTTTTTTAGTTCTGTAGATATATTTTTAGGTCTGTCTATGCACATGCATACCCCCCTCCCAACACACACAACTTGAATGAAACTGTAATGCATGTGTTGTGAGAGCTAATTGGTCTGTCTGGCAGCAAACCTTGAGCAGGAAGTCATTTTTATGATTCCTTCTGTACTTAAACTAAATATATTTCCTAGTAAATATAGTATTCTAAATGGACAATTTAAATTTGACTAAAGCAACGGCTAGTGCCAATCTCATACAAATGACTGCTAAGAACATCCTCTCCACAACTTCATAAACAAATCCAATAGATGCATGCTGGGATTTTTCCCTAACAAAAAAAAAAAAAAAAAAAAAAAAAAGAAAGAAAAAGGAACAATTGTCGGTCTCATCCCCATATTTTTATTATTCCTTGCCTTGAAGTCAAAACACGACAATCAATTGACTATATTGCTTTTCTGTGAGAGTCAACATACTTTTTTGCTTTATTACTGTAGCTTTACCTACTTTTGTCTTGCATATATATATTGTTTGCTTAGTATTATTTTATCCAGTTCTTTTTCTTCCTTTTTATTATTGTTGAAAGAACTTCCAATATCACATGTTGAGAATTTTGTCAACTACACTTAACCATGGCCAATTAGTCTACATAGTCCACAGTAACAACTACAAAACTAATATTTTCAACTAACTTCTACTTCCTTCTTCACCACATCTATTTCTCACAAACTACTGCTTCAACTGTCATGCTAAATTTTGTGTTTTTATTAATCGTAATTATTAATCATAGTTGAATTTTTTTAGGGTCATGTACACCAAAAAATATATAAACCATAATCTGTTAGAAGAAAAAGAAAAAATCATTGATTCAATGCAGTTAGTACAAACAGTAAATAAATCAAGTCATAATTTGCCTGCAATCTAATTCAAATTATGAAAAATGCTTGTTTCTTTTAGTAAAGGCTCCCATTTTTAACATATCTTTTAAAGAAAAATTAAATATTTTAGAATACTTTTCATTTAATTCCAAAACAAGACGATGTTATCTACATCTTAAATAACACCAAGTAACATTACTGCATATGTAAATATTTTCAAAATCACTCTGTGACCAGCATGTATACATTACTAGATTGTTATAATTAGGAAATATAATCTTACTATTTACTATGCAGGTGTATGAAAAATAAATGAGATGCATACTAACAACTATTTTATCATGTATTAAGAAAATTCCGTAAGTATTTCAGTATTATTATTTACATTCAGACTAATATCTTCATTTCTGTTATTACTATACTGTTTTGGCCATTGTGCCTTCCAGTCTTCTTCAGGTGTCTGTTGATCCAGGTAACCCTTCAGGAAATTTTAAAGTGAACCCTTTATTTGTTGGGGGTTACATTGTTCTTGTTTCTCTGCTCATATCTAGGGATATCATGACTTTTTCTTTCTATTTTTAGTACTGCTCAGTTATTACTAGTCTTGTTTTAAAAAAGATAAGGATATTAGTTCAACTGTAGCTAATGAAATTATTCAGTATTTTGAAGATTATATTCTCAAACACTCGACAGAAATTTATATAATTCTATTAGATCTTGAAATGATCCGGTTTGGTAACTTTCTCTCTCTGACAATTGCAAGTCATTTTATTTTTATTAAGTAGAAACTGTATTCATTTGTAGACAACAGGTTTCTGGGCAAGATTTTCAATTTTAAATAGTCATGTGAATGTAGGCATCCCTGTATAGGTGGATAACAGACAAATGTTCGACATGAGTAATGACCGAACAACATGCTTGGTCAAAACTAACCTGTTCATCTCTGGTTTCATTCTGGTTAGCTTCAAAAAGTAATTCCAAAATTTCTTTGCTGGCTCCAATTGATACAGCATACTCAAAGAAATTCTCAGGCATGAACATAACATCTTCATTAATGTCCTAAAAAAAACAAAACATAAATTGATCACATTGCAGGTGAACTAAAAATGAAGTGTTTTCATTTACCATCTATATATATATATATATATATATATATATATATATATATATATATATATATATATATATAATGTATATGTAATTTGGGTAAAAAAAGGAAAATATAAGTTAAACTAGGATATTTAGTTAAGTTAAAAATAATAACATTAAGTAGTTTAGACAAAAGTAAGTTTGTCAAATATAAGATAATTCTTTATGGGTTTGCATATTAAATCCCACAAATCTTTCAAAGTCCAGTTTTTTAGGCTAATATTTTCCTTATTTTATCAAAATTATTTGAAGAGAACAGAAGAAAAAAAAAAATTATATCACTTTTACATTTTTTGGTTAGAATGTATCAAAATGATTTAAAATTCAGAATATGCAGAAGTATCTTCCACTGAGAGTGTAAAATTAATCATTTTAATGCAATTATAATTGGTCAAATTCTTAATATTAATCTCAAGATCTGATGGAAATCTTAGCAAATAGAAATTACCGACCTTTGTTAGTGCATTGTTTCCTTCACGGTTTCCTCTGCCAACAGTGAGAGCTCTGATATTACGAATTCCAAGAAAAGTGGGATTATACCTGAATTAATAAATATAATACATTAAAAACAAAATAGTTCCAAACAATGATTCTCTTTATTATTTTAAATGGGAAAACCATCAAGAAACAGGGTTTTAAGGAATATCAAAAACATTTTGAAATTATATATATATATATATATATATATATATATATATATATATATATATATATATGGTGGCCACTGAAAAGCTGGAGGGTTTGAAAAAGCCATAACTTGTTCATTTTCATTCTTTTTTTTTTCCAGGTTATAGAGCATCCCTTGGAGATTAAAAATGGATACATATGAGGTCCAGCAACAAGTAAAACACAAGAGTTTTTCTATTCCAATGAGAGATCAATTATTCAAAACTCAGAGAAAATACCCACAACATTTTAATGTAAGAGTATCTCTGAATGATAACATGATTTCAGAACCTAATTGTCTGGTTTGAAAGAACTGGATCTTCTTGGAAGAGGTCCTAAGCGCACTCTGATGCAGCAGTGGAAGCTGTACTGCAAAGTGTCCGTGAGGTCGCTGCTCTTCTCAATTAGACATTGCCAGAACATCGCTTTAGAAGATTCTGAAACTTGATTTTAAAATGGTTCCATACAAGATTCAAATGATCCAAACTTTACTACAAGATATTCATGTGTTTGTAAAAGTGATTTGTTTTATATCATTCAGTCTTTCATTGGCCACCCTGTAAAAAAAGCTATATTTTGACAGCAAATATAACAAGTTTGATTGAAAAGAATCGACATGATCAGTCCGTTTCATTTTTTATTATCCTTTTCCAACTTTTGGATAAGATGTTGGGTATTATATTTGAAGTTGTGGATAAACTGTCCAAAGTTTATATTTTATTATTTTTGTTAAAGTTAAACCATTTCAAACATCCAGTGTCCTAATGAATACCAAGAAGCAAACAAAGGATTTTAAAACTACCACATAGACACTACATCAGATGATGGAAAAATCAAAAATACTTGAACAAAAATAACAAAATGAACTTTGGACACTTTATCCACAACGTCAAATATTTCTTCCTCTTTCCTTATATATATATATATATATATATATATATATATATATATTAACACTCTTAAGGAGTGTTATATTTATGGGATAAAGTGCTCAATATCAGAGATAGAGTGTGTGTAAATATAAAAGTGAACATTGAAGTCAACACTTAGAGGTGACAGGCTGTTTCATGCTAGATGCAATTGTCGGGCCACATTATATATATATATATAGTTAAATTCCCAGATGAATTCTGTGGACAAGACAGATTGGTATCAAATGACAATTGGAAAAAAAAATCTTACATTTTGCTGACGCGTTTCGTCTTCCGACTTTTTCAAGGAAAAAATGAAATCGAAATGTTTTTGTTATAGTTACATTAAAAATCCAAATTTAAAAAGATAGACGCTTCTGTCTAAGCCTTTTTTTCTGGTTAATGTAAAGGCTTAGACAGAAGCATCTATCTTTTTAAATTTGGATTTTTAATGTAACTATAACAACAAAAACATTTCGATTTCATATATATATATATATATATATATATATATATATATGTGTGCACAAAACTCCACTGAGAAGCAATTATTAGTCTGAAGTAAACCTTTCTAGGGATGAAAGGCAATTTAGGAGTTTTTTTTTTTTTTCATCTTGTCATTCAATTACTCACTATTAGTCTAATATATATTTCTATATCATTTCCATTATCTTTGTTATTAAATATCCCACATTGTGATAATGGAAAATCTGCTAAAAATGTTGGAATGTCATATATACATACAGATAGATAGGAGAAGTGGACACTGATGTCTACACTAAGTGGAGAAAGCCTTCAAGCCTGAAGATTGTATTCATGCATGAAACAGACAGTCGCCACTCAGTACTGACAGCAGTATCCACACTTCTTATATTTACACATATTGAGTACTTTTACTCTATAAATAGAGTATACTGTAAAACTATATTTTATCAGATAGAGAGAGTGAGGGGAATTATTACACTATTCTTTTTAGTTCATACTTGCAGATAAAATGCTTTTTTTTTTTTTTTTTTGCTATATATCTCACAAAAGGAAAAATAGAAATTTATGTAGTGTGATTAAACTGATGCTTTAAGTCATTGTGGAGGTGGGTGAATGCAATGAGTCTAAGATGAAAAGAAAACAAGTTAAATAAAATGGAAGAAAATAAAAATGTCCAAAGGTCTAAACTTCTGACATACAGATCTGCAATGAGGCAGCAAAAATAATCAACAAGAACTTAAAAAGAAAAAAAGTCCATCAAAATTGTTAATAATCAAAATTTCATTAGATAAGATGAAACATCAAAATCAGAAAGCTTAACAAATTTGAGAGAATATTAGAAAAATAATGAAAACATTGTATTAAAAAACAAAAAAAAACAAAACAAATTCAAAGCCTAAATAAATTAATGAAAGTTGAGAAAAGAAAATGATAATCAATCGTAACAAAGCTTTTCATTGCCAGAACAGCTTTCTTGTTCTGTTAACAAAAAAAACTCAAATATTACCTGATCACTTGTGATAAAATTCTACCAAAATAGAAATTGAAATCTTTTACAAGAGACCAATAATTATCAGTAGATATTTTAAGGTATTAAAATGTTTTCATGTTTTTTTTCTATAGGAATTTGTCATTTTAAAAATTCCAAGATATAAATTATTTCTGCAAACAACTTTCAACATGTTTTTTTCTTTTGCCAGTCTGCACTGAGCAGATATTCTAATTGAACAAATTTTTGTCTTTTGAGAATTTAAACTTAGTTTTATTTGCTTCACTAAATTGGAAAAAGCAAAGCAATGGTTTCTGATGCCCTGAAAATGCTAAGCTATACCCAAATTTAAAATAGGTGACCTTTTAGAGGACAAAGTTTTTGCTACATGAAATCTTTAATTAACTGACCAAGTAATTAGTAGAATAAATGATAAAGCATAACATAGACCCTGGTCAAAATCTTAAGACCAGATACAAAAGGGTTAAAAAAACAAATAATAAAATAAAATACTGTTACTTTAATCAAAATATATTTGAAAAACATTTACATTTAATTAGAAAGTGTAGTTCATCAACAAACAAGTGAAAATTTTAAGCTTTTAATTGATTAATTTAAACAAACATTGAAAAAAGGATTTTTTTTTGCTTGGTCATAAAGATAAGACCATGTGTGAAAAAAAAAAAATTACTAGACAAAATTTTTAGAACTAGTCAGTGCATTCATAGCTTCAGGCACATAGACATCTACATAGCTCATTTCCATTTTCACATTTTAAAAAGGCTAAGGGTAAAATTTTAACAAAGTTCGAACAGGGCAGGATTGTTGAACTTCAAAGATGTGGTCTTTCGCAATGAGCCATTGCAAATGAAGTTCACCATAGCAGAACTTATTGCTAACTTCATTAAAAATCCAGATGCGTATGCTTCTAAAAAAATCAAGCAGTCGCCCCAATAAAATCTCACCATCTCTAGACAGACACATTAGGCAAGAAGTTAAGAGAGATTCAAACCTAACATCAAATCAGATAAAGTGAATACAGATGCTGAATGCAGCTCTCGAAGAATTCAACAGCATTTAAATAAGAAAGGGTTTAAGGACATGAAATGGCTGCAGAGGCCTTGCTTTCTTCACCATAAAACCTCCTGTTTACAATTTGCTTCTGATTATCAAATTTGGGATGTGGTTAAATGGAAGAAAGTGTCATTTTCAGACAAGAAAAAAAAATTCAATCTTGATGGCCCAGATGGTTTTCAGCGTTACTGGCATGCAAAAGATGTCCTAAAAGAAATTTTCTCAACATGACACAGTGGAAGTGGATCAATTATGGTTTGGGGGTTCATTTTTTGTACAATGGAACTCTTGAGTTACAGGAGGTAAAAGGTCATCAAACAGCTGCTAGTTACATTGACATGTTAAGAAAGGCATTGTTAATTACTGAAGGCCCTCATGTGTGTGTGGAGAAACTGGATTTTCCAGCAGGACAATGCTGCAATCCACAACGCTCTCTGGATCGAAACCCAATCGAGAATGTTTGGGGATGGATGGCAAAGGATGTTTATAAACATGGATCACAATTTGAAACTGTGGATGCTCTTCGTGCTGCAGTTTATGCATCCTGGGTGAGCATCCCAAGCACCCTCATGCAAAAGTTAATGAGTATGCCAAAGCGAATTTCCAAAGTAATTCACAAATATGGAGGATATACGGAGAGTTAAATTGTCATTGTGACTTATTTGTTCTGTATTTGCTATTTTTATTTACATGGTCTTATCTTTATGACCAACCAAAAAAATCCTTTTTTTAATGTTTGTTTAAATTAATTAATTAAAAGCTTAAAATGTTCACTTGTTTGTTAAACTACATTTTCTAATTAAATGTTTTGCAAATATATTTTGATTAAAGTAACAGTAGTTTATTTATTTTTTTTTTTTTTAACCCTTTTGTATCTGGTCTTAAGATTTTGACCAGAGGTGTACATACCAAAAGGAAAAAAGCAGTCTGTCAAAAAGACGTATTTTTCTTGACACTGCTTTTAATGTTATACTTCTGTGGCCATTTTTATTGTTTAAAAAGCTAATTTTAGAATTTTAAAGAGACCCAAAATATGAAGCTGACTTTATGCATTCTCTTTTTCTCAAGAATTAACAAACATATTAAACACTATTTTTGTTGTCATTTCTTAATAATAAAGTATAAATTTAGATGCTAACAACCTATTTTAGTGGATTTATGTGACGGGAGCAAATAAATGAAATGTCTGGAAAATGCAGTTTTCAAAATTTATAATTAGTTACTAGTTAAAGGGTTCAGTTTGGAATTCCCTGTAGATTACTCATCGTCCTGTGTTTATTTAAAATTTCTTGTTCACATACATTTCTATAAATTTATGAATAAAATAATTTGTTTTCACAGTTATTTTTTTACAAGGAGATAAAAAATAAACATTACATTGTAATTGGTTTTTCATATTTTTTATAAATTTGTAAAGATAAATTATTCTTGCAAATAAACAATCCAATAAAATAGAGTTTAATACTTTTGTTGCCAATTCTTAAGAAAAAAAGAGAATGTATAAATCCAGTTTCATATGTTTGGGTTTTATTTAAAATCTAAAAAAAAACTTCTTAAAACAATAATAATTGCCAAGGGGGTATAGAGTAATAGTGGTGTCACTAGTAAAAGAACATCCTTCTGAAACATCATTTTTTGTGGGTACAGTGTAACCCGGATATAAGAGAGATTTTCTCTGGTCCCAAATTAGAGCCTGTGTTAATGTATATAAAATAGACCAAACCCGGATATAAGAGACTTCTCCGGTCTCGACAACTCTCTTATATCCGGGTTACACTATACATATGTTAAAAATTACCATCTAAAAATATGTTAAATATTTAGAATTACAATTACTCATGAGTATGTGTATATTTAAAGTTTTTTGTTCTCTTATTCACACACGTTTTTATAAATTTATGAATAAAAGAATTTGCTTTAATAGTTATTTCTTTATAATATAGTAAATAAATACTAAATATTACATTGTAGTTGTTCACATATTTTATAAACCGGTGAATATAAAGTTGTTATTGTAAATTAACAATTTAATAAAATAATTACTAGTGTTTAATTCTTTTGTTGCCAATTCTCAAGAAAAAAGAGAATACATAAATCCAGTTTCATATGTTTGGGTTTTATTCAAATTCTAAAAATAACTTAAAACAATAATAATTGCCAATGGAGTATAAAATAATAGTGATGTCAAGGGAAAAACCGTCCTTTTGACACATTGTTTTTTTTTTTTGTTGTGAGTCCATATTTTAAATATATTCTACTAAATAAATATTTCAACTGTTATTGCAAAGTTTCTGATAAAAGACCATTAAGGGGGAGAGAGAGAAAAAAAAATTCATTAGGTATATAAAATCCAAGATTCATATTAATGTGTACTAACAATATAAACATGGTTAACTTACCATCCAGTGTTCATAGATTTGATCAACAAGTTAGTCTTCTGTTGTGAAGATTTTCGGTTAGAACTGAAGTAATCTTCAGCAAGATAAATGACAGCTCCTCGGTTCTGTCGTTGAATAGCATAGTGTAGAGCAGTAAGTTTGTTATTAGGTGATCTTAGATAATCAAGCTGAAATAAAAAAAAATCCAAAAATGAAGTCAGTAAGTCAATAAAATTCTTGTAGATTAATAAATAGGTAAAGGTCTTTAAAAAGAAAGAAAGAAAGAAAGAAAACAAAAACTTACTCCATGAGTGAGAGACTTGAGCAGAGTCATGTCATTTAGCAAAACAGCCCGAATGGCTAATTTTCCATTCACTTGGGCAGAGATGAAAGGCACAGCTTCACTGAAATATTTAAAACACCCACAATTAGAGAAAGACAGAAAAATCAAGCCAAGATAAAAAGCTACACATTCTTTCCTGACAGTGTACAAAATCACAATTATTTGTTAGGAAACAACTTTATAACATTGTTATTTTCATTTTTTTTGAAGTGTCACATTTTGACATCTCGTGACGCTATTAAAATAAATACTGAAAATACAGTGCTGTCATCAAACTAATAGAAAATAATGCAATACTCACCACTAACAAAATAGAGAAGTACTTAAAATATTTCTCAATACTAACACTTGATTGTTCTTAGTGTTTTCTCTGAACTGGCACATTTATTAAACTCACATAAAAATTCAGAGTAGAATATTTGAAATAACATCCTTATTTTATAAGTTGAAAAATCTACAATGGTATAGTCCAGACAGCTCTTGTATTTGGTACAAAAGAGTAGCTATATACAATGATGCCTTGGTGCTAAGTTTAGCTTCCCTCTAAGGGAGTCAAAGACAATAAAAAAAATCTTCATTTAAGCCAATTGTGAACTATTTCAAACAAAGATGTTATATGTATTTGAAAAGAGAAGCAGTTTATTTAATACTGAATTAAGATTTTAAAAGGTTAAAAATCATAGTCTGAGTGTTATTTAAATATAGGAAATAACCATTTACAAGTTTAATTCCTTTTAATGTTTAATATCCAAACCAAAAAGTATTTAACATGTCACTAAAGCAAGTAGATAGCATCATGTGATAATAACGTTATATAACAACAGCAGCAAAAGCTAGTTTGCAATCAAATAAACAGTTATATCCTGTTGGCCAACCTCCTTTGAATAAGCTCAGAATATTGTGACTTATCCATGGCAGATGCTTGGTATCACTTTATTAAAGAAAAAAATAGGCATAAAATAACTCCTATTTTATAACTTGTGCAGCCTTGATATGGAACAGACTACTGGATAAATAGACATGAAAGTTAGATCAAGTATTTTGAGCCAAGGATGAGACCAGTCAGCCTTTGATCAGTTAGAGAGAAAAAAAACCAAAAAACCCACAGCATTCAGCTTTGAGATTCAAAAGGAATACTGCAAATTCACTATGTTCCATGGAGCAAAACAATAACCAAAGAATACCAAATTACCTTGTTGAAGCAGCTGCATGAAACATCAAGGCCCAACATCCCTGAATGGTGCCTTGCTCTATTTATACAATTTCGGCAGCTATGGAGTTCCTGACCACAAGGAGGTAACGTTCCCCAGCAGAATTCAGGCACTGCAGTATTGCTGGAAGAATAATAGGTAATTGCTCTCCAAGTCTGTCTAAAGCTATGAACTATTCAGTCCACCTTCACATTGTTTCATCAAGACGGACATAGTGTAGGTCCATTGTAAACAAAAATATTTACAAAGTAAAAATTAGACTTACTTTGTTTCAAAGAATGGTTCTTTATCCAGTACTACAATGTTAGGGTTTGGTTTGAGCTTTTTATCCGGGTTCTTTCCACCTCCACCTTTTCGCTTCCCCGCTGCTGCTTTTTCAGTTTTGCCTTTCCCTAGATAAAAAAGAAACTTAAACTTAATAGAAACACAACTTTGAACAGCCAATACACAGGTAAGGTATTATATATATATATATATATATATAAAAACTGATCAAGTCTCATATATGACAACAATCAAAATGGAGTGCGACTCACATATTTCATATTTTCTATGGAATAATGTAGATAAAAAACTAAGTACAGACAAATAAAAAGACAAACACACACAAACTAAATCTTATTGATAAAGATTAAAGAAGAAAATGTCTTGGCAAACTATAAAAGCTATTAGGACCCATTTTAATTAGCAAATTAGAAAACCCTTGATAGATAATCATTAATTGTGCAAGAGTTTAATAATAAGAAAATATTGTGAAAACCCAAATTTCTGCACCCTAAATCCTATTTTTTATGGGATTACAGGTTAATAAAATGTGAAAAAAAAAAAAAAAAAATAAAAAAAAATAAGATTGCAAAATTTACATTGTTGCAAAAACTACTCAAATGTTTTGTAATACTTTAATATTTTAAACATAAATCAAATTTCCTTGTGCATTACTTTGTCTTAAACGTCAACGATTTGATCAGAAAACCATAAACTGCATTTTTTTTTTAATAGTAAAATATATTTATTACAATGAATGAGTACTGTCAGCTAGATTTTCCAGAAAATGAGTGTCTCTCCTGTACTTCTATAAATGCATTTCCAGCCTTGACAGAGTTCAAAAGTGTCTTTGTTGGAGGAGAATTATTTTCCACCCTCTCTCTCACTGCTCTATCGCTACTTCCATGGAAAGTGCTCAGATGAACTACATTCCTTGGTTCCACCAAGTCTAACCTTCATGTCTAAAACCTGCCATGCCACTTACATAATAGAAAACCACTCATATTCTATTGGTGAGAAGATCTACTCAAGCACGAACCATTGCCCTGTGGAACAGACACCCAAGAAGATGTTTCCCCAATGATTACAATCTTAACCTAGTTCAAATCTAGAGTTAACTGTTATCTTTCCTTTCTATTCATATAAACCGCCTTTAATGTAACCTTCTACCTGGAGTAGCTCCTGGGCCTTGAACAGGGTGAACCTTACTGTTAAAAAAAAAATAATTCTTCAGTATTTGACAGTCTCTAGCTCAAGGTAAGGAGACCAAACATGCATTACTTTTAAAAGAAAAAGTAAAGAAAACGTTTTCCTTTAACTCCTAAAGATTGAGTTTTCACCCTGAACAAGTTGCAAACAAAATAATTTTTTTCCTATCAAAATTGAGAACTTATTTTTGAAAAAATAAATGCATACCTTTGGATGTGACTTTGGCATCTTTTGCTGATGGTTTAGGGGAGCTTTCAACAGCTTTCTTCCTTTTTATTAAAGGTTCATCTTCATCAACTAAACAAAATGAAAGAAATTAACAATCAGGATGTCAGTTCCATACAACAAGAAGCAACTCCAACAGATATAAATCATCTCAAACAAAACATGCCTTGAAAGTTACAAGATCAAACAAACAAAATATATTGACCAACACATTCAAGAAATCTAATGTAAAAAAGGGAAAATCATAATCTTGTGCTAGGATATGAAAGGATGTTAGATTTGAAATGACTGAAGATCCCTCATCCACAATAGTCAATCTCAATGCATGCCTGTGGCTAGATTTCAATTAGTATAAAAGTGTTTCCAAATGATTTACTACACATATGAGGTATACATGTTGTAAAGCATTTGAAAACACTTGCCTGGGTGCCTTGAGATGGAAATTTCATCTGCAAAAAAAAAAAAAAAAAAGCATTTTTGCAAAGAACAATCACAGGTGATGGCACATGGATTGTTGACAATAATGTTAAGTAAAAAAGGTGATGCTGTGTATTTGGTGTGATTGTATATGCACTGTACTCCTGCAAAACCAGACATTGAATTCAAACCAGTACTAGACTGTTTAAAGGCAGCAACCAATGAAGAGTGTCCAAAATTGGCCAATCAGAAGAAGTCATCTTCCATCAGGACAACGCTAGACCTCATGTCTTTTGGTAGAAATTGGTACAGCTTGGTTGGAATGTCCTACTATACCAACCATACTCACTTGACCTTGCACGTTCTGATTATTTCAATTCTTACAAAATTATCTTGGGAAATGGGAAGGACTTCAATTCTCTGGAAACATGTAAAGACCTGCTTTTTACCCAGACAGATGCCAAGTTCTAGCAGAATGGCACCATGAAGCCACCTCAAAGATGCCAAAAGTAGTGGAACAATGGCACATACGTGTCTGAATAAATCTACGAACAAATTCCAATTGGTCAGAATTCATACATAGGATTAAATAAACAGATCAATTTTGAGTAAACACAAATACTATTACAATTCTTGCAATCATGTGGAAGCTATGCAAGAATGCTAGTTGAGAAATGATCGCTCTTGGCTGGGCTAATCGGGGGGGGGTGTCTGAGGTCATGGAGGCCAGGGACTGTCTGACCCCAAGAATAAACATCACTGAGGAAGCATTCTGGTGTGCATTTTATATGTAAAAATAAACATATCTAAATATTGTCTTTGAAATTCATTTAAGAAAATGCTATGCACTTTTCTTCAGACCCCATACAAAGTAAAAAAAACATTTACAACTGAAGCAATGCAGCAAAACATTTGCAAATTTCCTTTCCCACTTGACTATGCTTACATCATAGTAATTTATCAACAAATTTTCTCCATTTTCAAATATAAAAAAAAGACAAAGTTGTATAATCACATAGATCGATTAATTCATTTTTTCATGGCTTATCAACCCTTTGCAGGTTATTTAAAGCCAGAAAATATTTGTACATTGAAAGAATTTTTCTTGAGATAATGATAGTTTAGTTATACAAGTCTGGCTAATTAACCCATAGCTGCAGAGAGTAGAGGTGGATTTATCTCTTTCCCAAGGCTATTTGTGTATAAGTGAATATAACAAACCCAACTAGAATTAGAACTTGTCTATCCAATTAACAATTCCGGCCCATTATCCATTATACCACCTGCACATCCAAGCTTAACAGCACCTGGTATTCCCATGCAGTCATCAATCTAGGTACTGACAAGACTAAATGTTGCTTAACTTTGATGATGTGGACATAAGCCTTAATCACAGAATTAACAAGCAAATTTCACCCAATAAATAACCCACTGTTTAGCAAAATGTAAAAACAATAGAAAAAGGCATTTTATACAGTTGCTAAGTCTAATCATCTATAGACTTTAATTATTTTGAAATATTGTTCTGATCTTAATTATTATAGATGTTGTTATAGACAGTGAAATACATTCTGGCCATCATCAGGTGGCCATTGTTTGGATGATATGGGAATATTTGTTAATTATTGTTATATTGTCCCTGTGATGCCAGTTATTGTTCATTCCTGCTGAAATAATGTTTCATTACCTGATCCAGAGATTGAACTCATAACCACTAGATGACAGTTACAAATGTTTAACCAACACCTACGTCTACAACACCACTGTCCCAAAGGACATCAATAATGTATCTTTTGAGTATTTAAATATTTAATATCAGATTGCTTTGACATTTGGTTATCATCTAAATGGTCTTTTTCAATGGATATTTTTAAACATCAAAATGAAATCCCAACAACCATGTCTCCCCCCCCCCCGCCATGCTACAGATGAATATACATTTACTATGGTGTAATGGTTAGTAAAAAGAGAGTTTGATTCTTGTTATGTAGCCTACTATTGTGGCTTTGTATTCAACTAAGATTACTAAATAACTATTTCCAGACTATGAAGATCTTCACCCACATTCTTAACATTACCGCTAACAGTTACAATTGATAGAAGCTCTCAGAATTGGTGGTGGTCAATAAAAAAATATCTTGAATAAATAACAAACAGGCATGCAGTGTGTTTTATTTAAACTTAAGAACTTACTTCCTTCATTTATAGGCAAGCCTCTCTCGAGATTTAAGACTTTCTTCAATGCTTTTTCAGCACGTGACTGTTGAACGAAGTGTAGTCGGTAAGTATCCTTCTCAATCCTATCCATTTTGACATCACACAACACACATTCCAGTTCTGTAGCATCCATATAATCCAATTTGTAAACATCTGGAGGCTGAACCAAATTCAGCCATTGGATACGGAAACGTTTGGATGACCGGTAGACAATTTGTTGAGCTTTGCAAACATAAAAGCTTCCTGAAAAATGGCAAAAATATAAAGAATTTAAAAAAAGGAAAGGATGTTAAATAAAGAACAGATAAATTTGGAAGAAAAGAAAAAAGAAATGCGAAAAGATGCATGCAAACAAATTTCATAGATGGACAGAGTAATCGGACCATGGGAAACGAAAATACAATTTAAGAGTCTGGATATGAGTAAACACTTCAAGTTAACATTTGTAACTGAGTATATTCCAAATTTGGGTGCAGGACGACTCAACGACATGTAATTTTTTCATCAACTTTTTAAAACTGAATAAAAGTAATTTATTAAGAATTAATTTTTATTACATGACTTTAATCTGTACACTATGAAGGGCAATACTAGTTGGGCGGTGTTGAGTCGTCAGTGACGAAACGTCCCCTCTCACCAACTTTCATTTCCTTGAGACAGACCAGATGAGTCATTTGTTACTAGGCAGTAAAGGAAGTTGTACACGTTATTGTTATACTGTTGTTGATAGGAAATGAGTGAACAGCAGATTAACATCAGATTCTGTGTGAAGATTGGTAATCATACTAGTTAGTCCTATTAAAAAATGGTTTAAGGTGACTTGTTAAAAATAGGGTTTTTTTGAGCGGTATGGGTGATTCAAAGAAAGGGGAGATGTGCATAATGACAGAAGAAGTGGGCAAACAAAAACACAAAGAACAGATGCAAATGTGGACAGAGTGTGAACCTTGGTGTGCTTAGATCAAAGGTTAAGAGTTTGACTGATAGAAGAATTGAATATAAATAGGGGAAAAAGTGCAGCAAATTCTCACAAAGAATTTTGGAATGAGAAAAATTTCCTCAAACATTATGCTTTGAAGTGAATGGCCCAGAGAAAGCAAAGTATACTACATGATCACTATTGGTAAAGATCAATGATTAAAAATGGCTTCAAGCGAATGAAGCCTAAACATTTGAGTGAGGACCATCCTTCTTTGAACCTTATGGACTGACACCACAGAATCACCAACAAAGAATTGTATCAAATAATAGAAAATAACAAAACACACTTGGGGATTTTCAACAGTGCCAACAGCTAAAATGGATATCACATGTAACTCAAAGAGAAAATAACAACATGATCAAGGTGTTGAAATTCCAATCTACTTCAAATAAAAGGTTAGGAAAGACACCTCCATCAATACTGGAAAAAAGTGATAATAGTGAACTTGAGAAAACTGTTTTCCTAAAAAAATTGTTTTAAGAGATTTTATAAATTTCAACTGAAAGCAGTGCTGGGTGCTCAAGTCATGTCAAATGTTTCCTTGTGTAAAGATTGTAAAGAGTACGAGTGAAACACTGGCTCTATTAAAATGGCTTATTGCAAATACAATAAAAAAAAAAAGAAAAAAAAAAGATTTTTTAGTGGTACAGACAGTTCAAGAAAGGGGAAGAAAATGTATGCAATGATGCAAGAAGTGGGCAGCTGAATCATAAAGAACAGAGTGTGAACTTTAGTATGCTCAGATTGAAGATTAAGTGTGCAACTGATAGAAGAATTCTATTATGGTTGTGCTTGTGTCATTTAGTTCACACGACCGTTATGCCCAGCCAATACCTCATAAATAATGAACTATTTTGTTTTGATTGTGTGGAAAGAGGGGAAAGACACTACTTGGTTTCAATAAGAAAATGGAAGAAAGAGAAAAAAATAAGGGAAATAGAAGTGGAGAAAGAGAGAATCAGATTAACCTGAGAAGAACAGATACTACACTCTGATCCTAGCTAAAAGGCAAAGTGATTGTATTTTCTTGCTGACCCACATGGGCAGGATGTAACACAAGATAAGTTCAATGTGCATGCACCTGGACCAGGTTTAAAAATAGTCCAGCCCCTGCAACTATCAGTTGTGTTGGCGTCAGTATTACTAGCAACCCCTCTGCTTTAGTTCATTGAGGCAGGTACTGCTATAGGCTGCTGTTTCTCGAGACTCGAGTTGCATTCTGTTCAAATACAGAGACTCAAAAGAGAGATGAACTGTAATTTATCTGCCCAAGGGCAGATACTACACTTTGATCCCAACCAAAAGGCTGAGAAACTATGGAGACCACAATAAATGCACCCTGTTTCAAGTATGGTAATCACCAAAAATCCAGTTATCTATCTATAAAAGGCAGGGTGTGTGTGTGCGTGCGTGTGTGTGTGTGTGTGTGTGTGTAACGAATACACGGCCGCAATTTTTGACGGATTTACATTTCCCAACTCCCATCGATAGTGGAAATAATCGATTTTTCATGCTTCTACGGCAGTTTTCATGTAGTTTGCAGCCATTTTCTATTGGCCAGCATGAGAGCCAACAGCTGACTGACACGAATGTTAACTAGCATGCAAAAAAATCGATAGCTGCATTTGTTACAAGTGGGAAAAATTTAAATCTGCATGGCACTTTACTCCAATTGGCTCATTCGCTTGCTTAAACTCAACGTTGATTCTGATTCCACAGAACTGGGTTGGGTGTGAAAAAGTATTTGTTCTTAACATTCTTTTTTCATTCGATTTTTTCCAGATGATTGTTTTGTGTTCATTTTGTTTAGTTCTTTTTTCGTAACAGATTAAATGTTTAGTATAGAGCATAGAAAAAATTCGCAGTGTGAGATAGGCAAGGAGTAAGGCATGTAGCAACATCAGCACGGCAAAGGGCACTCCTTTAAAGGCAAGGAAGGGCAAAAATATTTTAAGTCAAGTGATAGCAATTGCTGTATGAGTTGTACGATTTTTTTAATCAAGCACGGGCAATGCTGCTAGTCATAAATAAAACAACAGCGTCTACAGCATTATTTTTAAATTGTTATCAAGAGAAATGTTTGCAAGATTGGGGGGGATTTGGTTGGTTGAATATGAATATGGAAACAATGCAGCAGATTCTAAAAGAGGATTTATGAATGTGAAAAATTTCCTCAAAGATGATGCCTCAAGTCTTGAACTGATGAACTGAAATAACATTGGCTTTAAGTTTCAATAGATCTTTTAATCAATGCGGAGATGTTTGACAAGTCGTGACTAGGAATCAACGTAGATACAATACAACCTGGAAACATAACAGCAGAGGGTGGCAGTAGAAACAAAAAAAAAAATAATCTCCACTGGGGGAGGGGGGGGGGGTCGAATTAATGTCTCTCTCATTTCAAAACCAAGCTTGTATCTTTTTCATCAGAAGGGAGTACTGTATATTGCCATTTATAAGGCAACCTATAGATAAGACAAGACCCAAGATCTAGGTAAATTTTTGAGATTTTATCTGATATCTATAGTATAAGATGACCGAAAAAATTAATCTAGCCAGTAGCAGTTAGGCCTCTCATCATGATTCTTAGGAGTATAAAATAAAACTGATGTTATTACAAATGTTGTTTTGCTTACCTTTATCGTTATCAAATCAAAAGGAATAAAATAATATAAAATATTAACATGAATCTTTATGAAAATAATAATAACGATTTCATTCTTACAACTTGTACGAATAAAAACAAAAGTTACGTATTCTGCAATGATAAATAAACATTTTACGACATCTTAAATGTCGTTTTGCTTAACACCACAAAATAAAATACTCTAAATGTATGTTATTGAAAAATAAAGTTTGCATGTTATACTAAATGTTGTTGTTATTTAACATCACAACAATAATGAATGTTAATTAGAAATATTGATTGTATGTTATCCTAAATGTTGTTATTTAACTATGAGAAATAATGATTGATGTGAACGCACCCGTAGCACTACAAATCAAAAATGAAAGATTTGTTTATGTTACTTGTTATTTTGGGAGGGTAATTTTTAAAGCTTAAATGTCACCTTATATGCGGAAACATATGGTAGTTTAGTACAAGGACAAACGCTCAATAAATATGTTTATCTGGAAGTGCTGAAAGGGTAACAAGAATTTGATCAGAGGTAAAAAAAAAAGAAAAAGAAAAAACTTGAACAAGCAAGTGAATTCTCCATGGCTATGCTACTGTACATGATGCATTAAGAGTTTATAATTTCCTGGTTAAGAAATCAATTACAAAAAATAGGCCATTCATTTTATTCACAAGACTTAAACAAATGTAATTTTTTTTTTTTTTTTAATCATTTCATTTCAAGCAAGGTAATAAAGCCACTAAGACACAAAGGGTTACTGAGTGTTAAAGAATATGAGATAAATATACTATTAAGGAGAGAGGACAAAAAATGAACAAGAATTAAAAAAAGACAGGGGATAACAATTGATAAATGCATTTCAATTTTGAAGATCAAAGTTAACTGACAGGCAAGAAGCTGGAAGAGAGTTCCACAAGCGAAATGTAAATTTCGACTATTTCTAAAATTAAGAAATGCCAAGACTGATATTCCACAACATGTAACTACATTACTGACGCGTATTCTGGAAAACAAGTTGCAAGAATATGAAATGATCATGCCACTAGTTGAATACAAAGTATATAATTTCAAAAGAATATTTTGATGGCAATAGTATTAAATTTTCACACCTCATACATAAAAAACTTTGGATATGTTTTTTATGAGTATGATCGCATATAAAACCTATTTATCCAACTGATAATACAAAAGAATGTAAATCTCAAAGGATTAAAAAAATGCAACCTCATCCATAGGACTAAAAAAAAAAAAAAAAAAAAAAAAAAAAAAAGAATGCTGTTGTTAACTGTAACAAGTCATTTGAAAGTTACGACTTAAATAAGACTATGGGTCAGGAGAAAGGAAAGATGTAAAAGTAGGAAACCTTCAGGATTCCGAACAGCAAGAAAAGTTCCTTTTTTGAAGAGTAAAATCTTCTCTTCTGTAGGAATTTTTGGTTTGGGTGCCCCTTCTTCAAGAACAGGAGACTGGAATCTTTGCACTGGGATTCTTTGTCTTTTTAGTGGAGTTCGTGGTTCCATGTTGTAAACTTTTTTACGACCAGGCTGAAAACAACAAAAGACAACAAAAATTAAATTCAAGCAAAGGGACAAAACTGACATATAAAATATTCCACAAACAAAAACATCAATGGATCACATCAAATGTCAGCCCCAACTATATATTTTCACATTAAAAGTTAAATTGTGGTATATAAACATCAGATATAATTGTTACTATGTAAATTTAATAGAGAGCCTGATATACCAATGTTATTTCAGAAAATTAGATCCATAGTTATTAGAAACAAGAGAATCTGAATCTAGTAATAAATGGAGCCAGGCAAACATAACAGTACAGTTGTATTTGGAATTTCCATTGTGCAATGCAATAAACACTTTTATAGCAGCCGAGATATTTCTATGGAAAAAAAATGTTGTCGTTAAGATTTGCCATTCACAAATACAAATTAAAAATAGATATGAATAACAATTTGTGGAGGGTAGTTGTTTAAAACATGACAGGTATAAAACTCACTTTTTGAAATGTTTCTTTCTAAAGATAAATGTAGGTAGCGTGATCACAAGCAACAGTGAGAATATAACAACTGGAAAGAAAGTAAATAGAATATAGACTCATTAAATAAACAGAAGAGAAACAAAACTTTTTTTTCTTACAAATGAAGGAAAAATACTAAGAGAAAAAAAATATAGCAAAATTAATTATAGTTGTAATATCTAAACGCACCTATTAAATATACAATTTGTACAAACTGCAATAAAAACCAACAAATTGGTGAGATGAAAGTGCTTGCCAACCACTCTATGATTAATCTTATTTTCAAATCTAACCAAAGAGTTTGCCTGATAAGCCACAAATTTTTACACAACAGCCAAGATAGCTTTATAGAACATTACAAGCTGATAAATCTAATCCTCTAAAACCGAGAATCTTTGAAAAAAATAAAAAGCAATTACAAATTGAGATCAAATTTTTATTTACTTTAGTGACAGTATTTTTTGTATATTTATTTTTTTTTTAATTTTTATATTCTTGAACAGAAAGTCATATCTGTGCTGTTAATCAAATGCAAGCCAATCTTAGAAAACAAGCACAATGCAAAACAAAATAAAAAAAAATTGAAACTTAAAATCCATGAACTCCATGAATCTACTTTGTCAAATGTAATCAATACTGCTTACCAACTTATACACTCAAAATGTCCTGACTGTTGTTAAATTTACAAACAGTAACATACAATTGCTTTTATTCAAATAAAGCTCAAAATGAAAAGAAAGTAAAAAATAAGTGGATTTCTTCACTAATAAAAGGATTTATCATCTATTAAAAGATTCTTTCTGAAACTCTAATCTTATATAAAAAAAACAAACTAACACTAAGACCGCCTAAACTTTCTATAATTTTTTGTAGGTAGGAATAAAGAAATCAACCAAAATACTCAACCCATAATATTCTACATTTGAATATTTTAAAGTAGCATAGTACCCATCAAAGTTTATGAAATTATTTACAAAGGGATTGGCACTTCTGTCTAAGAATAAAATAAAAGTGTTGCTTTCCAGCATTCCCATTTAACATCAAAGTGTAGTATCTGTAAACTATGAAAAGTGCTATATACACAAGCACATGAGGATGTACTGAAAATATCCTGACTCAATCCATTACACAAAATATTAAATGAACAGAATTTTTTTTTTTTAATTCCAGAACTTTTCTTCAGCCTTTTGTGTAGACATATGGGCACACATTTTTTTTTTTTTTATATCTGTGTATTGTGACAGTTTAGGTGAAAAGTCAGCTTTTGTGAAATAGCACATTGTTTACAGTATTACAACTTTTAAGCTTTCACACCCCAACAACAACAAAAAATGTAGAAATTCTAATTAATGTATTTTAATGAGTATTATCAAAAATATCACTTTTGGCAATTACATAACAGTATCTTTTAATTGTAATCTTTAATGACTTGGCCCAAATAACCTCACCCCCGAGCTGAAGAAGTATGTGTTTGTGAAATAGAGATAGAGTGAGTGAGTGTGGTTATTTGAGATTTAAATATTTTGTTCAGTGATCAGCATATTGGCTTATAGTTAAGTTAAAATTGAAAATTCTCAAGACCTCCAAAAACTTTTCTCAAACAAATTTTAGGTGGTTAAGTATTGACAATAGATTTTGCATTATGAAGCTATTTGCTTGTTGAATGAAAGTAAATTTTCTTCAATTTGAAAGATTTTCTCTGTAAAGTTGATTCCTATTGACAACATCAGACAAACTGAAAATTTATTGCTTGTTTTTCTTTAACTGTATAATGTCTGGCTGTTCATTTCACAGTACAACTCTTTGCTAGGGTAGCTAGCTAATCCCTGTTACAGATACCTGTTCAGGCATATCAGTCTTTCTTTGACACCTGCTGAACAAACCTAATGGTTTATACTGCACTTATACTAAGTGGACTATACTTACAATCAGGGAGCAAGAGCATAATCTGGCATGATCAGTTGTTGAACAAAGCCAGTATGCTTAAACCCTCAGTCATGAGGATTTGTGACTTTGTGATAACATCAATGTCAATGGCTTTTGAAAAATTTTATCAATTCCATTTCAGTCACAAGGTTTGGTTCAACCTGTCGTATGCTACATGCTATAAGTGTCTTCCCAGAAAGATATGATTAAGAAATCACCTCATTAATGATAGCAAAGAGCAGTAAGTTCAACCTTAATAACTGATGGATCATTGAAAACACATAAAAAAAAAAAATGGTGGTATAGAGAGATCTTCTAAATTTCAATGTCTGCTAGGTACTCCCAGTAAACTTTTTTCTTAAACCTTACAATCTTCATGGAATAGATCTGTTCCAAGAAAATATATTAATAAACCCAGCTGTTATATACAATATAGTTAGAATATTTTTGACACACATGAAGTCATTAATATAAAAAATTTGTTTGTGCAAAAGGGTTAAATACAATATGATTAGCCACATTTTTTCAATTAGAAGAAATTTTAATAGCAAAAGTTTAAATTGGAGTGCTAGTAATTTACACTATTTACAATGTCCGGATTGTTGTCCTCATCTTTGTTGCCATATTCACAACGTTTTGGCTGTTATACATTCTGGTCTTCTTCAGATAATTGGAATTTAGAACCAAGCTTTTTATTTTGTCCTCCGGGGTAGATTGTTCTAGTTCCACAAGCCATGCCTCTTCCAGATATTTCAGCTTGTTATTTCCCTTTAACAATGGCTGAAACATTGTGAACATCACATCAGTCTGAACATTGTAGATAATGACAATACTTCATCTCAGAAATATACACAGATATGGATTGCTTGTATTTAAACACATCTGCCTTCTCTAAGGAATAAAACTAAATATTCAGACTTTGATCCAAGGCAAAGTTAATTATAATCAGAAATAGAAAAGTAAATATTGACATTTCAAGTGATGAGAAAATTAAAGTATTTTTGAAATCCAACTTATCCACTTAAAATAAACACATTATGACTTTAAAAATTCACTATTAATTTTATCTTGAAAAGTATCACTTAAACATTTAAGTTGTAAATCAACAATCCTTACAAAATAGATTAAATAAAAAATGTAAATCTTTACAAAACAATTCTTCTTTAAATCATTTATAATTCTGCTAATCTGTTTAAAATTGTAGTGCCCACATTATATTTTATATTTTCTTACTAATGGCTTTATATTAGTTACGAGAGTCTGAACATTTTAGAGGGTTATTTTTAAAATGGAATGAGGAACATTAAATAAGAACCAGACTGCAATTTACAAGTGTGTTTCAAGATCCAAGGTTAAGGCATGTCATCAAATAGGCCCAAAGAAAAGTAGTATAAATCACCTAAAAGATAAGCTGTTGTTAGAAGATCTTTCAAATGTAGCACTAAATATATAAAATACTACAAATAAAATGCCCTTGATTCTCAATCACTAGTTAAGTGTCTAAGTTTGTTAAAAACAAAAACTTCGACTGCAAACTAAAACTGCAGACAGTAAAACAAGTAAACTAAACAAACTGAATTACAAAATATGCAAATAGAATTTAAGACGACTTCATGACAAAATGAAGTAGCATCAGATTTAAAAATTTACAAAACAAATTCATGAGATGTGAAAACTGATTTTATATTTTTGAGAAAAAAGAAAAAAGAAAAAAAAAGAAAAGAAAAAAAAGAAAAAAAGAAAAAAAAAGAAAAGAAAAAAAAGAAAAAAAGAAAAAAAAAAGAAAAGAAAAAGAAAAAGAAAAAGAAAAGAAAAAAGAAAAAGAAAAGAAAAGAAAAAAAAAAAAAAAGAAAAAAAGAAAAAGAAAAAGAAAAAAAGAAAAAGAAAAAAAAGAAGAAAAGAAAAAGAAAAAGAGAAAAAGAAAAAGAAAAAAGAAAAAAAAGAAAAAGAAAAAAAAAAAAAAAAAAAAGAAAAGAAAAAAAAAAAAAAGAAAAAAGAGAAAAAGAAAAAAAAAGAAAAAAGAGAAAAAGAAAAAAAAAAAAAAAAAAAAAAAAAGAAAAAAGAGAAAAAGAAAAAAAAGAAAAAGAGAAAAAGAAACAGTGCAAAATATTAGCTAAACAAAGATTTTCTTCATTTACAAAATGAATTTTACTTTTGTAATATATTTCTGAAATGAAAAATATTACCTTCTATTTTAAAACTCAAAAACAGGAAACTGGCTGCAATTTCTCATGAGTTGCTAGTTTATCATTTAAAGGAGGAATCCATTTTAAATCTAGATGGGGAGTAAGAAACTTATCATTCTGTTCACACACAAGATAGTCTTTCACATTTGCAATATTTATTAGGATACAAGGGGCATTTGAAATAGTATTATTACATGTTAAGAAAAACATATATTTCCTACAGGATTCGGTGAGCATCTACTTAAATACTATACAGAGAAAGCATATTTTCTTCTTCATCAAATGTACATTTTAATATTGGCATCCTCCTAAGTAATCAGAATCAAAACACTGGCTAAGTCCTACTCAGTATCTTCTCAAGAGACTGAAAAAGGCAGGAACCAAGATATTCACAG